TAGCCAGCGCGTGTGTCTATTATCGGACTACGTCTAGTTCCGAGCACAGAGGCTAGTGAACGCTAGCAGGTTAGCGTGTTGTTGCTGTGCTTCACTCTCCCGCGTACACCGCTGCTCGCTATGGTTTTCCTCGTCGTATTCCCTGACATCACCTGGATTAATTTGCCGTTGCGTCCTCTCCTCTCCGGGAGCTATTTCAGATTAGTTTCAATGGAGCTAAGGCTGTCAAGCTACACCGAGGCCGAACGCTCACCAACTACTGTGGCCTCGTCCTAACTTCCTGCGCTACCCGCCGCGGTCGATCATTTGTCGTGCAATAACACAATTCTCCTAAATACGGCACCAGCCAACGTCGGGTAACGATTGCAGACGCGTAGTTCGCCGATCGAAGAGCCTCTGCAGCTCTGACGTTAAAATAAGCCTGCAGTCGTACCTGCTAACGTTAGCAACATTAGCAAACTCCAGCTCCTTTTCTCCAACTAACCGTCTCCGTCACGTCACTTTCTGTTGCAAATTGTGGGAAAGTGTCAGTTGGGGATGATCTCAAAATGAGCCGTGCTGCAGAGCCCCCCCCGGGTGGAAACTGCCCCCCCCCCCCCAGGTACCCAGGGCCATTCACAGAAACGAGTTGGAGTAGATGGCTGCGGTGTGGGTGGAGGGAGCAGGCCGGTCGGTGCAGCTAGATTGTGTTTCCTTTGGGAAGGCGATGAAGGAGTCCACTGTGAGACAGTTTGACACGTTGGGGCTGTTGGAATGAGCCTTTCCGACCCACAGGGGCCATCGGAAAACATGAATCAACGTGAATACACATTAAAAACATGTCAACAACCTCCAACACACCAGTTTGTGTGGGACAAGTCCACCAGAGACGGACGAAAGGACATCCAGTTCGTGGTTAATTGTCTTACATTGATATTATAATTGAAAAGAACACCGTACCGTTTTGTTATTTGGGCGAGCAACGTTAAAGGCAATGTAGCCACGAGCCTTGATAATCTCTCGGGAATTATGCAAAGCCAGTTTTATCAATAAACTGATTTGAGTTCATGGATTCAATGAATTATTCATAAATCAAAACCGTAGAGCCTGAAAGTGTAAATAAGAAAACACAGAAAAACTTCCAAGAATGCATATCAGCCCCTTTACATCCATTCCCCTTGTGAGTATTTATTGCAGTTGCCTTGTCAGTGGATTAATGAATGAAACCTACTGTCAGTCTCATCTGACCGTCGCTCATCGAGTGTTGGGAGTTCACACAGAGGTTCTGCAGGGGTTTTCATTCCGAGTCTCTAAATTGGCATATTCAAGAAAGCGTGTGTGTGTGAGTGAGACATTGGTGTACTTGTGGATGATGTGTTGAATGTGTCCCCGTTGCTTGGTGATTGGGGTCAGGACAGTCGCCTGTGGACATGCTGCGTAGTGGATCCTATTGGGTGTGAGGCTGCGTGCAGGTTAGTGGCTGGAATGAACTACTTTGCTCTCACTGTTGTCACATACGAAACGTTGCAGACACCGGAAATTGGTGTCTTAATATCAGGGGCAAACGAATCGTATTGCCGTTTCCCATTTAGCTTTAATTCACTTTTGGAAATACATTACGATTTGCCTGTAGATTCATCAGGAATCAGGAAACTTTATTGCCACGGCACTTAGGACCTACAAGGAATTTGACATGATGGTTGGTGCATAACATCGGACAGTAGAACAATGAGACAATGGACAACAAGACAAATAACCCATATTTCCCAATTGAATGCATGATTTAAACGGAAGTTATAGTAATATCTAAATATCACAGGCAGCGCGTAGATGACCAGCTTTGGTACCGTAGGTGCGTTTTTCCAGATGTAACCGGCTCAGATTGTGTTCACGCAGTCGTTTTTGTAGCTGAGGCCCGTGTCCGCGTGTCGCCTCTATCAGGCCAAACCCTCATACATGTTCTATACGCTACAGCAGCATTGATTTAGTGACTGGCCTCTGGGAGGGACACACACAGCAGATGTAATTACAGACTTCAGTAAGGGCAAACGGCTGCTAACATCAGAGCTACCAATGCGTCTTTGTTCAACTAAGCTGATCAGCATTCCTGTTTGATCAACATATGAAAGTTCTCAGGTGACGCCGGCTGCACTGGAGGTTATTGGTTAAAACGTAACACGCATCCAGCAACTGTTACTTGCGACCCACATCTTGTGAAAATCAGTCACTATGTCGGTAGGACGCCAGCGGAGCATTACGTGAACAATGCTGTGGTGTGAAGTTGTATTTGGTTGGTCCACAGGGTTCTCTGGCGTGTTGGCCGTCCTCACAGGAGGTCCAGGGTCCCGTTGTCCCCGGTAATGACATATCAGAGGACAAGCTGTGACCCAGCCTGCGGTGTCCGCTGTCTCAGTCATTTCCTCCTCCTCTGTGTGTCCTCCATGTTGTTACAACGAACTGTTATTCTTTCAAAGTCTGAGTAAAGGAACTCCATGAAAACGAATCCAAACGCCCATTGATGTGTGTTTTGTAAAGCGAGGAGAGGCCGTTAACTTCCATCTCTTATTCGAGATGATATTTTGTAGTCCGATATTTGTCCAACAGATTATTTATCGCAATTATTTATAGATCTTGTCTGAAGCGTAATAGCACATCGTTATCGGGGCGTCACGCGGCCTCGTAAACCAATCGATGAAGTTGATTCTTCGTCTTCGGCCGTCAGAACTTCCAATAGGAAAATGAATATTCAATTGTGAATAAAATAAGCACCACAGCAGCTGTCGTCAGTGCCTGATGAAGATGGAAGGAGGAGGTATCACATGTCAGTCACTACCTCTTCACTACACAAGTCGTACCCCCCCCTCCATTGGTTCGCCGGACCTTCCTGACCGGTCTGCGAAATATTGTCTGACATGAAAACGGTGCGTGGGGTAAAAAAGGTTGGGGACCACTGGTTTAATGGATAAGCTGCGTCGCTGGAGGTACCCACAATGCAATGCTTTGGTGCTTGAAGGGCCAGCGGATCAGTGCTGAGAATCAAACCAACAAAGGCAGTTTTAAGAGGAGCGAACCGATGAAGGAGCCTCCAGCTACCTGGACGGGCACACGGAACACACAGGGAAGTAAGACACGCTAACTGAGGACACGTTGGTCACGTCCAACGACAAAATATGATCTTGGTTGAACATCCCAATAACTAATGATATAAGGGGAATCAAATAGCAACCCGAGTTTCAGTTCAGGTACATTTACTCTTTACAAGTTGTATTGCAACAAAGTATTGGGAGGCTGAACACAAACAGCAGCACGGCCGGACTGTGGAATGAGCAAATGAGAGGGAGCCGAGGTACCTGGTGTGTGTGTGTGTGTGTGTGTGTGTGTGTGTGTGTGTGTGTGTGTGTGTGTGTGTGTGTGTGTGTGTGTGTGTGTGTGTGTGTGTGTGTCAACACTACAAATATTGGCTGTATAAATGCACGTCCATAAAGCAGTGACCTTTAGTGGTTATCTCCTCTAAAGAACATTCTAGCTCACATTCTTGATTAATTTACTTTTGTTTTAAGTCTGATGTCATTTTTGTCCTTATCTGCAGCAATCAAGTGTCACACAGTTATGTATGATAGAAATATAAGATATACAGGTGTGTATATATATATCAGTATAAAGGGCCACACTTGAGAAACTTGCATGTATAAATGACGTAATAAATCTGACTCTCATACGTTATTAGAAAACAGAAATGATCTCTCAATGAGAGCGTACTTGCAGGGATGTACAGGGAGGATGAAGTGCTGAGGAGAGAAGGAAGGAATCAGTGTTATTATTAGAAGTCCTGGTGGAACATTTGGCCCAGTTTGACGAGGGCAAAATGCTGGTTTCACTTTCACGCAGCGCAGCGTCATCGTCACGTCAAAAGTAACACGACAAATAGCTTCTAAAGGGCATGTTAACAAGTTGTGACTTACGACCTAACTAAATATATTTCTAGCATTCGTTTAACATTTTCTATTTCAGTATATATGTGTTTTATTATTTTTTTTTTAAGTAACCGCTGACAACCAGAGTCACATCACGATGCGTAAGCGATCCAAGAGGGCGTTGTGTGTCGAAGAACTTTCTTTTCTTTCATTCTAGGGGAGTGAACAGGATATCCTGAAGTCTCCAGTATTTGTATGAACTACTACATTTCTGATGTCACTTGTTGTCTTTTCAGGTGGTACAGAAGCTCGGCCTGGTGCAGCGGTCCGTCACTCACAGGATCACGTGCGCCGACAGCCATGAACTGCTCTCATGACAATCACTCCCACACCTGAAGCCCCTGGTGGACCTGAGCATCGGATGCGAGGAAGGGTGACCTCTGAAGTTCTCTTCTCCGCCTGACCGCTGTCTGCTGTCCGGGTGTTGTCTTGTCATGGTGGACATGGTTTGTCTGAGCCTGAAGCTAGCGAGGCTTCCCACTTCCATATAGCATGTTAGCATATGGCTAACCGCGTATGGTGACTGATCAGGCCATTTGACTCTTCCCCCTCCATCACCATCTCTGGCCCCCTTGAAGGGGGTACAAACTCGTTGGTAGTGGTGCCCCCTCACCCCGTCATCTTTTCATTCCTCTATCATTTAGTCATCTTCCACCCGTCTTCCACCATCCTTAGCTTTTGCTTTCCTCCAGTCCCAGCGCTCCTCACGTTGCCCTCTTTGGGCTTTGGGCTTTTCCTAACCCGGCGCCCGTCCACTATGGTAGCCACTTGTTTTCTTTGAATTCATCCCACCTCAGCTTAGGTCCCCCAGCTCAATCCCCTCCCAGTTTAAGTCCCACTCAGTCCCAGCCTGGACACTGTGACGTCTGACAGCGAAGCTGCTAGCGGTTGTTCTGGTAGTCGTTTTGGTTGCATGGAATCGGCTTAACCGTGGAGCGACCAGGCTACCACAAACTGATGGACTTTGACAAGCGAGGGGTCGGTGGTGGAGGGGGAGGAGGTGGTGGTGGTGGTGGTGGTGGAGGGGGAGGAGGAGGAGGAGGAGGAGGAGGTGGGGGGAAGGCGGAGACAGAAGAAGGGAAAAGGATGCCTGCAAAGACGGGGAGCCGATCAGGGCACAGTGGCCGGGGGGCCAGCTCCAACTCCGGGGTCCTGATGGTTGGACCAAACTTCCGCGTTGGAAAGAAAATCGGCTGTGGGAACTTCGGGGAGCTGCGACTCGGAAAGAACCTGTATACAAACGAATACGTGGCGATCAAACTGGTAAGAACGCTCCCTTTGCACCACTGTGGGCGGCACACTTAGTTTGAGTGACAGGGAGACGATTAATACATTGAATACATGAATAAAATGATTGTGCATTCTATTCTTAGGACTTCTTGGGATGTATACTGCGAACTGTGCATTATGCATTTCACTGCATCTGTTTTAGACAAAGACTGATTCAAACATTTCCTTGTAGGAGCCTATCAAGTCGCGGGCACCGCAGCTCCACCTAGAATATCGCTTCTACAAGCAGCTGGGAAGTTCAGGTGAGCAGCACGGCTGAGTCAGCACTTTCAGCGCTCTTACCTAACTGGCAATTAAGACTCTAACGTTTTCAACTAAAAAAAACCCACGTTAGTATCTTCACGTTGTGCTTACGACCCTGTTTTACCCATTTGGAGTCGTCCCTTTGCAATGCACACGTTGGGAGGATGTCGGCATCCATTTCCTACTTCACACTCTTTCCACTGTAGCAGGAGGGATCATGCCGCCCCCCCACTGTGCCGGCATGAGCCAGCAACGCTTTCCAGCCCCACCGTGTATTTCTTTGGAACACATGACCTGGCCAGAAGAATTGGCCAGAACCCTCGGTGTCTTGTGCAGCCCATGAAGTAGAACACACACAGGAAGCCCTGGTTCCAGCTGTGTGCACCACTATGAAGGGAAAGAGACTTGAAGCACATTAAATAGCTACCGGGCTGCTGTGGAAACTCGGTTGGTCAAAATAAGGGCGTAATATTCCGTGGGAGATTTGAACAAAACTATGAGAGAGAAAAACAATTGAGACGGCACCCGTGTAGACATTAGGATGGGCTGGAACCATCGCAGCAAAGTACTCAGGGCAATTGGGGTTATCACAATTAACAGCAGGAAAATGAAGAAGTTTCCATCACTACCATCTTGTGCACATAGACCTCATGTGCACCACTGTGGTGACCGCCCAGGTTACTTTGAAGCAAATGAGTCCATCTTGGAGATGATCACTGCTATCTCACATAACACTTCTGCTGGGATCAGGAACATTTATATGTCAGACAGACAGGGAACTGGGCGGTTGGTGCATGACGTCAGACCGTAAGACAACGGACAACAGGACACATAAGACAACGTAGTGCAAGAAAATGGCACGGGATAAAATGCTGGATATTTTCAATGTCTCATCTTTATCTGCTTATCCGGGTTCGGGGGCAACAGCTTCAGCAGAGGACCCCAAACGAGATCACAGATCAATGCATGGCATCTCACTGTCCTCCATCTGTGCCTCCAGAGGGCGTACCACAGGTCTTCTACTTTGGACCGTGTGGTAAATACAATGCCATGGTTCTGGAGCTACTGGGACCCAGCTTAGAAGATCTGTTTGACCTCTGTGACCGGACCTTCTCTCTAAAGACTGTACTCATGATAGCCATTCAACTGGTAAGCACAAACAACGTTTTATTCATTCTCAAAAACTTTTTTGCTAGTTTGCCGTTGAATTACGTAGCATCTCTGTGCCTTCAGATAACCCGGATGGAGTTTGTCCACACCAGAAGCCTGATCTATCGAGACGTGAAGCCTGAAAACTTCCTGGTGGGCCGACCTGGCTCCAAACGGCAGCACACCATCCACATCATCGACTTCGGCCTGGCGAAAGAATACATCGACCCGGAGACCAAGAAACACATCCCGTACAGGGAGCACAAGAGTCTGACTGGAACAGCGAGATATATGAGCATCAACACCCACCTGGGGAAAGGTGAGCTGCTCCTTCGTGCGCCACGAAGCGTTGATTGAAGTCAGTAAACATTGTAGACGTGGGTTTGTTGACTCAAGTCTTCTTAAAGAGACAGTGAATCTTCCACAATCCGACTACGTCCACCTCTGTATACCGTCTACGGGGACACGAGGCGCTCAGCTCCCGATGGCTCAGCGACGACTGAGTGCTGGAGGGAGATGAGAATTAAAGGAAACTTACCTCTCTACTCTGCCTTTTCAATATGGTCTCATGGAACTGGATGCATAAATGCTCCAAAAAGTCAAATAAACGTTTCTAATCTCTCCTTGTTCATTCTGACCTCAAAGTGATAGACCTTTTCACAGATTTACTAAATTAATAGCTGAAAACATTGTGTTATCAATCTCTTTTATTCAACAACCAGAGTGTCGGGCTGTCTTGAGTATGCAGGCCTGCTACTCTCCATTAACCATGTCGGGATGAGAGTAATTGAAGCCCTTTGTTGTGCTTCTGTGTTTCAGAGCAAAGCCGGCGGGACGACCTGGAAGCTCTGGGTCACATGTTCATGTACTTCCTGCGGGGCAGCCTTCCCTGGCAGGGACTCAAGGTGAGGAGGCAGGAGACGAACCGTCCGCCGTGTTCATCATCTTCTTCGTCCTTATTTATTCCTCCTTCACGTCTCTTCTCTCTACGTCAGGCCGACACGCTGAAAGAACGTTACCAGAAGATAGGCGACACGAAGAGAGACACGCCCATAGAGGTCCTCTGTGAAAGCTTCCCAGGTTCGCACACACACACACACACACCTCCACAAGTCAAAGTCTGCACCTTGCAAGTGTCATTGATGACCCGGTTGGCATATGTTGATCAAAGCGTGTGCGTGTGTGCGTGTGTGTGTGTGTGTGTGTGTGTGTTGGGGGGGGGGTTGTGCCTGTGCGTCTGTAACAGAAGAGATGGCCACCTACCTGCGGTACGTCCGTCGCCTGGACTTCTTCGAGAAGCCCGATTACGACTATCTGAGGAAACTCTTTACGGACCTCTTTGACAGAAACGGATACATCTTCGACTACCAGTACGACTGGACTGGAAAGCCCCTGGTGAGTAGATCGGTGCCGCGCGTTCATCAGGAGGATCTAGTGGGGCAGTAGTCCTGGGGTGCATCTCCAAATCTCTAGATGAGTACTTCCCTGCTGGAAGCAGAAGAGCGTGGTGTGTCCTCTTAAAGGCGGCTCCCCCCCGTGTTTAATGGTTGGGGAAACACTGCACAGACACACATACGGTGCATCCGGGAAGTGTCCACAGCGCTTCACTTTTTCCACATATCGGTCATGTTCACGCCAGAATAATGAAGTGAAAAAGGTTTTGCAACTCTAATAAAAATAAGAAACAAAATGATTTGATGACTGAAGTATTCAGTCTTTACCACGACAATCAAAATCGAGCTGAGGTGCATCCTGATTCCGCTGATCCTCCTTGAGATGTTTCTACGACATGAATGGAGTCCACTGGTCTTTGTTCAGTAGTTGGAAGGATTTAGAAAGACACACACCACTGAGCACTGAGCACAGTGGAAGCAACAGGACGCTTCCTGGATTCGGCCGCCCAGCCGAACCGAGCCATCGGGGGAGAAGGGCCTTCGTCAGGGAGGTGACCAAGCACCTGACGGTCTCTGAGAAAGCTCCAGCGTTGCTCTATGAAGAGAGGAGAACCTTCCAGAAGGACAAACATCTCTCTCCTGGATGAAAACCTGCTCCCGAGCGCTCTGGACCTCAGACTGGGCTGATTCCAACAGGACAACGACCCGAAGCACAAAGGAGTCGGACAACTCGGTGAATGTCCTTGAGTGTCCCAGCCAGAGCAGTGACTTGAACCAGATTCAACATCTGGAGCGATGTGAGAATGTCTGTGCACCGACGCTCCAACCTGAGAGGTCCTGCAGAGAAGAACAGGTGTGCCAAGCGTGTAGCATCAGAGTCAAGAAGACTTGAGGTGTGATTGCTGCCAAAAGGTGCTTCAACAAAGCATTGAGGAAGGCTGTGAATACACTTTATTTATATTATAGCTTTATTTTTAATACATTTGAAAAAGCTTTAAGGAAGCTTTTGTCACTTTGTCGTATAATCCATTTTGGAACAAGGCTGTATATAACAATGTGTGGAAAACGGGAAGCGCAGTGAATACGTTCTGGATGTACTGTACAGGTGAGCACCCTCCCTCCCCCCTCACACCTCCCACCGCCACCTCAAGCCGTATACTTGAGGGAATCGGGGGACTCACTGAGGTTTTGCGCTGTGGGTGATGTGTGACCGGCTCCTAGTACACAACAGTATCCATCCGACTGATCAATTGAAGAAAGGTCTCGTACCACATGTGCATTTCCTCATTGTGGCCCGACTTCCTGTGTTTAGCCCACTCCTATTGGTCCGGTGGCCAGTGAGACGCCTCTTCAGACGAGCAACCGCGAGAAAGCGCCGCAGACCAAAAACCAGGTACGCACCCCCCACGGTGCACACATTCATTCATTCATTCATTCACATACCCGACACTCCCCCCAAAGGCCTGGATCGGGGTTCAGGGACAACCCTAATATTATTCTTTACATTCAAACGTGTCAACTCTGTATGAGCACAGAGTGTCCCGTCCACGTCTCTGCATCTGTTCAAACGCCAAACCTGTCCACGTTTAAAAGGGTTGTTGTGTGGTTATTAACCTTCCCCCAGAATACTGGTGTGAGGCAGGTGAGGTCAAGGAAACACCGAAAGTAGACCACCTCCTTCCCCCTTGTCATGGGGCGCCGGCCTCCCGTGCACGTTACCGCAATGCACCGGCCGAGAGCTCGCCCGCCTGTTGCTCCTCCACTAGTACTGACTCTGAACTCACTATTTCTTTTCTCTTTCCTCATTCTTATGTCTCCTCATTGTACTGCTCCTCGCCCCACCACTCCTCTTTTCCATCCTCTCCACCCCCCTTATTGCTTATTCACCGTGTCTCCTCTACCCTTCCTCCGCCCCTTTCCATGTCGTGCCTCCTCTCCCATCTTATATGTCCTTTTTCAACGTTTCCCCTCCACCACCACTCCTCCCTTCCCGTTCCTCCTGCGATCGGCTTCCTGTCTCCTCTAGTCTCCAGAGGGGAAAGGCAGTGAGTCGCAGCCCACTCCAGTGACCAATCGAGAGCTGCTGGGCTCCCATCTCACTGCTGATAGGCTGGGCGGGTCCGTCCAGGTACTGAGGGGAAGGGTTAGCTCCGCTGGCTTCTTGTCTGTCTGCCTACCTGTCTTTCTGTCTGCCTGCATGACCTTCTCCGGGACGGGGGGGGGGGACCTGCAGCATCCACCTCAACACATATACATTCTTTTCAAACTGGCCCCAAACTTTGTCACACTTGAGCAATGGAGACTCTGCAGGCGGAAGGTAGTGTCCTGGACAAAGCCAATAGGTGGATCATTAATGCTGCCATGAGTATAAACTGTGCGAAGACGTCCAAGCACATTGTGAAGCGTAGTGACACGTTGCCCTGTGTCAGCTGATCTCTGCTGATGAAGCAGAACAGCGGTTGTCTTGTAGGATTACTTTTCCGTGTCACGTGATTTCAAATATTCCATTTGTTTTACCAACACACTCTTTTGCTGTTAACATGTCAGATGTAAAGGAGTCTCCCACGTTCCTTGCTGCACGCAGCCGAGCATCGCTGTGTCAAAGTCCCCCATTTTGCTTTTCCAACGCTTGCAGCCGTGGCGGCAGGTTGGACTGTGGGAACACGGCCTTCTGGAAAACAGCTGTGATGGGATAGTTGACATCCAACTCTTTCATATTGTAAAGCAAGTAGTTCCTTGAGGTTTGCTGGTTTGTGCAACAGTGTAGATTCGCTAATTTTCTGCAAAACAAAGTGTTCTGCACTAATATACAAAATACAAAATACCAGATTGCTGCCAACTAACCCCCCCATATCCTACACGTGGCCCTGGTGAGCCTTTTGGGGAATGTCGAGCACACTGAAGGACAGGCGTATTTAAGAGCATGCACGTGATGTCACAATTGCTGCTGTTTGGAGTGAAATTTAAATATTTCAGGTCAGTAGAGTCGTAGTCTTATTGTTTTACATCGCTTCCATTGCATGGCAGCAAAATGAATGTTGCCGATGCTTTTGTCTGTTGGGGGGGTCTTATGGACTGTTGGACGCCTCCATTTGAAAACAGCCTTTTGCTTTGGTGAGGATGGCAAGCAGACGCAGGTGGACGTTAGACCAGCAGAGACTCTGTAACTGAAGAGAGGATCTATTGTTTCGTGTGCGCTTGTTGTTTCACTCACAAACAGCGTTTTCAAATGTATCCGTCTTCATTTGGACTTGATTCAAAGTTTTTTTTTTTAGTTTTGCCCCTCCAGGATAGGACGTTGGTCCGCCTGTGCTTATCCCCCTTTTCATTTGTTACCTCCAGGTGATGAGTTCCACCAATGGGGAGCTGAACACAGACGACCCTACTGCAGGACACTCCAACGCACCAATCACCGCCAACGCAGAGGTGGAGGTGGCTGATGATACCAAGTAAGGCGCCACACACACACACACACACACACACACACACACACACGGTTCGATGCCCGCGTGTCCTCGGGCGAGACTCTTGACCCCACATAGCTCGTCCAGTTACTGACTGGGTTTGGTAGCTGCTGTTGTCAGTGTATGAACGGATGAGTGACGAAGTGTTAAAGAGCTTATTCATTTACCATTCTCACACACACACACACACATACGCACACGCGTGCGTATGTCATCACAGGTCATGTGCATTCCGTAGTAGTACGGTTCGTGTAGCGGAACAACCCTGGGTGTTGGCCATGCGTGTTTGCTGGAAGTCGTCTCTTCCTGCTCAGGAAGCGGCTGACCAGCACTAACAGGATGCTGCCGCTGCAGTTTTTCCCCTCAATGTATTATTTTGTTCTCTGGAAATTGCGGCGCTTCCACCTTTTCCAGTTAAATCCTCCCGTCGTGGCGTGTGACAGAGGTCTGACTGTCCAACTGTGAATAAAGAAACCAATGCATTTCAGTCAAGTTGCTAAATAACATTGAGATGATTTTTTTCTAAGTAAGCCACTTTGTAGTGGAAAACCCCCCAAATGCAGAGCTGCTATGTGACATAACTAGAAAAGGGATGCTGAGGTCACCATCGATATAAATATGAAATAATGGTGGAGAATGTCCTTCCGAGTTGAGGAAGCAATGCAGCCTGGTAGCGGCGCCAGAACAGGAGACCATGTGTTTTCCTCATCGCTGTGGTTCATCGCAGTGACGGAGTCCCCATCTCGTCATCGCGGATTGCTTCTCCCACTCAGCTGGTGTGCGTGTGTTTAAAGGGACGACAGGCCCCACACTCTCCATGAGCTCTGCTTCTCGGGCCAAAGCTGGAGGCTACCAGTACAGCGGCCTGCCCCCCTCCTCGCTGCGCAAAGCGCCCTGATGGACGCACAACGTGTTCTGTTATTACTCCCACATTCACACGCTGATGACTGCAGCCGTCAAACAAGGAGCCGCCGTCAGCAACTGACCGCGGCGTCCACAGCCACGGGAGCTACGTCGCCGTTAGCTGTCTTGCCCAAAGACGCATCGACCGCCTCTGATTGGAGGACGACCGTGGTCTCCACTCACGCAGTTCTTAATGGAAGATGCGATGCAAATCGTTTTATTGTCATTATCATCCTTTATCGCTGCATGAGAGCTTTAAATGTGACCTGAACAGTGTGAGAATATGCGAGCGTGTTAACAAGTGTTTGTCTGCTGCAGGTGCTGCTGTTTCTTCAAGAGGAGGAAGAGGAAAACTCTCCAGAGACACAAATGAAGGCCAGAGGAGGGCGGAGCCTTGGGTCTCTCTTCCTCAAGCCCTCTACATGTGACCCTCTCTTTCTCCTCTCCCCCCCCTCCCTCCCCGAGCCTCCTTCCCTGCTGTTGGAATCCTATAGTTTACCTTAAGTCGGCTGGACTGGCTGGGACGTGTTTGCTGATCGACTGGCTTCTACTGGTCTGGGCTGAGCGAACTGGCAGAGCTCTCCCAGCAAACTGAGCAGATACCGGATCCACACACACACACACACACACACACACACACACACTGCAGGTGACCACAAACACGCAGCTGATGGACTGTGACAGACTGGATTCAGCCGCTCTACTGGCAGACTGCCTACTTCTCTATTTTTCTGTTTTTTGGTTTAATTCTTCCTTATTGGCTGGTTCACATGAGAGAGAGACGTGTATTTCTGAGGTAATACAGAAGAGAGGACAACAAAAGAGATGGGAAGCAGTGAGACTGCCGAACCACGCGTGCACACAAAACAGACACACGCACACACACGCACACACACACATGTACAAACACTGCACATGTTCTCGAGCTCATCATGAAGAGACGTCATGGACAAAGAGATGCAGCTCTCTCGCATATAGTCTATAAAGTTTTTATTCTGTGGGGTCGAAGAAAGCCACCGTGGGCGGCTCGGTCTATTTCCTGCAACAGACTGGGCTCACTGGACTTCTGACACATTCGCCCTCTGAGGAAAAACCTCCACAACCACAAGAATCCAATGTTAAGAAAAAAATGTTTGCGTAAACTATGCTTTGTCCTGTTTTTAATTTGTAACTAAAAACAGTCTACAATTTGGATCCTGTGTTTTTTTTCTGTCTTTATGCATTCAAAGGTTTTGTGTTGTTTAGCTTGGAGTGTGCTCCTCAATGTTTTTTCTTTCTTTTTTTAATAACTCGTAATTTGAATTTTCTGTTTTTTTTCCCTCTTTCTCTCTGGGTTGTAAGATGGAAAGTCGGATAACTCCATTAAAAACCACCAAACAATATGACATCTGACCTTTTATTTGTGGGTATTGTGGACTATTTATGAGTGTGTGTGTGTGTGTGTGTGTGTGTGTTGCAGAGTGGACCCAACAGTGAGATCACAGAGGTGGGTCTGGACATGAGTCATTCTCAGAGCGCCGGTCGCCCTTTTTGTGTTCAGATATCAGAAACCGCTGGTACAGGATAAAAGCAGGTACCTCCCTGCAGGAAGTCATGCTCCACGTGGGAACGAGTGAAGGAATATTGAACGTAGGCGGTTTATTCCAAACCACAACCAGTGAGCGTTATACACAAATCTCAAGACTAGCTGCCATTACATTTCAACGCGATGCCTTATTGCTTGCATGTGACTGAATAACATTGGTATGTGAGAGTGAAGAAGAGTCAAAGAGAAGAAAATCATTCATTACATGTCATTTATCAGGAAACATTTATTGCCAAAATATGTCAAACATACAAGGAATTTGTCTTGGCGGTTGGTGCGTGACAGTAGACAGTGTAACAATAGACAACAAGACAGCCGTGCACAAGTAATAAAATGAAATGCTAATGTAATGGGTTAGTAGAATAAGGCTATGGGTTAGTATAAAACAAGAGAATAAAGTTAAACATTTTAAACAAAATGCACTATCGAACAAGTGACGAATGACAATGACAGTTAAAGTGACATGTGCAGTGTGAAGCAGAGTGACCGGTGGAGTGTTATGGTCAGGCAGTGGGGGACCGGCTCTGTTGATGAGCCCGACTGCCGACGGGAAGAAACTGTTGGTGTGGCGGGAGGTCGTAGTCCTGATGGACCTCAGTCTCCTCCCAGATGGAAGGGGCACAAACAGTTTTTGTCCGGGGTGACAGGGGTCGGCTACCATCTTTTTAGCTCGCTTCAGAGACCTGGAAGCGAACAAGTCCTGCAGGGACGGCAGATTGCAGCCGATCACCCTCTCTGCAGAGCGGATGACACGCTGCAGCCTGCCCTTGTCCTTGGCTGTGGCTGCAGCGTACCAGACGGTGATGGAGGAGCAGAGGATGGACTCGATGATGGCCGTGTAGAAGTGGACCATCATCGTCTTTGGCAGGTTGAATTTCTCCAGCTGCCTCAGGAAGAACAACCTCTGCTGAGCCTTCTTGGTGATGGAGCTGATGTTCAGCTCCCACTTGAGGTCCTGGGTGATGATGGAGCCCAGGAAACGGAAGGAGTCCACAAAAGTGACGGGGGAGTCACACAGGTGATGGGGGAGGGTGGGGCTCTGTTCCACCGGAAATCCACAACCATCTCCACTGACGCTTTTATCCAAAGCGACATGCAATAAGTGCATTTCAACCACAAGGATTCAAACTCAAAAGAACAAGAAACAAAGTGAAAGTTCATTAAATAAGCTGATTTACAACTTAGATAAAAGATAGACATTAGATAAAAGCCATTGCAAGTATTATTTACTGTAAGTGCTACGATGTATTAGTCTTTTTAGTCAAGGTAGAGTATGAAGAGGTGTGTCTTTATTTTGCAGCGGAAGATGAACAAGCAGTTTAGCAGATGCAGAGCGTATGTCAGCTATTTTTCCGGGAAGAAGGGTGGAGGAGGACTTGGGGGTTTGAGAAGGTCGGAGAAGATCGAAAAAAGTTTTTTTGTGGTTACAAAATGAAGATTCAATTCAATTGGTAGAAAGACCTTTTGGCAGCAGAGATAGAATCAGAAAAAAGAGGAGAGAAGAGATTGAAACTCAAGCAGGTCGTCAAGTTGTTTATATTTATCCATCTCCTTTCCGATGCTCGCGTGGTGGCTCTCACGGCACCGGTTCAGACAACCACGGAGCCGGAGGGGATTTGCCGTCCCGTTGTGTCGTAAGAGGACAGAGAGTCTAGAGAGGAGGACAGAGTTGAGAGGAGAGTCTCTGCGGCAGCGTTCGGATGTAAGAAAAAGCGGATAGAACAGAGCAGGGAGCGAATGTCCCGATGAACCGTTAGTTCGTTGATGGGCTCGTTAGAGAGTAGGAGATGAAGAAGTGGTCAGAGACGTGGAGTTACAGAGAGGTCCGTGGTAGAGCAGTTTCTAGTGAAGATGTAGTCAAGGGGATTGCCGGCTTTGTGAGTAGGAGGAGAGGGACTGAGTGACAGAGCGAAAGAAGAAAGGAGAAGTAAAAGGTCAGATGACTTCTCTGTCTGGATGTTGAAGTCGTCTAGGAGGGTGAGCGGAGGGAATTTTCAGGGAAGTTGGACAGGAGGATGTCCAATCAATTCAAGATCATGTTGCTGAGTTGGATCTTCTACTCCCACTGCTAGAACGACATATTGATTCCCCAATCAGCACATCTCAGCACCGCTGCCAGCTGTGACCTCGTGAGGCAGGAAGCCAATGACCCCCTGTGTAAATGACCCCAGTGCCCCTGAGCAAGGCTACTTTTTGGAGAGACCAAATTTTGCTTGGTTGTTAAAAACCCAACTACTTTCACAATGCGGCCAAATCGAGTTATTTATAGCGCGACACTTCTATGTAACGTCTTTGCGTAACGCCGGAAGTGACCTGTGGAGTTTGCTCACACCTTGTTCGATTTTCAACATAAACAATGGTTGGCTGTCACGTGAGGAAGTTGACCCCACGTGGGTCTCCTATTGGCCGAGCGGTGCGAGGGGAGTTCCTGATTGGTCAATTCCTCCTGGTTTTCGTCTCCGCCCGCCTCGTTGTTGCCGTCTGTTTATACAATCAAGCGTGTTGCGCTGGTGTAGCTGGTTAGCAGCTACACGTTGATGGTGAAGCTGGAAAGGGATTTTTTTCACCATTTCCAGCTGCGGCCATTGAGCGAAATGAGAGCGGAGAAGCGGCGTCGGGAGCCGTGAGAGGACACGCGGCGCTCGGTCCTCCGGCGTGATTCCCTTTCGGTTTCCGAGCCTCCTGCCGAGATGCTCCTCCTGACTTTGACGCGGCTCTCTGTCACCTGATTGCAAGCGATGGGAGGGATGTCCTTCTGTCCTTTCCCGTCTATCGAGTTGGACCCGTGACATGTGGCGAGGACACCGAGACAATGTCTGTAGTCCTCCGGCTATGTCGTAGGTAGTGTCTCTATCCGCAGCTAACGCAGTTTGCCGGACTTCTTTCAGTCGATGTTTCCCCGTTAAGGCGCGTCTCAAGTGTTTTTTGCCCGTAAGTCACCATGTCGGACCCGGAGAGGTCTCTGTCCGTCCCGAGGACACTCAGCTACGCGGTGGGACATGTCCTGAACGACCTGTGTGCCTCGATGTGGTTCACATACCTACTGGTGTTCTACCACTCGGTACTGGGATTCCAAAACACCAATGCAGGTAACCAGTGTCTGTCTGTCCATGTAGTGTGTCTCTGTCCATATTAGTGTGTCTGTCTGTCCACGTAGTGTGTCTCTGTCCATATTAGTGTGTCTGTCTGTCCACGTAGTGTGTCTCTGTCCATATTAGTGTGTCTGTCTGTCCATGTAGTGTGTCTCTGTCCATATTAGTGTGTCTGTCTGTCCATATGTATTATGTCTCTGTCCATAAATAGTGTGTCTGTCTGTCCATATGTATTATGTCTCTGTCCATATTAGTGTGTCTGTCTGTCCATATGTATTATGTCTCTGTCCATATTGGTGTGTCTGTCTGTCCATGTAGTATGTCTCTGTCCATATTAGTGTGTCTGTCTGTCCATGTAGTGTGTCTCTGTCCAGTGAGTTAGTGTGTCTGTCCGTGTAGTGTGTCTCTGTCCATATTAGTCTGTCTGTCCATATGTATTATGTCTCTGTCCATATTAGTGTGTCTGTCTGTCCATGTAGTGTGTCTCTGTCCATATTAGTCTGTCCGTCTGTCCATGTATTATGTCTCTGTCCATATTAGTGTGTCTGTCTGTCCATATGTAGTGTCTCTGTCGTCTCTGTTTGTCATCCCATCCTCTGCACTTATTGACATGTGGACACGTCATCCTTTGCAATAACCCAGTAAACATCAGTGTGACGTCCATGATGTCGGCGTTCAGCTCACGCGGCCGTTTTGAGACGCGTCTCTTTGTGCACATTTGTCCTCACGGTCGTGAGCGTTGTCCTGTCCGGTGACGCGCGTGCTTCCCGCTTGCGCTGCAGGTGTGTTGCTGCTGGTCGGCCAGATAGCGGACGGCGTGTGTACCCCTCTCATCGGCTACGAGTCGGACCGGACGCCGGGCTGTGGCAACTACGGCAAGAGGAAGACGTGGCACCTCGTCGGTGAGACACCTGCAGACACACAAACGCCCCACGCGATGAGCGCAGCGGCCACACGGTCACGAGATGCTCCCACTAGAGGTAAAGTCCATTCTCCCTGTGAGCTGCAGCTCTGACGCGCTCTGAGTTTCTGCTGATGGAGCGTATTTCTCGTCTCCATGCGAGGGTGCGTCATTCGACTTGAGAGAGCGACTCGCTCGTTTCCTCCTCGGAGCGCCGTGCTCGCTGCTTCTGCTTTAACTATTTCCTTTGGCTCACGCATGTCGCCGATGGCACAGATTCTCCCGTTGACCGACCGGTTCCTCCACTTCATCATGCGCTGAAACTGCGCGCGGCGGGCGCGTCGCTCTTGAAGCTGTTTTTTTTTTCTGCCGTGCGAGTCGATCAGAGACCGGATGTGTGTGTGTGTGTGTGTGTTTGTGTGTGTGTTCCTGCGTTCCAGGTACACTGAGCGTGCTGCTGTCCTTCGCCTTCATCTTCAACCAGTGTCTGGGCTGCGGCGCCGGCACCCCGCAGTGGGCCAGTCTGACCTACTTCATCCCGTTCATCCTGGTCTTTCAGTTCGGCTGGGCCGCCACGCAGATCTCCCACCTGTCCCTCATCCCGGAGCTGGTCACCTGCGAGCACGCCAAGGTGGAGCTCACGGCGTACAGGTGCGTGTGTCGAGTCGCGCCGACGCCACGCGGCGGTCCGCTGGTGCTGACCGGGCGCTTTCTGCGTGTGCAGGTACGCGTTCACCGTGATCGCCAACATCACCGTGTACGCCGTGGCCTACCTGCTGTTCCACTTCCAGGCCGGACACGGCGGCGACGACGACGACCCGCTGAGCGCGGCGCTCGGACCACAAGATGTCCACATCTTCAGGGTAAGAGGGAGATCCAGTCAGCAGAGACGTGACGGTGCAATAGGGGGCGGGGCTACAGGCGGGAGGACATATGCATCTTCTTCCTTGGTCGAACATTTAAGAACTATTGCACCTGGAGAGGGTTCTGCCGAGAGCCCAACATAAAGGGTCAAACATAAACCTCCTGTGAGAGGTTCTAAGCGGACTCCTCCCCCTTCAATGGCCCCTAAACCACCCAGACCACCCAGGGGTCCCGTACTGGACCAGTGGGTTTTACCGAGAACAATTTAATATCCGAATCAGAAGCCATTTATTTGACGCTTATGTCACACGGAGAGGAATTTGACTCGGTGCAATTTGAGAATAAAATAAGATTAAAAAGCGAGTGGCTGAGTGAAGGAACACCCCCCCCCCCCCCCCCCTTGACGGTGTTGTGTGGTCTTTGATCCCAGAATCTGGCGCTGATCGTTCTGGCCATCGGTGCTCTCTTCTCCCTCCTCTTCCACCTGGGGATCACCGAGAGGAGGCCTGCAGCCGACGGGGATGCTGGAGGGCAGGAGGAGGAGGGCAGGAGAAGGAGGATGAATGAGGAGAAGGAGGAGAAGGAGGAGAAGGGGGAAGGAGAGCAGCAGCATCAGCAGCATCAGCAGCATCAGCAGCAGCAGCAGCAGCAGCAGCAGGAGGGGGAGGATAGGGAGCCGAGGCTCAGCCTCTCCAGGCCCTCCTCGTCTCTCCTGCAGTGGAGATGCTGGCTGCAGCAGCCCTCGTTCTACCAGGTAGGACCGGTGGAGGCAGAGCTCCGCCCCGCCTCCTCTGTGCATCGGTTGTGATCGCTGTGTGTCTCCGTAGGTGGCTTTGCTCTACATGTGCACCAGGCTAATAGTGAATCTGTCCCAGACCTACATCTCCATGTACCTCCTCAACACTCTGGAGCTGCCCAAGGTAACGCACCCCCACCCCTCCCCCCCGCGGTGCTCCTGCGCTCAGCTGCTCCGTGGGACTCATGTCCTCAGTTTGTCTCCCTCTCGCTGTCTCCCGTCAACAGAGGTTCATCGCTACGATCCCCTTAGTGATGTACGTGAGTGGCTTCCTGTCCTCCTTCATCATGAAGCCCGTCAGTAAGCTCATCGGAAAGTGTGTAAGTGACACCCCAACACGTGGTGACGAGACCTACTGCCATCAGCCTCACTCAGTTTACATCAGATCTGTTGAATCAAAGTAGAAAGTCTACACTAGCAGTTGGTTGTGTAAAGCGGAAACATTTAGAAAGATGATGTCACATCCCATCACAGACAGGGGAATTATGTTTGATCAGATCACACAGTCCTGATCACCTGTACGTTTGAACATGCAGTTAGCAAGTGTAAAAGGGTTCGAACAGATAGAATAGCTCCGTAGCGTCTCATCAGGGTAAAGCATGTTGAGGTAAAGCACTTGGAGGGTAATGTACGACACGGCGAGCCCTGTGACCAGAGGAGGGTTGGCGGACTGGTTCTGTGCTGCTCCTCCTGCAGCACTTCCTCATCGGACTCTTCAGTATCACAGCGTGGCGCCTGAGTGCTTAGTGAACGACCTCAGTGGGAGGTGTAAACCATGGTCTGCTTCTTGCTACCAGAAGTCATCTAAGGTTCCCCTTCCTATAGACGGACACACACACACACACACAAGCGGACAGGGATCTGCGCCGCCCTCTCATCTCTGTCGTCTCTCTCCTGATTGGTGCAGCTCACCTACTTCGTGGGCCTCCTGCTGATTATGGCCTTCTCCTACTGGGTGCTTTTGGATGAGGACATGGGCAAGCGGGTGTTCGGGGCCGCTGCGCTGCTGGGGGCGGGGTCAGCCACCATCCTGGTCATATCACTCGCCATGACCGCCGAGCTCATCGGCGCCCAGACGGTAAGGTGCGCGCGTGTGTGTGTGTGTGTGTGTGTGTGTGTGTGTGTGTGTGTGTGTGTGTGTGTGCGGCCTTTCTCCATCACTATCTCAACCTCGTGCTTGTCTCCGCCCCCCTGCAGCAGAGCGGTGCGTTCGTGTACGGGGCGATGAGCTTCACCGACAAGGGGGCCAACGGATGCGCCGTGATGATCATCCAGGCTCTGCATCCTTGCCAGTTAGTGCGCTCTCACACACGATGTATAAATGCTTCTTATAGGGTCCTCCAGAGGCCAAAGGGCCCCCGCGACAGCGAAGGGACACTCCACTGATTTTAAATGTCCTGAGTTTACTCGAGCTAATCAACTGCTAACTAAACGGCAGGACAAATAAATGGAATGCGGCCGCCTTACGTTCCTGCGACGAACCAGCGCAGCATCCCGTCGCTGCATAGAGCGCAGCTTTCCAGCTTCATCTCAGAGAATGTGCATCTGGGTCTGACGGCGTGTGTTCTCTCTCTCAGCACTGTGGTGTGCTGTCCAGACTGCGTGTGGTTCTACCATTACATCATGGTCATAGTAACGGGGGGCGTGGCAGCCGTCGCAGCGTTGGCGCTCTGCTCCATCCTCATCTGGCCAATCAGGATCCGACCCCGTGAGTCTCACAGCTCTACCGATACATGCTGTAGCCATGCCTTTATGGCTCGGTTCAGGTTCATCACACGTGTGTGTGTGTGTGTGTGTGTGTGTGTGTGTGTGTCTCCAGGTCATCTGCCACTCATCTCTGAGGATCATCCTACGCTCAACTAAGCCCCTCCCCCCTCCTTTGCTCTACAACTGGCGCCCCATAAGCACGCTCAGCTGGACAGGAAGAGCTCTGAAATTTGATTCTTCTTCAGTTTCCTCTCAGGGAGGGGGTCACCATCAGGCCGGATTTCCCATCATTTTACAACCAACCTCTTGCTCCGTGTGGTGACTTTTAAGGGCTGTGGTGGCTGTGAGGGTTCCTCGTCTCCTGTGAGCATCAGGGTTGGAGAACGATGGGCAAAGGGCTCGACCACTGCTGCTCCACCGACGCACACCGGAGCCTCAAAGGGAACCAGATGCATTCTGGGCATTCATCTCAAACTCGGGAGAAGTGCTGTTCCTCGGGGGGGGGTGGAAGGACTCAGGCCTCGCCGCGCTGACAGGAAGTTAGCGCACGGCAGCAGAAACCCCCCCGTGGGGTCAGCCGACTGAGAAGAGGTTTCGTTCGTCGGGATCCAGCCGGCTGCAAGAACTTGTGCCTCATTGTTCGTTTGATTAGCAGTTACATTGGGGACCAATTAGGATGTGATATTGGTTTGAATCGTTTTTCTTGGCATTTTGTTTTACATCGTCGCGATCAGACCAAAGGGAATCATTTATTCTAATCTAAACTTGAGTAGCAGAATTGTGTTCAATATGAAATCACTTTAAAGGGATCCACTCTAAAATGTGTTGATACGTGTGGCTGATGAGGGAACTATGCTGTTCAGTAGAAGTGTGTTGTCACTGCAGTGCCGACCCGTGTGACAATCGTTGATTTTATTTCCTTTTTATGTCTTTGTTGCACCACTGAGTGTCATTTTGTTAATCATTAAACCAAAAATGTGTCTGCGTGACTTGAATTGTCAGTTTTATAGAAAAGTGAAGCTCATAATAAGCAAAAGGTCGTATGGGGAGGCGGAACAGGAAGTTCTACTTCCTAGAACGTTGTGGCCTCAGTTGATCTGTCAGGACTCTTTTAATAAATACACAACTTGGATGTCACGAGAACACAGACGCAGACCAACGTTCCAGATGTGTGACAAATAGTTTTTCTCAGTTGCTTTGGTACATTTCTTAGAAGTGAAATTCTCAACTCCGTGTTCAATCTTGACATCATTGTGTCACTTGTGCACATCAAAAAAGCAGTTTCTCATTTCTTTGAACAAGCTGTAAATGCTTTGGTAAATCCATGCAAATGATTATGAACAATTGTGTTTTCCTACATTATTAAGTGCTTATGTCATGTTGATCAAAGTTAATTTTAATGGCTCTCAGTTGAAAAGTTCATCACATAAGTCTTTACATGCAAAATGGTTGAACAAGGTGACATATGTCAAACATATTTCTGTACATTTTCATTATACACTCATGTCATCCCTGAACAAGAGGGGGAGATAATAATAAGATAATAAAGTACGTGATAGTTTGGGACAACGTCAGCTCCAACATCATCAGGCAATGGTTTGCGACCTGAAACAGGATGCCGTTTATTTTCTTTGGGCTGTGCAGAGCTCTCTTTTCCTTTGTGTATTGCAATGACACGTCTGTTGAGTTGGAGGGGGATGGGATCTGTTCCCAATGGGCCTCTTGCAGGAAGCAATGCAACTAAGACTAGTTGCGACTAAGTGTTCATCCAATTCAAGGAAACACAGAGAAATGCTTGAATATCATAAACATTTATTTATTTATTAGAATTGTGTAATTAAATTAGCACTGTCGCTCCGTTAATCCCACCACTTGTGTATTATGCATCTGTAGAAGCTTCATGATCTCACAGTGACGCCATAACGAACAGACTGGTAAACACCTTCCCCCAGCCTTTTCCTGGCGCGTAGCGGCCGTGTTCGGGGGGGGGGGATTACCTGTTAGAACGATGGAAGGCTGGAAGGCACCGTGTGACGAGCACCATCATCCTTTGACAAACACAAGTGAGCAGATTGTTGCGAGCAAAGTGTCTTTTCCCCGGGGCTTGTGGCTCGACGGGCTGAAGCCGAACGGAGAAACTCGTTGATCAAAGACTGCTTCCCAAAAACTAGTGTCTGTTATTCATAAAGTGAAAAGAAAGAACGAGCAGAATCCACTCTTAACATTTGATTTAATACTGTAAGCATCCGTGGGATAAATAAAGAATGAAGAGCTGCGCGTCAGGGAGCGCTGGCGTTCATCTTCTCCTGGCAGCTGTCCCACAGGTGGAGCAGGCGGTTGTCCTTGTTGGCGCAGAAGTCGGTGAAGTCCCTGAGCAGGCGGTCGGCGAGCCTCTCGTCGCCCAGCGCGCCCGTCCTCCAGACCTTGGTCAGCATGGTGTTGTAGGCCCAGTAGTAGCCGACGCGCTCCTCTCCGCCGTACGGGCCCTGGCTGTTGGAGGTGGTGGAGTTTCTGCGTCTGCGCTGCTGCCCGCTCGAGTACTTTCTCTTGGAGTACGGCAGCTGCAGGAACACGGTGCCTGGTGGAGGAGAGGCAGACGGAGGCTGGTGGGCCTCCGGGAAAAAGAGTGTGTGTCTGTGTGTGTGTGTGTGTCACTGACCTGTCACGTGGATGTACTGGGGCTTGTTCTCGGAGGGGAAATTAAAAGCTGAAGCTGAGAACTTGTCGTGAACAAAGCCGAATCTGGTAGAAACACATTTACACATGTTTGCAAATTGGAAATCCAGATTGAAGAATTCCGTTGAACATTCAATTCCTCAGCACAAATACAAGTAAATTAGATTTGACAGAGAATATATGATCACTCAAGTGTTTGAAGTGTTCAAAAGATAGAATGTTGTTGGTTAGAGGGCACTACATCTCATTGTGAAGCCCGCTATGAGACGGTTAATAGTATGACTACAGTATGTTGTTAATAGTATGACTACAGTATGTTGCTGATAGTATGACTACAGTATGTTGTTAATAGTATGACTACAGTATGTTGCTAATAGTATGACTACAGTATGTTGTTAATAGTATGACTACAGTATGTTGCTAATAGTATGACTACAGTATGTTGCTGATAGTATGACTACAGTATGTTGCTAGAGAGCAGGTCTTTGTGGATACAGACTGCAGGTGATGATTGACAGGGTTCATACCTTACGGCTTTATAGGGGAAAATACTGCATAGTGGGCCTTTAAACTGTTTGAACACAACTCGTTACAATGGGATTATAATGCCACGCCTGTGTAAGTGGCACCTCACTAAGCCCCGCCCCCGGCTGCTCCCGTCGGGCTGTCAGAAGACGCAGCACTTTATGAACATACACATGTCCTTGCAAACTATGTTTAACCACGACGCCCTCAGTAGGATTCTGAGACCCCTGACGAGTCACAGCCGCCGGATGATGCTGCGCTCTGATTGGCCACTCTGCTCTCGAGGGGTGGGGCTCAGGACCACTACGATTGGACAACTAAATGCTGAGCTGATGCTTCTCCACCAGGTTCCACCTACTGATGGTGTCATGAAGGTTCATTGAACATGTGATGTACAGCACCGTTATTAAGAATATTTAACGTTAGTCTCTGAAATGAAGTAAACCTTTATAAAATAATCCTGAGGTGATGACAACGTTGGCACAAAACACAATTGACATGCTTACAAAATGTATTTCCTGATATTAAAATGGCATAAGGGGTAAAGCGGACCTGTAGAGTATGGCCTCCTGGAAGAGCTGCATCCTGTCCCAGTACGTCTCCGGTTCAAAGCCTGTCGGGTGGGTTCACATAGACACGTGTTGGCTGATGTGCACTTTACAGACACAATGGCGGTCACACGGCTGCGGTACCTTCGAACAGGTTGTCCCCGGCATTCTTCAGCAGACTGGCGACGTTGAGGGGGATGAAGAGCTGCGCTCTCAGCGGATCTCCGTACAGGTACGACGTCAGCGCGAAAGGAACCTCCAGCACGGGGACCAGTAGGAAGCCGCAGGACGCTGCCTTCCTGTGCCACCCTTGGACCTGACGGAGGAGGACCATCGTCTGTGCATCACACCCGTCCTCACGCTTTGTACATTCAGTATCTTTTGAAATGCCAATGCTGAAGCACTGTTCTCCTGATCTGGGATCTGTCATATCGGTCTTTTACTCCTCCTTGAGTTTGCTTCATTCATTCTAGCCAAGGTTTACATTTCATTGTAGTGGCTTTTGACAGGACTCACACGGATGTCGTGCTTCTGGAAGCCAGTCGCCCTCCACGTGTAATAGTAAAAGAGCCGGTGCTCTAATGAGAGTCTGGAGGAGACAATCCCTCCATCACACGTATCCTCACATTTTAGGATTTCGCTACCCTAACTTTACCTCATCAGTCTAATCACATTGTGTGTCTCGAGACATGTGACGAACGACATGAATGAATGAACAAATCAATACCATCTCAAAGAGCACTGCAGCAGTGACGGCCATCCAGTGCAGCTTGATCTCAAAGGCTGAGTTGAGCGAGAAGTTCCCGTGGTAGTAACAGCTGCACCATTCAGTCCGGTCACTGCGGTTGTTAACGTCCAGAGTGGCCGTCTTCTGCTCCGGCACCGTGGCAGCTGGGGGACACATGGCGGGAGGGAGGTAGAAGGAGAGGTGGAGAGGCGGGAGGCAAAGGAAGCACAAAAAGGAGAGATGATGCAGAATGAGCGGGAGCATGAGGATCAGGTCAAGTTAAAACAGCAGTTTAATCAAGAGCGATTAGAGCAACGAATAAGCCATGAATGCAGCCAGCGTCTGCAGCGTCACATCAGATAGCCAATCAGAGAGCATTCAGTGTTGCTCTAAAGACAGGCCTATCTAGGTGTGATTAGGTGGCATGAAGCAGGAGTGGAGCCGGAGAAGATTGAGAGAGCGACAGGTGGGGACATCGCGCACCACGGCACTACTGAGCCACAGCCACTAACACCACGGCATGCACTGAGGCACTGCTCCGGGATCAGACACACACCAACCCCGCGGCGTCCACTATTGGACCACATGGATCGGGGATGTGGATGGGTCACACCACAGCGTGAGGGAGCAGACCGGGTGATGCGCCCCGATGCAGATCTACGGCTCTGCCCGAGGCCAGCTGGGTCCAGCGTCATGGAGGCAGCGTGGCGCTGATCGACCACTCATACGCGGGTATGTATCGATCACCGCGACAACAAGCTGCGACGGTCATAGCACATTCTACATTTGTTTCATTGACTGGATTATAAATCACGTGTAAAAAGGCAGCCTATTTTAAATGTGAAAACTAAATGAAGGCCTCGAGGGCTCACCTGACGGTGCTCAGTCGGTCTTGGGTCGGCTGAAGAGTGGAAATGGGCCAAACTGCAGTGTGTACATTAATAATTAGCAGCAGCTCTGGAACAGCCACTTAAGATTTTGGTTTGTATGTAACTACCCGACCAAGAGCCCCGGGACAAATGCCCCCTCTGTGCCTGATGTGGCGTAGAAACTGGACCCAGACAGCCCTCTGTGGACTTGTGTATGATCTGCATCAGACCGCGCTAGGGAGGAGACTGGGGCTCCTCCTCGGGGTGGGCAGGGTGTACCTAGCAGTGCGGCGGCCTGGCTGCGTCCTCCAAAGCTGCGGCTGAAGGAGCTGTGCCTACTTGCGTAGGAGGCCGGCCGGCTGGGCAGCCAGGGCAGGAGGAAGGCCGGGAGGTCGCAGGGTCGCCGCTCCTCCAGCACAAAGGCCACCTCGAACCACTTCCGCTGGAACAGAGCAAAGTCCTCCAGGGCCGCAGCAGACCAGCCTCCAGCCGCGGTGGGGGGGAGCTGGGAGGTCGGGTCTGCAGAGCGGAGGACACCAGAGGATGTGACAACAACATTGCATAGACAAGAACTCACTTGGCAAGAACTATAGACGTTGTGTTAAACCAGGGGAAACAGCAGAGCCAGGCCAATCAAGGAGGAGGGGGGGGGGGGTCCCACAGCTCAGGTGAGGGCAGATAACAGAGCGGGGCACTGGCCACATGCCACTGGTCACACAGACAGCCCGTCGCAGCGCTGAAAATATGTTTTTGAGTAAATATTTTGCAGCCAAATCAATTTACAGGATATTCACAGATAATTACAATCCCTCCTCTGGATGGTGCAGTGATCAGTGAACTGGTCACCTTAGTGACCATCTCCCGTTTCGCTGGATGGTGGAGCCGCCCTGCCTGGCTGAGGACCCCCGATGGCAGGATTTCTAAATTAGATCCTGTTTCCCACTAATTCTTTAGTAAAGGTCTGCTAATTTGTGAATCTTGCCTCAAAGACCCCTGGGAAGCCACAATACATACAAGTACAAGCATGAGTACCATCCTTCTCTCCCACAATCCTGTAGAAGTAGAAGCCGTAGACAAAGGTGCGCATGGCATCTCCAGAAGCGTGGGCCACCACACCTTCATCCAGCATCTTCTACACAAAACAAACACATGGGACACACTGATCAGCAGATGCAACATGAGCACGGAGTCCGGATGCTTTACTGTGCAGCACCGACGCACGTGAATCAAACACGGGTAGAAAGGCGGAGGAGTCCATCCAGGGCAGTTTGGTTAATAATCTTACTGTTTGCTTTGGCTTACTAGAATGCTTAACTAACCCAGTGACTACAATGCTATTGCATACAGCATTTGTTCTAATAAACATCTTAATTCATCACTGAATCTCTCCAACAGCTGCCTTTGTTCATGTGACAGTAACCCTTTACATGTGCGTTGGAGTTACCTGCATGATATCCACCGCCATCCCATGTGTGGCCACGCCCCTCCACATTGTTGACCCAGCCATTGAACGACCTCTGCGCTAATGAAAGCAGTTGAGTGGAAGTCCTTTCTGCTCTGGCAGCAGCTGCACACCGGTCCCTGTAGTGGCAAAGAGGCCACAGAACAGATGAACAGATGCAGAGGACGCAGACGAGGGACGGCCTGCAGATCGCTTTGATCGCGGCCTGCAGTCGTTTGCTGACTGAAGATGTTGTGAACTACTTTGGAGGAGTGAGCAATGGCAGTACTAAACATTAAACAATAGATTTATTTAACAAAATATAACCCTACTCCGATGGAGATTCATGTATGGTGAGAAATAATAACATACGAGTATGTATTAAACTGTTGAAAAGGGAACGTGTTACAGTAGCCACGTGAAAAGATCTTCACTTCTCGTGTAAAATGCAAAAGGTGTGTGTGAATTGTTTGTGACCAGAGCAGCACCCAAACGCGCCCACACACCCAGGAGAGGATCTTACGTGGGATGTTTGATGGCCTCCAGGATCTCCATGAGGGTGGAGGTGGAGGACAGACACAGGGCTCCTGCGGCAGAGTGCCCACTGCGGACAGATATCACAGGTCGCTTTATCCTTCACACCTCCATTGGCTAAAACAAGATGCTGTGCATGTTTAACACGGTACCTGGCGTCTGAGGAGCTGCCGGCTGCCGTCTCTCCTGCAGGCTGCGCTGCTCCTGCTGGGACTGCTGGCTGGACTCCTTTATCTGCCACCTCGCTGCCTTCAGCCGCCTGACGACAGTTCAAACCATCATTTATTTTACCTTCCATATAGAGGCACTCGGGCGTAGGACCAGCACAGTGGAGGTGAACTGAATTCTACTTGAAACAGAACTTTTTAGAATCAGTGCTGCCGTTACTCGGATGATCCACAGGAAAAGGCCCCTATGTGTATGAGGCAGGACGCTCAGACATCTCTCCAGCTGGGCGGATGAATGCAGCAGTGTGAGCGGAGACATGACGGGAGTATATGTGTGTCTCTGTTGCCCCGCGACACCCATCTATAAACAGAACACTACAGGATACGACAGCGTTGGTAAGAGACGGGGGAACTGAACGCCTCAACCTTTCCTTTGGCATCTCCTTCACCAAAAGGAAAGCAGATGATGCATTCCCGCAATTCCTTGCAGCAGCAACATTGACAGAAAAGTCTACTGCTGCATGGTTGTCTTTTTCGGAAAGCGGAAAGAAAACAGCACCTCCTCAAAGAGCAAAAGCGTGTTCGAAGGTGGTTATTGGATCGTTAAAGAACTACACGAGCTGTGAGGAACTGCCAACACCTCAAATCATCACAACGGTAGAGATGACATGTGATGCTGGTCCCAGAGCAATGGGAACTCAATGCACACCATGCACATGCAGCAACGCAGGCTGAGTTCAAGGGGGGGGGGGGAGGACACACACACACACACACACACAGGGGGCGCATTACTGACCTGAGAGTGAGGGATGTAGGAAGAGCGAGGGCTACGTATAAAATCCAAAATAAAGGCAGCGTCCTGTCAGCACACAGGAAGAACATAACCCAAGATCAAACACCCAAAGCCCAGCAACAGGAACAGAACCCAACAGAACAGAGATGGAAGGAGAAACAGGAGCAAACGCCCCCTCCACCCCCCCCCCCCAGCAAAGCACCAGCAGAGACATTTTACCCCAGTATTTACTGCAGATTATAACAGAAGCATCAGCAGAAGCGAAGTATTTAGATCCACACACAGCACAGATGTTCACCTTGCGGGGGCTGTCCACATATGGCGCCGCTGCGGTAACGCTTGGGGGCTCACTGACGGCCGTGGACGGCTTCGCCTGCTGCTGCTGCTCCTCCAGAGACCTGAGAGGAAGCATTTCAAGCTGACATTATGCTCCATCACTCTCAACCCGGCGGCCTGCAGCGCCAAAGCACTCACTTCTGGTTCTGCTCCATCTCCAGCAGGGCCGATAAAGCCGAGGTGCCTTTTTTGCCTTGTGGGGGCCCCGCAGGCTCCGTGGGGTACTGGGGAAGAGGACTAGTGACCTGCAGTGCTTTCATAGGTGTGCCCTTCTGCTGTGTAAAAGCCAGAGTAGAACTATTGTCATTATGGGCTTGTTATTAGTCATGCGTTTAAATCTAGTAGTAAACCCAGATGTCACACACACAGTGTAAAGAGACAAAACACAACAAATATGCAAAATGATCACTGTGTCACGCGTGTCTGCTTCAATGACGTGGAAACAAAGCGGTGAGAAAGGTGTTTTGGTGCGATGGTCGTGTGCAGCACGCGGCCCAGTAAAGGAGCCTCACTCGGATGATCCGGTCGGAGCGATGGCGTCTCCGAATGCGGTTCAGACCCTCCAGGAAACGGATGAAGCCATCGAGGAGGACCCAGTCCCCACTGCCACACATCCCGGCACCTGCTCCCTCCCCATAAACATCCCAGTGCCCCTCCCCAACCGCCGCCCGCTTGGCGCCTCCGGCCGGCAGCAGGAGGAAGCGAGTCCTCCAGAACTTCAGCGACTCGATCAGACTGTGGAGGCAGAAGAAAGGATTCGGTATCTGCAAAGAAAGAGCTGCAGGTAGAGTGAACGTCGATGTGTCTGTGTACCTGAAGTCCTCCGAGCCAGCAGAACAGATGTACTGGTCCAGGTAGTTCCACTTGTACTCCTCCAGCCTCTCGTGGCCAAACTCCACCCAGCAGGACACAAAGTGCGCATCAGAGTGCGGCGGGCAGAGGCTGTAGCTGTACTGGATCTGTGCCGACTCGTACGGGTACCTGAAACACGCACGTCATTGTCACAGAGGACCCTTTTCTTTGGCCTTTCCCTCTGAATCAGATAGAGACGGTGGAGAGCTGAGCGCTGACGGGGGGGGCAAGGGGGGATGCAGGTGGAGAACACGCCTCTAAGCTCGGGACATGTTTGTTTGTGTTCACAGGTTTCGGTTCCCTGGGTGGTGGCAGGCTGAGACAAACATGACGTCATAATGTACTCACTTGGGCAGGTAGCGAGTGACAGTGATGATCTTGTCTTTGAGGCAAACTTTATGGAAAGTGCGGCCCATACTGAGCCAGTAGACCGTCTCCTCCTCCTCCGCGCGACGCAGGGACACCAAACCTGGAGCCCAAGAAGGCCGAGGACACGTTCAGTCAGAAGCTGCTCAAAGCCACCGTGGGAAACAACTACCACATGAAGCTGGTAAAGAATCAGGTGCTCCAAATAACTGAGAAATAAGATACGATCACGAGAATACAGCGGACAAACAAAAGAAACGATATGGACCACGGACCTCGGGAGTAAAGCGGACTGCTGCCGAGCGGCGGGGCCACAGTGGGCGGCGCTTTCCTGTGGCTGGTTTGGACAATGATCTGGTAGCCCTGCATCAAGCGCTGACAGATGAACTCCTCAAACACCTGCGACGCACCCATCACGGGGGCTTCGTCCTCCCGCCTGAAGAGCAAGACATCGTTCTAGCGGTTCTCAAATCCCGATTCCAGGTCCCCCTCCTGGGCTCGGCAAGGTGCCCTTTAGCAAGGCACCACACCCAGAACTAATATAAATATCTCTCTCGCTCATGTGTGTGGCTTTCTGTACCGCCTCATTTACCCTGAAAACAGCCCCCCCCCACCCCCACCTTTCACTACGGAGACTCCACGAAGCGACGTCGCTACTACCTTTCCAGGTCGCTGTGCGGCAGCAGGTCATAGCAGCCTTCGGTGTAGTCGTTCTGCAGCGCCTGGCGGTCGGGGAAGTAGTCGGTGGTGAGAGGCAGGCAGGCCGGCGTGGTCAGAGACTTCCAGTCCACCCCCACTGTGCAGCAGAAAGCTGGGCACTGTGGGGGGTGCAGACAGCAGCAGGGCTTCAGGAGCACCCACACAGGCACAAACACACACACACACACACACGGACAAAAACGATCCCCACAACAAAGACAAATGCACGTACCCAGAGTGGAGAGGTACGTGTGTGTGTGTGTGGGGGAGTGGAGGGAGGGAGGGAGGGAGGGTGTAGGGAGGGGAAGCACAGTGGGTGACAGGTGACGAGAGGAAGGGAGAAGACGAATGAGTGAAGGAGGAGGAGAAGGAGTGATGTAGATACAAACAAACAGAAAAGAAAGCAGGAAAGAGGGGAGGAAAAAAGAGAACGTGTTACTTTTACCGGCCGGCTGGTGATTCCGGAGGTTCTGAGGCAGTGATCACACATGCAGATTGTGGCGCTGTGATATTGTGCTATTACCATCACTCACAGGGAGAAGCAGAAAATGCTCAGTGAAGGTGTGAACTTTCAAGTGACTGACTGAATTCAAGCAGAGAAATCACATCATGCAAACATACATAGAGTGAGCAAACGCTTGAACGCTGTGTGCGAGAAAGGCTCGTTTGATAGAAGCAACAATTTCAATCAATCAACAGAAATACACTATGCATACATGCAGGAATAAGATATACAGTGAGGGAGGTTGGCCTAATCAATGCGAGTAATTTCATATTAAGGTCATCGGAAGGCCAGAGAGAGAAGGAGTGGGACACAGACAGTGAGGATACAGAGGGAGCAGAAGGGGAAACCTCGAGCCACAGGACCTGCAACAATCATTTCTACCTGCGACCCCGGAGACAGACGCCTGTCTGAGACACCTGCTCGCCAGCTGAATAAGCCCCCGCAGGGTGATGACACCCCTGAGGGTGTATTGGTGGTATCTGAGCTACGTCTGCATGACGACCTTTATAGTTTGCAGGGGAAAGATGGACTCACTTGGATCGGCACCACCGAGGGACAGGTCCTGAGATGTGGAGCCGCGGTTGTTGAGATTTCCTGTGCAGAGATTACAACATGTTAATGTCCTAGTATTAAAACTCAAATAGGTAATTTACACCTCTGCCAAACGAGAGCAGCAAATCATCATGTTTGAGAAAATCGAGCATTGGTCATTTATGCTTGAGAAATGACAGAAGCAATTGATCTCTTGTCAGAACTTTTCTTACAAAGGAATTCCAGAAGCCAAACCAGTCGCATTAAGTCCGTTTCTTGATGCTTGACTTCCCTTCGGCATCTGTGGCTCTACATGAAGCCCATTGCTTCCTACGGGGACACACGCTCACCGGCCACTTTATTAAGTACACTTTGCTAGTCAAAGGTTGGACTCCTTACTGCCTTCATTCTTGTTGTTCTACTTTCAACAAGGGGTTGGAACATTCCTCAGAGGTTGGTCCATATTGACATGATGGCATCGCGCAGTTGCTGCAGATTTGCTGCACATCTATGATGAATCTTCCGTTCCACCGCGTCCCAGAGGGGCTCTGTTGGATTGAGGTGTGGGGACACTGGAGTACAGTGAGCTCATGTTCAAGTAACCAGTTGAGATGATATGAGCTTTGTGACGTGGTGCATCACCCTGCTGGAAGTGGCCATCAGAAGATGGTACACGGTGGTCAGAAAGGATGGACAGCAACACTGTGCCATTTAAACCATGTTCAACTAGTACTGAGGGGCCCAAAGGGGGCCCGTTCTCCTCTGACCTCTCACACCAACAAGGCACTTTGTCCACACACCTGCTGCTCACTGGATATCTCCTCTTTTTGGACCATTCTGTGTGAACCCTAGAGATGGTTGTGCATCAAAAAAATCCCAGTAGATCAGCAGTTTGTGACATACTCAGATCAGCCCGTCTGGAACCAACAACCATCCACGTTGAAGTCGATTCACGTCTACATGCCGGAACGCATTGAGTTGCAGCCACGTGATTGGCTGATTAGCAATTAGCAACAAGCAATGGAACAGGTGTACCTATCAAAGTGTCCAGTGAGTGTGCATCATTGAAAAATGTTCAGACATACATAGTTCTTCAAGAGTTGGCCATCTGTAGTTTTAACAAACGTCAATCCAACAGGACATGGGGCATTTTTTGGGGACTACTTTCAGTGGCCGATTAGTAGAGAAACATATGACTCAGTCCAACAGTGTGCGTCATAAAAAGAAGGATGTTTCCACTAACGTCTTTAATACGGATGGGTTCAAATACTCGCTACGTTACAGGAGTGTGTTTTGGAGTAGACTTATCACCACTGTTGTTGCTCCCTGGACTCTCAGTAAACTCCCCCGCTCCTCCACCAACGCACAGGCCATTCTCCCCTGCGTGCCGGGACGCTGTTCGCCTGAACCAAAACAATAAATAACAAGTGTTCATCTCAACGTCGGCGCTTCGGCCCAGTTTCTTCACAAGGGAAACTTCCGCTTCATGTAGCAGGTGTCTAACCTCCCAGTGGCCTCGTGATAGGCCAGTTCCAGCAGCTCCGCCGAGGTGTGGGCGGGATCCCTCTGCTGGCTGCCCTGCAGCTCCGCCATGTTCTGTCTGGTCTGGTGGTGGATCTGGATCGCTTCTCCAGAAGGACCTGAAGACCCACAGTGCACATGCGGTTGGATGCTCGGGTAACCGGCAGCATTGCAGTGTTCATCATGCATGTGGACCCTTCATCCCCATGTGGGTTGTTTTCCAATCAAGTTTGGATGTTCAACGTCCAATTTGCTGAAACACTAAATGCTATGAAAACTAGAATATAAATTGTGGTACTTTACATGCAGCACAGCAGTTGATACCACAATAATACTTCATGTACTTTTCCTATAAAATAGAACAAATATAACGTCTCTGTGTCCTGCATGCAGCTCGGCACCGCAAACTATGTCAGTGATAATGAGTACTGGGACTAGGCCTGTCACGATATCACATTTCTGTTGTGATATTTATTGCGATATTGTTGAAATTTTCAGACCATTTTATGCCACTGATAACATAATGACAATATATTAGCATAGTAATAAAAGTACGCTATTTCAAAGTACAAAGAATGTTTTATTTGTCAGAATAGTTAGACATTAGAATCAGAATGTGAAAAAATATATTCTAATTAAAACAAAACAAGTTCAAGGGACACGGAGCTGGCGAAGCATTCGGGTTTGGTCCGATTCGAGAAAATGTGTCCGCGGCAGCCGGGGAGGTTTGACCCGCGGAGGTTTGACCCGCGGAGGTTTAACGCGGGGAAGTTTAACCCGGAGAGGTTTAACGCCGGGAGGTTTAACGCCGGGAGGTTTAACGGAGCGGCTCGGTGCTGCTAACAACCGGCCGGCCCAGGAGGAATGCAGGACGGCGTTCCTCCTGCCTTAAGAGGCGAACGAGCAGTCCGGAGGAACCAACAGTAGTTCAGGTTAAAGACGGGCGGATGGTTGTTGTTTTGGGTGAGATTTTATCTTAGTTCGCTTCGTTGGGTTCACTGCTTCTCTTCACGTGTCGGTGTCGCTCTGTGTCTGTGTGCGCTGCATAAGCCCCGCCCCCACTTTCCACAAGGAAAAGGGACAGAGGATCAACTTAAATGTTGGTGACGTTCATTTATATGTAGAATGAATATCGCAGCACCAGAAATGATTGCACGCGATTGCACAGTGTGTGCGATATGTCATTTTATCGCATTGTGCAACAGGCCTAACTGGGACACAGCCAACTGAATCGCTGCGTTTCACAAAGTGTGTGCGTCTCCTCACCGACAGGGAAGGTGTGCATCCACCGCCGCCGGTTGGAGGTGAGCTTCATGGGCATTCGTGATGGGGTGAAGGGGTTTATGAGTGCTCTCTGAGGGGTGTAACCTCCAGGACGGATGTGTAAAGTGGACTCGGCGCTTCCCACTGTGAACCTGCCCGGGGCACTAGAGTCCCGCTGAGAGTCCATCATCTTGTCCAACAGCTCTGGACCACAGACGGATAAAACAAGACAAACGGAACGGGGAAAGGAAAGTGATGGATGGAGCACGCTCAAAGAGATTTCCTTTGATTGCTGTTTGAGTTCTTTCACAGAATAAAACCAACAAACTGGGGCCGCCGCCCACCAGCAGCTCCTCAGTTCTGCAATAACCCCGACTACCCCATTAAGATGGAGGAGGTACCTCTGGTGCTGGTGTATCCCAGGGAGCTGCTGACTTCATACTGGACAGAAGGCATGCGGGGTATGAGCAGCATGTTGGACACCGGGCCCAGACTGTCATCAGAGGCCAGGCTGCACTGCTCCTCCGGACACCCGGGGCGAACGGGAGGGGACACGCCGATGCCCGCGGTGACGTCCACCGAGCCCCAGCTCTTCCTCACACCCGTCTCTTTGTCTCGAACCATCCTGAGAGATACACGCAAGTGTCAAGTCGAGACATTAGCATGTTGGGGACGTTATCTCATGGGGCACTTTGTATAAAGTGCAGGTCCGGACTCGGGGGGGGGGGGAGCCTGGCTCTGGGAGGGCTCATGAATTTAGTGTGCTCATAAAAGAATGGTTTTAGAGGTGTATTTAGATCTGTAAATTACTATACTCAGAAAGTCTGAAACAACAAAGACAAACAGCCTTCTGACATTGTGTCAGTAACGAACAAGTATACCACGTTTACTGGCATAAAGTTTAGAAGTGATGTGTACTCAAACGGACTGCCGTGAGTTTCAGGGTTTCAGGGTTGGCATGACTGGTGCTGGGATACTTCCAGTATAATTTATAACGGGGGACAGACAGTGTTTTGAGAAAATGTGTTTTTGACTGTCTTGTTATCCTCACAGAATCTGGAATGCTGAAAGGGGTCGTTGTGTAACGTGTATACTGTGTATACTGTGTACACTGTGTACACTATGTATACTGTGTTGTTAAGCTACCTGAAGTTGGTGCTCCTCTGAATCCGTGAGGGACCAGGTAGTCTGAACACCTGAGCGTCATAAGCGTCGTAGTCCACCTGAATGGGCAGGCTGTTTTCAGATTCCTTAGACGCACAGAGAGCTGAAAGAGGATTAAGATCATCAAGATTCATAAACATGTTTCATTCAAAATATTGTGATGACATTTCACTACAATCTAAGGATGTCACACAATGCCACAAGCAAACTAAGACAGAAGCAGCAGACCAGAACAGAACAATCAGATACTGTTTGCTTCTGTTGATGAGCGCTCGTTGATTACTATTGAAAACCGGTGGAAATGATTCTGATTCTCTGAACAGCACATCGGTTCAAAAACCCTGAATAACCACATGGAGAACCAGAGCTAATCATAAAGATAAAGGGCCACAACTCACTGTGTTCCTTGCTGCTCTTGGATTTCTCAGCATGAAGCTTGAAGAGAAGTCATTGGAATGAGATCAGGTTAAATCCCTGAACACTTTTGTACTGGAACAACACAATAAATAAACGTAATAGAAATGTTAATGCACCTTGCGGCCAGCCAGTTTGATTCGAGGGGTGAAGGAGCTGCAAGAGTTCTGACTCTTTGAGGTGTAGAAGCTGAAAAACAAAGCGATGTCAGTGCACCTCAGAGCCTGCAGCTGCTCTGCAGCCACTAGAGGAAAACCCTTTGCGGTGTGTTTGCCTATCAGCTAACGCAACTACCGTCCACACACTGCTGCTTTGACTGCGTGTGGCTAATAGCGAACAGCTAATGTACCAGTTCCCAGCAGCAATGCCGGCAGACTTGGTGAATTATTGTTTTTAGTTTTGTCGAATGCCGTGTGTTTTAAGCTGCCTCCGATGCTCCGTCTACACACCGTTACCCAACTGGGGTTCGTGTTCACCCGGCACACAACAGAGCTGCTGCAGAAGTCACCGGCTGGAGAACTGAGTGCAGCATTCTACTTCACCTGTGGTTGATCCAGTGAGGAAGGTTATAGTCGTCTCCTACACGGGAGTCTCCAGGTGCCGTCCTGTTGTGCAGCTACAGAGAGATCACAAGCCTGCAGGTAAATGCCCAATGCACCGAAGGAGACTTGCACTGAAGGACCTACCTTGAATAAGGGTACTGCATGCAACGGCTGCTCCCCCATGCACACCAAGTCGACCCCAATACCTAGAGAGAGGAAAGCATGTGTCAACGGCATCAACTCCTCAACTCTCTGTCGAATAGACGTGGTCCGTTTACCACACTGACCGTTGTCAATCATACGCTGTTTGGTGAGAATCATGAGCAGCCGGTCGACTTCAAACACTCCCACTCCAGGTGTGATGACCACTGACATCTGGCCGGTGCGGTCAAAGTTACGGTTGATGTAGTGCTTGTCGAACACTGTGGGAGACAAAGGGGTCGACAGCTGCTCTTCTAGTCTTTTCAGTTTGTGACCCGTGAAGGATTCACGTATATGGAAGGACGGGTTTACAATTCTAAATCCCGTCTGTTTGAGACCATCCCTCCAGATGTTATTTGTTTTAGGGGGAATGGGAGAATTTTGACAAGGACAAAATAAGGTTTGTCATTCTTTTTTTTTCTATGTCTTTTCAAAGACAACAAATCCTCCTTTAGGTAGCTAAATAAACTTTAATAGCAAATCTACTGTGGTATTCGTCTCCTTACCATTGAAGGAAAGGTTAATGGCCTCCAAGTAGTTTCCTTCAGCAGCAGTTGAGTTGTAACCAACAGGAAAACCATCTGGCATGAAGAAATAAAATAAATAAATAAACAAACACATACACGAGGCAAGATTACCAAAGCCAGCTGATCAAGAGATCCACTCAATCACTACCTGCTTCTTTGAGCCGCACCAGGACAGGGTACTGAATGAAGAGCTTCTTGATCGTGACCAGCAGGGACGTCCACTCGTCCCGTCTCTCATTCTGAGCCACCACTCTGATCACAGTGCAGAGGAGAGTTTGAGTGTTTAGCAGCAGTGTTGTACCTGCTGCAGGTGACCAGGAGCACAGTTTCAAAGAATAAAACGAGGAGTCTGGGGCTTTGAACCCGAGTACAGCCGGATGGACGGAACTGCAGCAAGGAAACGTGGGGAACACATTTGTCTTGAGCGTTCACTTAAACAGACTTGGTTTAGTCCTCCTGCTGGTCCCACTGCCTGTAGCAGCCCGCCATCGACTTTAGGAAAACAGATTGAAAGCAGCTCTGTCCTCGGGGACAGATTAACCTGAACTAAGATCTATGATTAAAATCAGTAACTACAATTACCTGTAAAAGTCTTCATAAAAACGTCCCTCGTGGTCCTGTCTGATGGACCCTCTCAGAATCTCAGGGAATTCATCTGAGGGAAATGATATTGACATCAATGAGACGTGTATCAATTTGCATCAGAACTCACTGCGACAGCGTGTACACAGACTCACCAATAGTTTTGGCGTTGTAGAATGTACGGGAGAAAAGTACAACTGTCACCTCATGACTGCAGTTCTTCTCCTGTTTTAACATTAAAAACTGTTTTTGTTTGACGTTTTTAAAACAAAAGCCAACATCCCCCCCAAAAAAAGAATCCCAAACCTTCCACTTGGCGAAAAGGTCCGACAGGAAACCATTTACAGCCTTCTCGAAGTAGAGATCACCTGAGAGCAAAACACTAGGTAAGACGTAAGACTCAGCAGAGCCGTTGTGGAACTGAAAAGCACTGAAGGTCCTTCTCACCATAGATGTCAAAGTCCCACATCTCACAACTCATCTGGATGAAGATGTACACCATTGCAGACGTGGATCTGAACACCACCTGTGTCACAAGTTCACAGGAAATAAATGTATTTTGGATGTACTTCTGATAAAAAGGAGATATGCAGTTCAAACGTGGGGCATAAGTTGAGAAGTGCTACACGATATGGACAAAACTATTTTATAATAAATAGCAATTTAGTGAATTAAGTAGTGTATTTGTTCTGTTCCGTTCATCAAAGTTTGGTAAGCGACATGTAAGTCAAGTCTATTCCTCCTTGATGCACAGTGAATAGAGTTTATTAATGACATCAATTCAGAAAGTAACTTAGGACCACGTATAAAAGTGGCCAACGTTTGAGGTCCGATCCGATTCTACGTGACATGGACGAAATGATCCGATTCTATGTAACATGCAGGAAATGATCCGATTCTACGTGACATGGACGAAATGATCCGATTCTATGTAACATGGACGAAATGATCCGATTCTATGTAACATGCAGGAAATGATCCGATTCTACGAGACATGCAGGAAATGATCCGATTCTACGTGACATGGACGAAATGATCCGATTCTACGTGACATGGACGAAATGATCCGATTCTACGTGACATGGACGAAATGATCCGATTCTACGTGACATGCAGGAAATGATCCGATTCTACGTGACATGCAGGAAATGATCCGATTCTACGAGACATGACGGGAATGATCCGATTCTATGTGACATGCAGGAAATGATCCGATTCTACGTAAAGTGCACGAAATGATCCGATTCTACGTAAAGTGCACGAAATGATCCGATTCTACGTGAAATGCACAAAATGATCCGATTCAGGACACTTCGACCTTCACAGTGAATACAGCCTAGTGACGATATGCTTCTTTGGTACATTTCTGTATCCTTCCAGCACGGCTCTTACCCGGGAGTCTTCACTGATGTACCCACAGGTCACCTTCTCTCCCTTCACCCACAGCTCACTGGCCTGGGCTCTGGACAAATGACAAACGTCAAGAGATGTGAGAAAGCGGCAGCTGAGATGTCACCAACGTTCTCATGTGATCATTCTTATCCTTCCCACATAATGCATGTTGCTGCTTTCAGTGCTACAGAAAAGCATCTATACTGTTGAATTATTATGTCCAAATGTAGTGTGGAGAACAAAATGTAGTCTCAGTACCTTATTCCCGCAAACTCCACTTTCTGCGTCACATAAGCACACGTGCTCACCTGGAATACAGATTGTAACAGTGGAATCCTCAATAACTGTTGTTACACATTATACCCAGACAGCAGAACTCCCACGTGTCCTACCAGACTCTTCTTCAGTCTCCACATGTCTCCTCTGCCGATGTACTGGTCCTTAAATGTCAGCTCCACCAGGTCCAGAGTCACATCCTACGCGGAAAAGAACACTAGGAGAGGTTCTGTTCAACCGGCAAACGCAAAAGGGTCATAGCGAACATACCTTTGGCTCAACAATGTTGACAATGACATCCTGGTAGGCACGCAGCTTGAAGGCTTGTGCCACAGTCTGGTCCACACTGATTGTCTCTAGATGAGAACCAAATATCCATCATTAGCAAACAGGCCCGGCAACCATGACAAACCTCTGCATCAGGCAGTGAGTGGAATCATATAATAATAAAACACCTGCAATCAACTGATATCTGGCCATTATGAGGTCTATTGTAGGAGACGGTCTGCTACGTTATTGGAAAGACAACTAGGACCTTGAATGTAAACCAGACGCACCCGCTGCTGTTTATAGAGACAAAGTGTTGTGTGATAGCTTTAATGTTTAAGCTCTATACTCCATTGTTGATATACATCTACTCTGAATGTTTTACTGATGCGTAGCCGACGTTTACCTTTCTGGAGGTCCTCTTTGAGGCTCTTCACTTGCAGCAGCAGAGGACTGTGCACAGCAGGGAGAACAGTAGCAGGTCACATGGATGTAATATATATGTAACATGTACGTTAGTGGACAGAAAGCAGCCGTCCTCTCAGTACGCAAACTCACCTGTATTCATCTGAAGGGTGTGCGATCTCGATGATATCCCTCAGACTGACATGAGGGAAAACTTTTGGGTTGACAACCAACTCATCCTCTGCTCCAAAGACAAGTTGATTAGTGAGACGAGGTCAGTGAGGTCAACCCTTCCAACACGCATGGAGACGCTGCTTACCGCTTCCTCCAAAACCCTTCTTGTGCAGCACAAGCTTGTATGACTTGTTGTTCTTCATGATGGGCCAGCTGGGCTTCACACAGAGGTTAACGCCTCTCCAAGCTACACGTTATAACTCCATTCATCTTCATTTTACTGTTAGTAGTCCTGTGTGTGTTTATGCAGGAAGAAGTGCCCTATGCTAACTAACTAACGTTAACTACCTAACTAACGTTAACTACCTAACCTAAAGTACCTACAGGCTCTTATAAGCTGGTACAGATAGTAGTCGACAGGACGGATGAACACAGAGAACAAATGAAGCAGTAAAGTTTCCTTAGTCTGTCCTCAAACACTCAAACTGACGTTAGCTCCCGCTGACATCTTGCTACCCTCGCGTGTCTAATTTAGGACCTTTAGCAGCCGCTGGACTAAATACCAACACAAACACTTTGCGACGCTACATAACGTCCAGCTATCTATTCAAATACGTCCACGGAGTTGAAATAAGCGGCGCCTGCTGTTTTCCCGAGGAAATGAAATACATTTAGCTAGCAGCGTTAACTGCGCCAACCTGACACCGACTTCCTCCCCAAACACGGCCGCGCGTGATGTGATTGGTCAGGAGGGTCAGAGAGTGTTTGTGTGCCAAGAGGAATCACTCCGTTTGTTTATCTTCACTTCTTTGGGAAGACTAACTATTTAGTGCGTTTTCTGTTTTACCAAGAATACCTACGGACTCCCCTCGGATTTCTGGACATGCTTCAATTGAAATGAAGCTACTTGTATTTCATTCATCAAGCTTTTATACACGTTCAGTGTTTCGCAGGAGATGAGAAAGTCCAATTGCTTGGATCCTCACAGAAGATTTCAGACAGCTGATGAAGGTACAGGACAAAGTGGTATAAGAAGGATTTGTTCCAGCAGTGCATAGATGCCACACAAACGTTTGTGTACTTATTTATTGGTTAACTCGTAACTGTAATGTATGTCGAGACGGATGTCTCTATTGTAAAGCAAGTCTACCTACGGCTACAAATAAAAGTAACATAAACCACTTTAATATGCTTTGACAACAATACTGGTTTCATAAAAGCACAGCTCAGGTTGGCTATTGCTTCAATGCATCAAGGTATTACTTTAATAATTTACATTATAATACATATTCCACAACAATCCTGCTTGAAAAAAACAACACTACGAAAGCAGCAAACCAAATAATAAAGCATCCACATGGATCCAAAAGGAGTCTGGTCCAGTACTTACTGGATGACCGATATAACATTGAAACTGAATGGATTTTAATGGCATGTGTCCGATTTGTTGTTGGCATGTTCTAATTTCCGAATTCAATACATTGACAGCTAATCAATGAAAACAATCAAACTCATAATATTCTTTATGTGCAGAGAGAGTTCATTTTTTAGCTTCAATCCTGCATGAGCTGCTTCTCGGGAGGTTGAACCCAGGTTGTCACGTAAAGCAAAGTGCCGTTGGCGGTGGGAGAGCTGGTGGAACACGGCCTCAGGCCCGTTGGAACCCGTTCAGTCACAAACAGAGCCTCTGCAGCTCTGTGTGCTTGGGCTCTCCTGAGCGCCTCTTCGCTCCCTCAGCAGCAACCTCTCTTCTTGTCGTGGGCGGAGGCCTTCTCTAAGTTCGCACAATCGGATTCTGTGGAGAAAATGATTGTTGGGAGATTTATGTTCCCCCTCGAGGCTTATCTTTATGGAAATAGCCAAGTCATTACTTACTGATACTACCTCCATGTCCAATGCGGGCCGGGGGCCCACTCTCCATGTCCTTCAGAACACACTTCTCAAAGGCCAACGCTGCCACCCTGAAGAAAAAGCTCTGCACGTTCTCCCCTGGAAAGGAAGTTTCTCGTTGTGGTAATGTGCTCCATACTGATACATCTACATACAACATGGACAGCGTTGAGCTCTTGTGTTTTCTTTACCGGTTTTAGCAGAAACAGCCCAAAACTCTGCTTGCATTTCTGCTGCTATCCTGATGGCGTCCTTTTCTGTCCTCTGTCTTTCATCTAAAGGCTTAAGATCAAGACAAGTGGGCACCAGAAGATTGTTTGAGGAAATCTGCTGAATATAACTTTAATATAAAATGTATTTACCAGCAGGTCATTCTTAGTTCCAACCAAGAAGATGAAACAGGAGTCAGGTTCATTTTCTCTCATGGCCTCCTCCAACCATCGGCTATGAAAACAAAACAACGCTTCGTGACTATGATACACATATAATGATAATAATAAAAATTAAATAATAAACCCCTTATAGCCATAAGCCTAAACAACTGGGCTACTGTTTGAGGTTTTCCAGGATGTCTGATTATAGATATGTGGTTATTATCTATTATGTTCGGCTGTATACATAAATTCTGTCAGTATATATAATATTTCATTTCAGTTGTTATTATTATTTTATAGTTTTGGTCATCTCCCACAGTACACTGTGCATGCATGACGGGGCGAATTTATAAATGACAGTTAGAACGTTCTGTCACAACGATGTTGTGTTGTGTTGTTAGGTATCATCACGCTTTTGTTGGTGGGTGTACGGAAATCCTTGACCCTTTCCTAGTGGGTATACGGCGTATAACCTGCAAGCTGGCCGCGGCTGGAACACCTCCCTAGGGAGGCGCCCAGGGGGCATCCTCACCAGATGCCCAAACCACCTCAACTGGCTCCTTTCGACGCAAAGGAGCAGCGGCTCCGAGCTCCTCGCGAATGGCTGAGCTTCTCACCCTATCTCTAAGGGAGACGCCAGCCACTCTCCTGAGGAAACCCATTTCGGCCACTTGTACCCGCGACCTAGTTCTTTTGATCATGACCATAAGTGAGGGTAGGAACGAAGATTGACTGGTAGATCGAGAGCTTTGCCTTCCGGCTCAGCTCTCTTTTCGTCAGTAAAGCGAGTGCAATACCGCCCCCGCTGCTCCGATTCTCCGGCAAAACTCCATCTTCCCCTCACTCGTGAGGCCCCGAGGTACTTGAACTCCTTTCTTTCGGGTAAGGACAAGTTCCCTGGCCGGAGTAGGCAATCCATCGGTTTGAGAACCATGGCCTCAGATTTGGAGGTGCTAATCCTCATCCCGACCGCTTCACACTCGACTGTGAAACGCTCCACTGAGAGTTGGAGGTCACAGACAGAAGATTTCATCAGGACCACGTCATCTGCAAAAAGCAGCGATGAAATCTGCAGCCCCCCAAAATGTAGTCCCTCCTCCCCCCGACTACGCCTCGATATCCAGTTAATGAAAACCACAAACAAGGCGCAGCCCTGGCGAAGGCCAACCCCCCACCGGATCACCTCCGACTTACTGCAGAGTAACACAGCTCTCGCTTTGGGCGTACAGGGATAGGATGGCCCCAAGCAAGGGCCCCCTCACCCTATACCCCCACCAGCACCTCCCACAGTTTCTCTCGGGGGACCCGGTCATACGCCTTCTTGAGGTACACCACCACTCTTTTGGCACTGTCCCAGACTTCCACGCAATGTCGAAGAGGCGTGTCAACCCCCCCTACATTAATCAAATATTTTATTCCAAAACGGTGCTTTGATGTTTTTACAAGTGTAGAATAAGCCCAATGACGGTGTTATGAACAGACGTACCGTGTATGATCCAGAGACTTAATGTCCGCCATGTCAAAGGCTGTGATAATAACTGGAGGAGAAACAGGAAGTTTAGCATTATTAGTTTACACCAGTTAACCGAGCATCAAACCCACAACCAGACGCGTCTCACCCTGAGCACCTCTGTAGTATGCAGAGGCGATGCACTTGAATTTCTCCTGCCCAGCAGTATCCCAGCTATTTAAAAGAAGAGGCTAAATGAATAGAAGTACTTGATAGATACATGTTTGTAGAAATAGGATTTAAAATCAAAAACTTACATCTGAAGGGAGAAAGGTATTCCAGAAACCTCAAACCTCTCAATTTCAAAGTCTACGCCTATGGTGGCCTTGTAGTCTCTTTCGAATACATCTTTACAAAACCTGCAAAAAAACAAAAGCTAATATTTTATCCCTCAGACACACTCACACAGATGTGTTTATCTTTGGTTCCTTAATATCTTATTGTCTTTTTCATGCAATCAGTGAGTTCCAACAAAGAACTGAAAAGAGCATAATTTAATAAAATCACTTGCGTACTCTGTGCAGACAGTGTAAGAGATCTGATCTGAAGTCTGCTGCTCTTTGGTTCAAGTACCTGTTAATCAGGCAGGTCTTCCCCACATTAAGGTCTCCAACTACCACCACTTTTGACATTCTCTGCCGGTCCCACCTTTAAAGAAGACAACAGACACTTAACCCGAGTGAGATCTGATTGTTTTTCATGGCATGTTGGAGCAAAGCTAAGAATGAGCACTCAAAGTGGGAAACTCACGGCTGATGCCGAGCGGCTCCGTCCTTGAAGCCCACTTTAGCCCGAATGTCCCAATCTGTCCTCAGCTGCAGAGCGGCCTCAGGTGTGTAGCACTGAATAGAACAGGACCATATATTAGTGACATTTATTCAGCACAAAGTTCAACACATGTTCAACACAAGATCAAGTCAACTGAGCTCTCCAGCTTGTCCTCATAGAAGAACCCTCTTTATCATCAGTGAAAGGTTCCACCCAGGACCCCCTACGAGAGGCTCCACCCAAAACTCTCTCCTGGTTTGATCCAGAAACGTTCCACCTTCTAACGTTGCAAACAAGAACCCACAAGGAGGCCCTGCAAGTACCCATTTATATTCCCTTTATGTCCCATGATTTCTACAAACAAAGAGGAATCTCAATGGTTTGTGCCGTGTCTGCTAACTAACCTCTGCAAAAATAGGGGCGATCATATCATTTTACAGTAAAGTTGTGTTTCAAGATTAAGTATCATATTTTAGACTTTAGGATCTTTTAAATACCGATTAAGATGAATATACAATCAGGTTCATTATTACAAATTCCAAAAGTCAGCCATTCTTAGTTATTAGAATATGACATAAACAGCAACAAGCAGATGCTATAACATATATATATATATATATTAAACTGTCAACAAAACCCTTTGAGACTTTTTGAGACGATGTAGAGACAAAGCGCAGTTCGATAGCTGTCTGCCACAGCCTGTGATTGAGTGCTGTGATCTGACACATTTAAACTAAAGTAAAAACTCACAGGTTTCCAATAAAATGAACATCTGGTAGTCTGCCGTGTCTACCGATTTCACCAGTGATCTCACAGTGAAAGACGGGAGTCTTTCTTGGAACTGGATGAAAGTGGAACAGACATTATTGGACATAACAGGCCGTACCTTGGGGAACTCACTGATGAGCCTGTCTCTGCTGATGGGAATCATCCCATTCCTGTTCCCCTGCATGACGACCTGAGAGGGGAAAGAAGCAAGACGCTCTGATACCAAGCACTCTACATACGTATCAACATTTCTGCATCCTTCCTCAAGCCGATTGAAGCACCAGGTCCCACATCGTGGGTGACATCTAGCTGCATTGCATTACACAACGCGCACAATGTGAAGACACACACAGTGTTCATGGGTAACAACATCAGTTTCATACCTCTCATTGTACGATGAGAGCAATACTAGTCACACTGTTCTAGAGACGCTAGTGGGGCTGCAGCATCATGAAGTTATCCAATGCAAGACCGGAAGTAGGGGGACTTTGCCTTTAAAGTAAAAGCGTATTATCAAAATTCGAATTCATATTTTAAAGAAGAGGGTAGGGAAATACATACAGTATACGTGAATTAATCATTAACATGTATAGTGTGGTTTTAGGTGTTTTACATTTCCTCCACTGACCCCAAAAACGGCTAAGCGTTTTAGTGTGAAGGTCCTAAGCGGAAGTCACATTCTGTCCCGCTCTGACGGCGACAAGCCGAACACACAACCATCGTCTCCACAGCACGAACCTTATGTTTCACATGTGGCGTCGACTCTTTCTCCTCAACAACGCCCGCTGTTACTGTTGGTCCGAACTACGAACACCGGACATGACTTGTACTCACCGCGGATGGAATATCGGGAATCTGTCCTGCGGTTCTGTGAGGTCGCCGCGTGCTGCTGTTTGATGAGTGGCTTGTTTCCGTGACAACGGAACAGTGCCGGCGAGGTCACGTGGTGTTCCGACCTAAATGCAGGGGCCTTTACGAGGCCCCGAAGATCCCCATTAAAGCGAATGTATATTTACTACAACGCGTTAATTAAATAATAATATGTAATGCACAAAGTATGATGACTGAGATATAAAACAGGCAGTTTGGACGATTATGTAAGAAATACAAACAAAATGTATTAAATGCCACCTGTTATTGCTGCATCACACGTTAAAATGGTTTAATTAATATTGCTCACACAACTAGTGTGTTAATGTAGCGTCTGGACAACTGTATGTGATATATCTTGTTTGTGTTAGAACATTTTAATTGTAAATACATGTTTTTGAAAGCAACCTGTTGCACTTTATGAACATTATGACTTTTATAATATTTCAAAGTGAAATGTATTGTTGTTGAAGAGTAAAGTAGGATTAATGGTTAAAGATTAATGCACCCCATAATTGTACTCATGTACAGGGTTTACGTGAATTCAGTTTCATTGTTACCCCATTTACCCTTCCAAAGTCCTTCCCTGTTTGAGTTCACCAGTTCATATCAAAGCAGTCTGTCAATTTGCACCACCTTGTGGTGTAACAGTCTACAATGTGTCAAATGAACACATCCAGCCTGTGACAGAGTGTGTTTTCCAAGTTTCTTGACTAATCTTTAGCGAAGCAAGCATCTAATAAGCTCAGTGAGGGTAAAATTGGGTACTGACGTCACCAGTGTGTCCCGGTGGAGCGCTGCTTTTTTTTGAAGGGTCCCTCTGGACTGAGAGTGGGACTTCTATGGGGTTCTGAAAAAGGTCTCCGAGCGGGGACTAAATAGCTGACTATTACTATTCTAATTTTTAAAGTATCCACTCAAAGAATATAGTTTCATCTTTCAACATTTGTAGGTGTGAGTCTCTGTGGCGCAATTGGTTAGCGCGTTCGGCTGTTAACCGAAAGGTTGGTGGTTCAAGCCCACCCAGGGACGAAGTTTATTTTGTGTACAGCTGTTCGTATTTTGCACCGAGTATCAATCTCAGCTAATAAACATGACATTACATTACATGTCGTTTGGCTTACGCTTTTATCCAAGGCGACTAAGTGTATTTCAACTATAAGAATACAGACATAAAAAGAACAACAAACAAGAAAGGGCTTATTCATCAAATAAGCCGATCTACAAGTACAATTTTGTTGTCAAGGTAGAGTCTGAAGAGGTGTGTCTTTAAACCCAAAGGTCTCCTTTAACCCAAAGGTTACTCAACGGGAGTGGTTTCACACACTGAGCTGAACGTGGACTTTGCATGACGTTGCAGTGGCAGAGGGGCACGCTCTCTGTTTGCCTGTGGGTGATCACATCATATAGTAAAGGAAAACACTACATTGACACTGTTTACAATTCTTGAATTGAATTCAACTGAATCGTTGAGATGAATTATCCATTGTCTACGTAACAATGTCTACGTGAGGTTGTGGTTGGAACTTTATTACGCTTTGGAGCAGCACCATGGACGTCCAACGTCTCTGTGGCGCAATTGGTTAGCGCGTTCGGCTGTTAACCGAAAGGTTGGTGGTTCGAGCCCACCCAGGGACGTCACATGTTTTGCTTTACAAACTAGTTATGCAACACGTATTTAACACACAGATAATGTTTGAATCAACCAATATGAAGCCTCGCGACCAGGTTACTCTCCCCCTCAGACGCAATGCTCTATGCATGAACCGGCTTTCTTGAATTTTTGGCTTCACTTCCGTGACGTCATTAGTCGCTCTGTGCGAAATCTGCATAATGCCTCCCCCCGGCAAGGTTGGCTCACCTTCAAATAAAGCAAGACAGACAGGAGCTGCAGTTTGGTTTCATCTAGAAACTGTGTTCCTCACAGAAATAGGAAATGTTCTTCGTATGGACGGTTAGAGGAAGATAACCTGAACAACAACAACAAGTGGCGAAATGTCATTTCTACTGCGATGCAACGGATCACAAAACTGCCAATTCATTTCTAATTTCACATTAATCAAAAGGAAATGGTTTATTAAACTACATTTGACTACATAATAGCAGAACACTTCAAGGTGAAGTATACGTGAGCCAATTCATCTTAAATGCAATATTAGATTTAGAATTGATTGAACAACTATTGAACACGACATAAGAAAGGCATTATATAATCGTCAACTACATGCTCATCAAGATATATTCATTCACTCGTAAAGATAGTATAGAGTTACTTTATTAATCCCACCAGGGGAACATTCACATTTACAGGTGAAGAAATCACAAAGTAAGTAAGTAGAAAAATTCATAATTTATACAAAAAAAATTTGACAAGATATGATAGGTAAAAACAATGAGAATACTTTACGAACAAAAAAGATGGAAAATAAAGGTGTAACAGTGTAGATGTGTTGGAGTGTATGTGTGAGAATAAACAAGGCTTATGTTTGAACATCATACGTATGGTAAAAAAAAACCTGAAACAAGGACTACGTGGAAAATCAAAAACCGCCATTAAATGTTCTTTCAAACACATTTTCAACCTTTTCTGCAAGAACATCTTGGTGGGAAAAGTCGTTCCATAATTTGGCTCTAAATCTCACCCAGAATTGCCCTTAGTGCTTCTGGAGGGTGGAGATCTGAAGGCTGACCAGTTGGCGCACAGGTACAACTGTGCCAGGGCTCCGCCCCCTGATCCTACCACGGTCGGCGTCCAGGCTCCGGTCCCTTCGAGCAGCACATGTTCCGGGCGTGTTGGATCTTCTTGTCCCGACAAAGAAGCAAAGGCTCAACACATTCTGCCATTATAGATCGTACGTGGTAATCGATTTAAAGAAAGGCGTCGGGCTGCCTGCGTGCTGGGCCTCTCCCTTCCAACGCGAGCCATCATCCCGTGAGAAGCGGCCCCACTGCGCTCTGAAGGCCATGTCTCTAGACATTTGGTAGACGTCCCGACCTCCACACAGCTCTAGAGAAGTCAAGGGACTTGAGGGACGCAGAAGACACCAACTGCCACTGTAGAATTTAAAAAAAAAACAATAAAAAAAAAAAGGCAACCAGATGATTAAATCTCTTGCTTGTGTCTTCTTTGCTGTCATTGGTCCGCAACATTGAGCCTGATCACACGTAATCATATTAGACAACATCATTACAGTGACGATGGAGATGACAGTGAAGATAAAGCTTATTTCCTCATCCCCCCTTTAATAAACGTGTGTTCCCTGCTGTCCGTCCTCTCTGTGTGGACTCGCTTCTCAGTGAAAGCCTCCATTGACTCGGAAAACAAAGTAACGGTTGAAAGAGGAGCTGCAAGAAAGTCACAGCGCCGCGGTAAGAACTTCTGTCTGTCTGAGACTTAACGTGCAAGTTTTAGAGATTTTTGCTTTATTCCACACACAAATTTACATTCAGATGTATTGTTATAACACCACATCCATTCATTATGTTTCTAAAGTCATGGCTTTAAATCATTTCTCATGCATATGAATATGAGAATCCTTGAATTGCAGCATAATCGTGCTGACTAAAAGAATAGTCTGTATTATTTAAAAGTGGGCTTGTCTGAGGTACTAATCCAGTCTTACCTTCAGTGGATGGAGTCCCAGCAGGGCAGCGAAGCAATGAGCTAATAGAATAATCCTTTATTTGTCCCACAGTGGAGAAATGTGCAGGATCACCGGAAAGAGACATCGGTAAAATGACAGAAAGTAAACAGTAAACGTAGAATAAATAAGAAAAAACGTTAAACACAACAAAAGACAAATGAAGACACGATAATGGGACTGAGGGGGGGTCACATTAGTTCACATGTAAAGCAGGAAATATCAAGTGTGGGCATCGCACAGTGGTACACATTGATGATGATGCTCCACATGAATGAATATTCGCAGCTTTTTTATATTTTGTAATCCTGCATAAAACGCTGACTGCGATTCTTTCCTTCATCAACTCAAGATTTGATAACTGTAACCCTTTAAACTGATACTCTATCATTTCTTTCTCACCAGAGATTAGTCTTAAAGGTACAAAAGGCTAATGTCACACACACACACACACACACACACACACACACAACATGGTGTCCTGGGCGCATGTGTGCCCGGTAATCTGATTTAACGGGATTAGTGAACGTGATCGCGGCTCACAGTAAGTGCTTGTTGCGACACCGTGTCCGGCTGCATGGACGCACATTCACACACTTGTTGGGCTTTGCTGTTGGCGCTTCTGTCTGCACCCGGTGGCCATGCTTACCCAGGTGTATTCTGGGTGTATTTTGAGGCCTGGCTGCTTTAGTTGTCTTTTGGCATCATGCATCAAATGTTGTGTAAAACCACTCTTTGTCAACTTTTTCTTCAATATGTGTGTGTGTGTGTTATCTTCAACTACATTATTCAGAGCAAAGAGAGGAAAACCGTATGATGCTTAATTAGTGTGTGTTTCAATTCAGCCTTCTACTTGCAATAAGTAGTAATAAATGTTCTGCATATGATTTTAACCCGGTGTTGAGTACAATTTTCAGGTTCTCCAGCTTGTGTGTTCCTGTCTTGCAGACTGCGATCAGGATGTCTGGCCCCACCCAGGAAGTGGAGGAGTTGCCTGCCAATCACACAGGTCAGAGGCCGAGGAGATCACATGACTCCCTCTGTGTGATGTAGCTCCTGTCAATCATCAGGCATACATACAACTATACAATGTTTTACTGCGGCAACAACCCACGCGCCGACAACAGCACATCACATCCCAGCACGTCGTCACCAAGTTGCGTTTTTGTGTGCGTGTCTTTGTATCTGCAGGTCCAAAAGGCGTAATTAATGATTGGAGGAGGTTTAAGTTGGACAGCATGGACCAGACAGTCCCACAGAGCAAGAGAGAGCTGCTCAGACAAATGTCCAGTCCCCGGGAGGACGACAAGGAGAGAGTGAACAGGAAGGTGGACGGACAGCCCCATCCCAACCTGCACACACACGACATACCCGCGTTAATGCATACTCAAACACAAGTGCACAGATATTCACCAACAGAAACAAAAAGAGACGTTCAGAGACGTTCATGAGCTGACGGGAAGACAGACACCATCCATGAAACACGCACATACACACAGCAACTCTCTACTGCGTGCTGCTTTGGACGCAAATGCTGGTGCAGCAGTAACGTGTTTCTCCTCCACCTCCAGATGAGCGTTCAGGAGTACGACATGATCCAAGAAGAGGACGAACGCTCCCTGAAACACTACCGAAAACAGTGCATGCAGGAAATGCACGAGCGCCTGAGCTTCGGCCCCTCGTTTGAACAAGTGCACGAGCTGGAGAGCGGAGACGCCTTCCTGGAAGTCATCGAGAAGGAGCACCGGCTGACCCTAGTGGTGGTCCACATCTACCAGCACGGGGTCAAAGGTTAGCTCGCTGACTCAGTGATTTAAGTCGACACAAGCCAGAGTGGTCCCTCCGCTGCCGTCCGCTAACCGCTTGTCCTCCTTCAGGCTGTGAGCAGTTGAACTCCTGTCTGGACTGTCTGGCCTCCGAGTACTCCGGCATTAAATTCTGTCGTATTGATGCTGAGGCCACGGGCGCTCTGGAGCGCTTCTCCCCCGAGGTTAGTAAGCCAGAACCAGTTCGGAACCAAAAGCAGCACAGGAGAGGATGACCGTGATATTAGTAGTGACACTGGTTTAATAGTGATTTCATCATCAATTATACAGTTCACTGTGCTGTAGAAGTGTTTTGTTGTACTGCATCTAAAGACCTGTGAAGATCAGTCAAATTAGACTGATGACTGTGTGAAAAATTGACATTTTAAATGCAATTCTGACACGTGAGGAAACATCAATCCTTTGCGTTTCATGTGTTTACTGCTGCGTGACTCTGTAGCTCCCCTACAGATGACCCTGTTATCTGATATGTGATGATAAATCATATGATATAATACCCCGACATTTGACAGGACATGACCCGAATTGACATAATAACTGTATTCTGCAACAAAAACGAATTGTTTGACTGAAACCATAGCAGCATTGAATCGAACACCTCGCTATGGAACAGAATATTCGTGATGATTGTGACTAGATGAAAGCAGTATCCCTGTGACCACCGACTGGTCCCTCTCAACCACAGCCTGCAGATACATTTGTGTTCTTGTTCATCTCCCTCAAGGTTCTTCCTGCTCTGCTGGTCTACAAAGCTGGAGAATTACTGGGGAATTTCCTGGCTGTTACCAAACACTTCAATGAAAACTTCTTCGCAACGGACGTGGAGGGGTTCCTCAACGAATATGGCCTGCTACCCGAGAAGGAGTTCACAGCATGTCCTGATGATGAGGAGGGAGGGGACGTAGAGTAGTGAGAGAGGATCTGGAGATGGCTGGAGGAAGGGGTGAAAGGGTTTACTGTTGTGTAGGAGAGTGGATGAAGGGAGAGGACACAGGAAGAGGCGCTAGAAGAAAGCAGTTACATTGCATGGGCAGAAACACACAATAGTAAACACTCACCTGCACACACACACACACACAACGCTGGTTGTATTTAGAAGCAGTTATGTGCAAACCACTGTGTCCCATCACAGCTCTCCAATAAAGGCTGGCATTACCAGAGAGCCGTGTGTGTCTGTCTGTGTGTGCTACATTGGACAGATCTCTGCAGCACTACGTCTGCTGCAATACATGGATTTATGTGTTTGTGGAGCATTACCTGATCCTGAAGGAGAGTGAATCTACCAGGTCAACTTTTCCCCGAGGATCAACCACCAAGTTTCTCTGGTCTTGTTGCTGCTTTTTCACTAAATAATCTAAAAAGTAAACAAACCGTATGCCAGAAAATCAATCAAGGTAAGTAAACATTGAGTGTATTGTTATTTGGTAAATGCGCACTATATTTTTGGGGGCGTAATATGGACCCTTAAGACCCGTCTGCCATTCCAAAACCTTTAAAAGATAGGTAACCGGTGCAACTGGCCAATGGGGGTCGCCCCAACAGAGGGACCTCCCCTTGAGCTCCCCCCAAAAAGAAAACATAATATTAAATTACAAAAAAGTTAATATTTGTGTTTTTGAAATATGGAATGTAGCCAGTACTATTTTTCAATTATGATATCAGGACAGAATACATTATTTTCTAAATACAATCCATTTCATACATTTTGAAAGTAATTTAAACTCTAGCCGGGAGAATTTATAGCAGGGTAGTTATGGGCTTCCTATATGATGAGTTAGGGTGAAACCACTAGGAAGCCATAAAGTACAATTTGAAAGAAAATGATTGAACTAACGTTAAGTGGTCCTGGTTTGATTTGTTGTTCTGCGTATCCCCGAGTCTCGCCTGACAGGCACCCATCCGCCTGTACACAGCAAACGCGGTTGGTTTGTAGGTAAACAAGTGGTGTTACTGAACCGTTCTCACCGTTATGGATATGTCTTAATACCACTTGTTATACCGGGGGAAGTATTTGTACGCTGCACGGAAACAAGCGTTGCCTGATAGTCTCGGTCTAGGGAATATTTACCCATAATCCTCGTCCACTCCTGCTGTTTGGACAAGGCTAGCGACCAGCACGCGGATTTCTACTATAGTGATTTTAGACTCATTGAAATTAAACAATTTAGTGAGTTTAGGTTCATTGAAATTAAACAATTCAATTACATTTAAAATCTGAGAGACTAAATTTGGAGATGATGCAGGATGATGCGCGCTACCTCAAACGGTGAGTTTAACATTTTTTCAACGTTCACGATGATCTTATTATAATCTCGTCTTTACGTTATTATTATTATTATTAAGAAAGCAGAGTGTGTTCGATCTAGTTGTAGACCATTATTAATCTGAAATGAGACTATGGAGCGTGCGGTTAAATCCCAATGGCATTTCGGTTCTATCGGAGAGAAGCACAAACAAGTACTCACTCGGTGGGTAAAGCTAGTACCACTAGTAAGCTGTTTTATGGGCATTTATAGACCACTGCAACACACCAATCAATTCGGAATACAGTGTAATCCCCGTATAATATACAAACGTGAACAAATCTCGCATTTTACAGCCGACAGCCTTCATTCGACAATCCTGTCTCACCAAAACAAACCCTAGAAAATGGGGCCAACTCATTGTTGTTTATCGGTAAAAGCCACCAAACTGTTTTGTGTGGTGAATATCATTTACACCGAATCGACTAAAATACATTAAACATGATACGAAACGTATTAAATTTGTCTCCCGACATTTATTTTCGCCTGTATCCACAATAAGCATTAAACCGACGGATTGTTCAACGGGGTTCGGCGTTGGTTAGCGGGGCTGCGGCGTCTGGAGGGCAGCTAACACAGCTAGCAAGCTAACGTGACACGGTGAACCTCGCTAGCTGTCATCTGTTGAACTGGTCCAATGTGCGACATATATACTGACTATATATAGTGAGTGTTTCTAATCATCCAGCTCGTTAAGGAAACGCGTTAACATGCAGCTAACCTCCACGTTATATCCTTATAAACGCTAAATTCTCTATTTGCTTCATCAGCACATGCAGTTCGTTACTATGCAGGTTGCGTGAAAGATGCTTGATAGAGAGCTGCTCCACGGCCCGTGGAAGGCCGTGAATGACCCCCACTGATTTACTGTGACGACCCACAGCAAAGTGACTGCGGGCAGCTTGGATGTCCACCCCACGGAGAAGGCCCTCGTGGTCCACTACGAGGTGGAGGCGTCCATACTGGGCGAGGGTGGAGGACACATGCTGGGCGAGCGAAAGGAGGGACAGAAAATGTGAGTGCGCGCTTGATCTTCTCCAAAGAAGCAAGGACATTTGCTTTGTCTCTTCTCCATCCTCTCAGATTCCCATATCTCTGCCTCTTTTCATCGCTGTGTGCAGGCGCGTGCACAGACGTGCTCAAACCAAAGCGAAATGATTCTAATAATAAAATAATTAACTAAATTAAACACCGTAGGATATTTTCAACTTACCTATTTATTGTTGTTCACAAACCAAATTGAATAGATAAATAAATAACAGGCAAAACAGTCTAACTCAAAACACATTTAGGGGGAATTGATGACTGAGAAAGTAATTTTTTATTCTTAGATATTGACGAATGAAGAAAAAATTGGGCCCCAGCAGAAAGGGCACTTTGGTCATCTGGGGCAAAAGGGCGGGTGCTTGAGCACCACCAGGGGTCTATCTGTGCACGTCCCTGTCTGTGTGTATGTATACGTTTTAGAGACGCACATCCTTGAAGGCACTGTTGTGTTGCTCTTCGCTTGCCACACAATCGGTCTCTGGTTTGGACCAATGTATTTTACAATGGTCTTATATTCTTTTGCTACGGTCTTATGAAGCTCACTAAGTCATGAATTCCACAAACTCAAGCCCGCATTCATTCCGTCCCCCGTTTCTCCCCCCCAGTATCCGAGTGAAAAGTCTTTCCCCGAGCACAGACGTGGGAGCCTTGGCCAAGAAAGTGGTGGAGGAGTGTAAACTCATCCCTCCTTCCCGTTTGCCCCAGGTGGAGCAGCTCCTCTACTACTTGCAGAACAGGAAGTCATCACCGGTGGAGGGCAAAGGTCAGTGATGTCTTTATGTTTACACCCGTGTTCCAATTCCATGCTGTCTGGCAGTAGACCTCAATCAGTGATCACACAGGGGCCGTTAATAAAGGGCGGGGCCACTTCACAAAGAAGGAAGTGCGCAACCAATCACATGTGATAAACATACATGTTCTCTCTCTCTATTTCTCTGCCTTTAGCTTGATTTGTGTGGGTGTGATTGTCAACCTCTTACACATTACGCTTTACTTGAAGGATTAATAAATGTTGTTTTATTTTTGACAATTATTTCATCATTAGCTGACTCATCAAATGCTTCCCTTTCTACGGAATACAAAACACATCACGGTTCCGTGAACTTTCCTCTGCAGAAACATGTCCAATGTAAATCGCATTGTTTAATTTGTCTGCAAAATAAAATTGTTTTAAAACCCCCGTAAGGACAGAGGGATGGCCGGTTTGGGTTTAGGGTAACTAATTGATTCTCAGCACATGAATCAGCCCTGTAAACGTATTTTATATATTTTATTTAGTTTAATCTATGATTGGAAGACTGTTGCTACATTTTGCTGCTGGGTAAAACGCCTGTGTCCACACTGTGACAAATATGTGTGTTAATGTTAATGTGGTCCTGATGGCATCTTGTGATGGTCTGTGACCTCCAACTCTCACGGGAGCAGTGCGAAGCAGATTCATAATATATATTTATACATTTACAAGCCTGATATAAGTCATGATTGTGGAGGGTAACTTGTTTTTCTTATGACAAACTAGATAAAAGGTTGGAGCCCTGGCAGCGGCACGCAGCTATAATGTTGTCTGTTTGTGTTTTCCGTCTCCAGCGGAGCAGAAAGAGAAAAGAACAGTGAGACCCAGAGAGCTGACCCCGTTTGAAGGAATGGAGGTACCGAATGAAAACACTGACAGACTTCATGGTCTTTTTCCTCCTCCAGACATTTTTAGATTATTCGTACTCTGCCGTTTAAAAGTTTGGGATTTGCTTTTCCCTGGGAACATATGTAATAGATTTTCAATTGAAATTGAAATAATACTATATGATCATAGAATGGCGTCCTCGCAGACCTGTGGCATTCTAGCTGCCGCTTTGTTACGGCCTCTGTCTTATACAATCATCCATCACCCCCCCATTGACTCATGGAATCTAGTTTACAATATGGCTGAACTAGAGCGGAACCCTCGTTCATAAACACGACTCAGTACTGTTCTCTTATTTAATTCTTTCAATGCATTTCTGAATAAATGATTGATTGTGTAATTTGTTCGTAATGTTAGTTTTCTACTTCAAGTGATTGCTTCAGGCCTGAAAATGACAAAAGTGGTATTCTTTTGTTGAGATTATTTTGCTGTATCACAAAGTTAGTTTTGCTCATTGGTCCACAGTTCCTTTGGCTTGCGGTGGAGGAACCGGTAAGATGCTGACTTGTGACCCGCTCAACGAGAGTCTGTGTGTGCGCTTCATGTTTGTCTGTGCAGCTCGATGAGGAAGCCAGTATTACCAGAGTGGAGGAGTACATGGAGCTGCTGTATGAAGGAATCCCAGAGAAGATCAGAGGCTCTGCTCTCATCCTGCAGCTCGCCCGTAACCCTGACAACCTGGAGGAGCTGCTCCACAACGGTACCCCCCCCCCTCTGCGTTTAGCATCGTATCTTACACAAAAACGTTCCACACAGCAGCGCTACGCTGCGTAACGTGACGTTACACCACGCGTCATGTAAAATATGAAAGTCAGGTGCAGCCTTGGCTGTCGGGGAAAGGCTCCACTATCCAGTGATTATTACACAGAGTGTAATGCTGTAACACATTTCTTCTATAATTGATATATTATCATTTATATGCTGTGTTATAGTGCCATAAGTAATAAAAACATCAGCAAAAAGGTCAACAAATGCAAAACCTCTGGTGAAGTAAATGATTTGCTGTAACAGTATGACATAAATTGTACCTCCTGCTTGTGTGTGTGTGTGTGTGTGTGTGTGTATAGAGGCAGTTCTGGGTGCTCTGGCCAGAGTATTGAGGGAGGACTGGAAACAGAGCGTAGAGCTGGCCACCATCATCATTTATATCTTCTTCTGTTTTTCCAGGTAAAACACACACGCACACACACCCACACACACACACACACACATTGGCACACGCTCCTCTGGTGTGTCATACGTTCTACTTCTTCCTCTTCTCCCGTCCTGCAGTTTTTCCCAGTTCCACGGCGTGGTGAGTCATTATAAAATAGGCGCGCTGTGCATGAGCGTGGTGGAACACGAGCTGAAGAGACACGACGTGTGGCGCGAGGAACTACGCAAGAAAAACAAGGCCTATATCCTTTATCTGCCCTCTTCTGTTCATTTGGATTCATTCATTTCCACATATATGTGTTTATAAGGACGTCACAAATGAGTTATGGAGAGTTCTCCCTGATTGCGTTACACATATGACATGTTCACATTAAACCAGCTTGTTATTAAGGTGTTATTGTTCCTTAACTCCGTTGTGTGTACGTGAGTCGGCACCGGAGAACGGCTCTCTGAGAAGAGACCAGGACAAAGCCGTGAGGAAGTACCACGGCCTTCTGTCCAAACAGGAGCAGCTGCTCAGAGGTGGACTTTGACTCTCTTATCGTGCGTTAGTGATAAAGCCACAGGGGATGTTTGTTTCCGCTGACACGTGTTGATGCAGCGTGTTTAAAATCAAAGCTCTGTTGCCTGCTATTTTTCCATCAGCATCTCCATAGTAACCATTCAGCAGCACATACGTAATTCGGCTGCGTTTTGCACTTTCTCAAATTTGAAAATACTGCCATCATCCCGCAGCTGTGAGCACATGCTTATGGGCGCACTTCACACGGTTCATCTTTACAAACATCATCCCGAGCGTGGCTGTCATCTCTCTGCTGCTCATTCAATCAGGAGATACTAGTCGGATAAAGAACGATAATGGTTTATTATTAATAAATAGCATGATGATAAAATCTTGGCGCTCAGACTCTGCAGGGAGATTTGACGGACAGCACGATGAATCCCCCCCCCGTGGAGTCCAGCCAGGGCAGCCTGATCTCCAAAATCTTGAACATCCAGATTCGTAGTGATACATACGAAATAAATACGGACTGCAACTGATGACGTCACCCTATTCAAAGTGAATGGGGACCTGCGCCCCGTAAACACACTTCTAACCATGTAAAATAAACGTGTTATGATTGCATTTTTAATGAGAAATCAATGTTAACTTAAGAATAGAATACTAACCCTAACGCCCTCAAAAAATCCAACATGGCGGAGAGACGTTCACTCAAGAATCCGACATGGTCCGCCATGTTGTTCCCTCAAGGGGCGTGGTTAACCACCGCCAGCTCGTATGTATTGTTATGAATTTGTATGTTCAAGATCTTCGTATACATTTTTACGAACAGGTTTTGGAGGTCACGTTGGCCAGGGGGGTGTTGGCCCATGAGGCTGCTAGAATGAGGAGTTGAGGAAGCTGATAGGAACCTGATGAAGATTGGTAGGCGGAGGAATGCGAAACGGAAGCATGAACGTCCTGAAGGAAGAGAGACAACCGTCTTTAACAGAGAGCAGAGAGACGGTGCGATGCTTTCGTTGTGCTTATTGGATAGAAAAGGTCGGCTGATTGACAGCTCCAAACAGTGACTGTGAGGAAATGAGTTTATGGTGTTTGTCGAACGTCTTTGTTAAAGACGGAGCGATGTGGAGGTGCAGTGTAGTTTTCTCTCAGACCACTTGTATTAACATGAGATAAAGATAAATATAAATAAGATATATATAGAGATAAATCGTCACATTGTGGGTTTCACAGCTAGTAGCTTCATGAAATGTACAACACTCAGGCTTTTGAATGAAAACTAGTTGACTTATTTTTTCTAGTTTTCTTATTGTGATGTCGTTGCTTACATTATCTCCGATTTACTTCCTCTCGTCTTCCTCTTCTTCCATCCCGCTCACCCAGTGTCCCTTTACCTCCTGCTGAACCTCGCTGAGGACACAAGGACCGAGTTAAAGATGAGGAATAAAAACATCGTTGTCCTCCTCGTCAAAGTCCTTGAACGGGATGACGAGGAGCTGCTGGTCCTGGTGGTTTCTTTCCTCAAAAAGCTCTCCATCTTCTTAGAGAACAAGAACGACATGGTGAGCAACGGTGAAACTAACGTATTCATTCACACTGAGACCAAGTGATGTTTGTTCGGTCCAAAAGTGTGTGATGACTTGTGAACGAGTTGTAGAGGAGAGATCAGGGGACAGGACAGAGTCCTGTGATACTTCTACTGCTACTTCTACGACCACTATTGCTGCTGCTACACGGCAAATTTCAGAGGGTTAAATTGACTCTGTGAGATTCAATTTAACTCTTAAGCTGGTGTTTACATTGTCCCAATCTTGTCAGTGTTAAATCAACACTCAACGAAGTGTTAACAAGTTAACTCGGAATAAGTGTCAAACATAAATCTGCCCAGTGTTAAATACATTACATGTCATTGAGCTGATGCTTTCATCCAAAGCGACTTACATTACATTTTTTACCCACGGTCTACTGCTACTGTCATTGCTGTGAACAGCACCCCCTGATCACCACTGTGTAGTTTCTCTTCTTAATGTGTGTGTGTGTGATCTCCAGGCTGAGGTGGACACTGTGGAGCGCCTGGCTCGCCTGCTTCCCTGTGACCACGAAGACCTGCTGAACCTCACTCTGCGTCTGCTGCTCAACCTCTCCTTCGACGCTGGCCTCCGAGCCAAGATGGTAGAAGTCGGGCTGCTACCTAAATTAACGGCCTTGTTGGGTAACACTGACTTATTGTCTGCATGTCCTGCACTGTGCATCCTGCTGTGCGAGCGTGGGGATTTTGTCCCTGATGTTTGGGTCTGTTTGTTTGTCATGCAGGTGATGACAACAACCGTCAGGTTGCCATGCGTATCCTGTATCACATCAGCATGGACGACTGCTTTAAGGGCATGTTTGTTTACACTGACTGCGTCCCTCAGGTAGGAGATACTATCCTTCTAGAAACAGTATGTAGGCCTGGGTGGGAAAGCCAGACAAGCATGTGCTTGGGGAATGATACAAAATAACTACCGGTACCGGAATTAAACCGAAAGGAATTTAGTTTCATAAAGGTGCGTGAAGATTAATGTGATACGATTGTTGACTGGTTTCATTCGCTCTCACCTGGGGCAGAGGAGGGGCGAAAGATGAATGACGTTTATCCAGTACTCCAAGTAGGTATGCAATGTAGAACAGTAGAACAGAGTGCGGAGCAAATCTTACAATCTCTCCGGGCTCTAAGCCGTCTCCATTCTTCAGATGCGTCTTCCGTATTTCCCCTGGTCACCACGTCGCTGCTTGTCCGGCAGAATCCAACCTTGCCTCTGTTGCCTCTGTTGCCTCTTTGTGTTTGTGTAATCTGGCAACCCGGGCTGCTGCTGAACAGGGGCAAAACTGCGCACTGTGCACTTGAATGTCTATATGGACTTCTAGAGGTGATGTGTGTGTGTGTGTGTGTGTGTGTGTGTGTGTGTGTGTGTGTGTGTAGCTAATGCGGATGCTGTATGAGCTCGGCGAGGAGGAAACTGAAGCTGAGCTAATCTCCATCTGCATCAACCTGGCCGCCAACAAGAGGAACGCACAGCTCATGTGTGAAGGTAAGTCCGTCAGCTGCAATTTCTGTCTTTTACCCCCACTGAGTAGTTTTTGGGCCCGAGCGGTTTCATCTTCCCAGACAGGGACAGAGAAAGTCCTATAGTGTACAGATTATAAAGCTCACACATCTTCCTCCAGTAGATCCCATATTTTATACTATTTGTAAGATTAGATTCCAGCGGTGGTGGATTGTTTGTGTTTGTATTTATTCCAAACTCATTTCCAATCATTTTACAATAAGCATGATAAAGTCTAAACACACAGATCCAATCATTTCATCATTGTTTTAATGTACTGTAACTGAATAATCTGTTGTTCACAGCAATCCTGACTGTGTGTGTGTGTGTGTGTGTGAGACCTAGTCTGATTGGTCTGTGATTTCTCTGTCTGTAGGAAATGGCTTGAAGATGCTTATGAAGAGAGCTCTAAAGATGAAGGACTACCTTCTGATGAAGATGATCAGAAACATCTCTCAGCATGACGGACCAATCAAACCCATGTTCATCGTGAGCTACACACAATAGAAACGATACTTTAGTGAAGCAGGAGCAGCGGTCTTTTATTTTACGTGGGTGCTTCTGTGTGCACGGGTCAGGACTACGTTGGGGACCTGGCTGCAGAGATCCGTGCAGAGGAAGAGGAGGAGTGGGTTCTGGAGTGTCTCGGGACGCTGGCCAACCTCACCATCCCTGACCTGGACTGGGAGTTGGTGCTGAAGGAGTACAACCTGGTACCCTACCTCAAAGACCGGCTTAAACCAGGTACTGATTCCATCTAGAGAATACACACGAGGATCATCCCTCAATTATACTGAGCAGGAGTGTCAGAGCCCATCAAGAAGGATCAGAGAGAAGGATATTAACTACATAATCCAAACAACACGTAGACAAATGGACAGCTACACAGAAGCAATTAACTTACTATGCTGTTCACTATTTACACACAACTCTGGCTGAATACTAACATCTGCTAGCTAGCGCTGACCGGCTGACCAATCAGAGCGCACGTGACTGCTGCACTGTGCGTTGATGCAGACGTACTAGACGAGGCTACTTCGGTACGACGCGCGCTTCAAAGAATACGTCCAACATGTCAAACTGAAGATCGGGTCCATGGGCCTCTTCCATAGGGACACAGGAGCCGAATCTGATTGGATAACAGTTCTCTTTAAAGCGAGCTGCACTGGAAGCAACAGAGGAAGACAGAAGTGTGCAGCGAGAAGCTAACGGGGGAAATCAATGGAAAGAATTGATGGCCGTAACATGGTGATTCTGTTCAGGCCAGCAGAGAAGGCTGAGCGGGACCTGACGGCCCACCGCTGCATCTACGTATTCATAATGTATGCAAACAATCATCTGCATCAATTGACCTTTCATTGGCTGCAGCGTATGGATGTTAATGCCCTTTTCCTCAATTTAATTGCACTTACCATATGATCATTGTTACTACGACAAGTGGATTTTGTTCATCTTTTGTAACTCATCAATGTTCATTTCTTGGGGCGAGCAGTTTCTTACCGCAGTGACTGTTTTCAAAGGCTAACACCTACAAACACCAACCGAAAAAAAGAAAACAAGCGCCAACGCTACGAGAGCAGCTTCAATGTGCGGCATTGTGCGGCTCAAATTGTCATTCGAGGTATTTTGTTGTCACCAGCATGCACAGCAGACACGGGCAGAGAGGGATCTTCTTTTGCGTATTGTACCCTTTTTAAGTAACATTTTCTATAATTGTTTGTGTGCATTCCAGGCTCGGCGGAGGACGACCTCATCCTGGAGGTGGTGATTATGATTGGAACCGTTTCCATGGACGACGCCTGTGCTGCCATGCTGGCGAAGTCAGGCATTATTCCTGCTCTCATCGAGCTCCTAAACGGTAACTCGCACACATTCATTTTCAAGATGTGGTGTTTTGGATCATGAAGAAAGTGAAGGATAGATTTTCCGATGTGGGCCTGATGTAAAGGTCTTCACGTTGATATAAACTCATCCTGTGACAGCACACACACGAGGAAAACACTGTGCCGAAATAACAGCAGAGCCCTAGAAGTGACACGGTGAGGTGCGTGTTTGTACAGCCGGTGAAGCGCTGTGGAAACGACCTGGTCTCAATACTTCGTGGTCTAAGAGGACCGAGGGATTCAAACCTTTGAGAAACCCTCTCTGCTAAATGCAGATGTGGTACAGCACGCAGCCTCTCTGGTGGAAAGAGTCCGTTGAAGAGGACGATGTCACACATCATGTAAACCACTGTTTAATGAGCCAAGTGTTCTTCTGTGTGTTGAACGCAGCCCAACAGGAGGACGATGAGTTTGTGTGTCAGATCGTCTACGTCTTCTACCAGATGGTGTTTCACCAAGCTACACGGGACGTCATCATCAAGGACACCCGTATCCTTCCCACAGTGCACCCTGTCCCCCCACATTTAACCCAGTAGCTCACAGCGCCCACCTTGAAGAGTTGTCTTCTTTAAAGCTTTCTGCAGAGGCTCCAGCTTACCTCATAGATCTCATGCATGACAAGAATGCTGAGATCAGGAAGGTGTGTGACAACACCCTCGATATCATCGCAGTAAGTAAAGATCGGAACTAACTGAGGTTTAGTCAGATGACAGAAGCTGTTCTGAAGTCTGTTTAACCAGCCACACTGCATCTCTCTCCAGACAGCAGCAGTGTGAACAGGTTGCATTAGCAGGTTACAAAGTAACGCATTACTGTAATTCCACTACTTTTAGCAGTAACGAGCATGTAACAAAGTATTTTTTTTAAATAAATTACCGCAGTTACAATTACTGAAATTGAAATGAGTTTGTTACTCGCGTTACTCTCTAAAGTAAATAGTTGCCTGTCAGCACAAAATAGTTGTGGCCACCAAACGTTGTGTGTCACAGAATAGTCGCCGTACGTGCATGTAAACAGCATCGCGTCGCTCACGGCGAAAGAGCGCAGGATGCTGCAGGCGCCGCTCCACGCAAACAACCAGGGCTCCACTTCACACGGACTGCAGTGCAGCCGATGAACCGGGCAGAGCTGAATAGATTGATCGCTCGCTATGTTGAAGATGAGATGCATCCTGTCAACTGTCGAGTCAGTTGCCTTCAGGCAAATGCCTGAAACTGTTAATTTGTATTAAGTTAAGTATTTAAAAGGACTTTTGTACTATTGCTTGATTTGAAGTCCTGTTGATTACAATAAATAGGTCTAAAAAATATGTTTATTGTGCTTGACTGTTCAGTACTATTTATATTCATTACATTTAAAAAGCAGACATAAAAGTAACTTAAAAGTTACTTTCCAGAGTAACTAATTACTTTTGATACACAGTAACTGGTAAGTATCACCTTTAAGAGAAGTAACTAGTAACTGTAACTAAATACTCATTTTCAGTAACTTGCCCAACACTGATCACCGCATACAGCATGTCAATCAATCAGTTTGATTGAAAAGAGGAGTTGATGGTGTTGACAATCATATTTTCTAAATGCCGTCATTTCTTTAGTGAGGAACAGACACACACCTTTCTGTCCACGCCAGTGGGTTGTTATCCATCTTTTCCTTTTGTCTTCCAGGAGTACGACGAGGAGTGGGGGAGAAAAATTCAGTCTGAGAAGTTCCGTTTCTATAACAACCAGTGGTTGGAGATGGTGGAGAGTCGGCAAGCTGACGAGTGTGAGCCGTACCTCTACGACAACGACGACAGGACGGATCTGTTCTACAGTGCAGGTGAAGGCCGTGCCTGTAGTGTCCCGGCGCTGCTGGTCATTGCTTTCATAACATGCGCATGTGTGACCAGCACCCAGTATGTGTGCACGTCCAGCAGCTGTGTTCTCAGTGGGCTTAAACTAGCCTGTCGCAGTCACCACGTGGAGGTACACGGGTTATTTTCATTTACCAACACCGAAGCCTTTTGAAATCCTCCCTCGGAGGGCTTTACCGTCTGTACACATGCAACATCCTCTGTGTCCAAACCCCCACATCAGCACAGGAAGAACTCAGGAAATATGAGAGAAGTGCTCGTTGTATTAACGCGCCTCGTAGGGATTTAAAATGACGCCTGAGTTTGTCCTCGTGTGTTTGTCTCTTCAGATGGAATTACCCCCGGGGACGGTTCAGTGAGTCCGGACTTCTTCAACGACCTCCAGACTCAGAATGGAGACCTGCACCATCCAGGGTGAGTTATCTCAACTCCAGGAACACAACGCGTGTCCAGCCTGTTTTTCTCCTGTTTTATTGGTCTGCTTTGTGGAGGAATTCGACGGTAAATTGATTGGTAAACCAAAAGCTCATTTAATAGCATAACCATAATCAGATCATATGTTCACCGTAGTTTTCTTAACCTTAAGATTGGTTGAAGCCAGGAATCGGAAGCTATATGCAACCAGCAGATCAATGTAGCGTTATCCACCTTGAAATGTGTGGGGGGCATTTCGGTGTGAAGTTTTGATGGGAGATGTTTTCACAGAAATATAAACGGAGATCAATCATGACCTGTTTGACTTCCTAACATAAGCATGTTTGAGCATTAAGGCATTTAATACATCATTAAATAATCACTAATGATGGAGATTTTTTATCAATAGAATCTTTTTTTTCTTCTCATCATATAATTGACTTTAACAAAGTAACAGGATATAGTTCATGATGCTTATAAATAAAATGTGAATCATTAGGGATATTTTGATGAACAGTTGTGTAAACAGCTGTATGGTTTAAGTGTGGTGTTTATTTCTGCTGTCCGTCGCTCCGTTGGCGAGCAGCATGTGGGCCGCGGTCCTCTCATATGTGGGACTGCGGGGGTCAGTAGAACTTTGCACGTTGTCCACACCGCGCTCGTCTCACTGCCTGTGTCCTCCAGAGATGGCAGCGATGTCTTCGACCAGACCAGCTCGTCCACTCGACCGGCTACGGCCTACGGCTTCAGACCCGATGAGCAGCCCTTCTACCAGTACTCATAGGCCCCCCCCATGGACGGTTTCAATCATCCACCCTTCTCTACGAGTAGGCGTCTTCCTTACACACCGGCTCCAGCCTTCTCATGATGATCAGTTTCATTTGGAGAACGTGAAGCCACGTAACATCTCTGATATGTTGGTACCTTTTTGCACATCGTCCTGTTTAATGATGAATGTTTGCTGCCTCTTTAAATCGCTGTCTCTATTCTAACCTACAGGATCTCACTCACATGCACCGCCATCTTCTCTTTCCTCTCAGCTCTAAGCAGTTCTGTTGTCATTGTACAGCCACAGTGACACTAGGTCGGACGTATGTTGTACCCGCGTAGAGCTTCTAGTCGTCCGGGCCCTTAAAGCGTGTTTACCGTATGATTCATACGTATCTGGATGTACACGTGTGAATCGGAGCAACTTACTGTTCACAGGACGCTCACTATTAACCACAAGCAGTGTTATTTGCACATAGCTACATGTTGATGCATGCATGTTTTCTTTTTGAATGTTTAATTTATTGTTATCTGAATTATGTTGTGTTTTTATAATAGTATTCATTTGTTGCTACAAAACAGTGTAAACATGTTACTGGACAATACATTATCGCCATTGTGTTTCCTCCTCAGGTTGTTTAATAAAAACATCAACGCCACTCTTAATATGACGTGATCTTTCTTCCCAATGACATCGTGGTACATCAGAATATCATAATGTATTATTACCATAATGTCAGTGCAGGCGTGCTGCCTTTTATAGAGCATTACAAACCCTCAACTGGAATCCATGTGTCACGCTCGGACTCGTTAGTTTTCTCTCTCTCTCTCTCTCTCTCTCATATATATATTATATATGAGAGAGATGTCTTAGTCTCTCATATATATATATATATACGTTGATATTAACACCAGCTGTGTGTTTCATTCCAGTTCAGTCCTGTATTTTACAGGTAAAACAAGTTGTGTGGTTAATCCTTCACTGTAAGAAGTGTCCCTGATACGCTCCGTGGACTCGACCCAGACCCGCTGCTCCCAAAGGACCTTCATGTACCTGTGATGATCCAAGTTTTAAAATGACCTTATTATGTCATAATTGGCAAAACCAATCAGTGAAATCAGCTTTGGAATCGTAATGTAAGATTATAAAACATATTTTATTGGGTGCTTTTATATATTGCAATGCAAGCATTAAAAAAATAGCACATGTAAACATCAGAAGAGAAAATAACTTGTACCTTTTATAAAACTGCTCACTCGAGTATGTGAAACAACGTTTTAGTCTTCAAGTATCAGTATAAATGTGATGCGGTACCCTGATGATGTAATCACTGTGGTCGTCATGGTAACCCGTCTGTCAAGGCACATGGCTGCTGTTGGGACAGGGACAGACTATTGTCTCCACTTCAGTAATCTCAGTCACAAGTCCTCTGATGATCGCCACGCTGTCCAATGGTTGCTCGGCAACACTCTCTGGCTGGGATTCCATTGGCTGAGGGCGTTGGAGAGCCTCCTCCTCCTCCTCTTCTCTCTTTCCTTCCTTTTCTGCGTGACGTTCTTTCTCCTTTCCTTCCTCCTCGTCCTCCTTCCCTGTCTTAGTCTCCAGCTCACTATCTTTGTCTCCATCTACCGTGACTTCCAGCTCTCTCAGCTCCGTGGTTGAGCCGGTGGTGCTCTGGCAAACCTCTGATGGAGCTACACCTCCCGTCTGCCCGTCACCCATGTCCCCTTGTTGTTTCCTTTCTCCTGCCTGTGTCTCTTCTTCCTCGTCTTCAATCCTCTCAAGTGGCGTCCCGTCCCCGGCCTCAACCCTCTCCACCTCCCAGTTGTCCTTGACTCCTCCCGTCAGGTAGACGGCTCTGTCTGTGGGCTCGGGCCCCGCCTGCTGCACAGGAGCTGCTGCGCAGGTGCAACCGATGGCCTCGCTCAGCGACCCCAGGCTCATTTTCAGAGGTGGGTGTGACGCCGAGGGGCCGGGGTGCGGGACAGTTGTGTCCTCCGTTACTGCGTCTGGGGTTGAGAGGTCGGCCGTGGCACATTGAGCAGATTCCGCGTGGAGGTCCGTGGCCTGCAGCGAGGACGGAGTGGACGTTGGAAGGTCAGCAGAGGCCGGGGTTGGATCAGTGGGGTCCTGGTTCGCAGGGGCATCGAGTGTCCCAACGTGGTTCGCAACAGAGTCAGCGGCGTCTTCGTCGGAAGGCTCAGCCGTCGTCGACTTTGTCACCAACGGAGGTTCGGTTCCGAGCCGGACTTCTTCTTCTGGTTGCTCAGCGGAGGGAGCAGGTTCATCCTCCTCTGGTGTCACAACGATGACGGGACACAGAAGCTTTGCAGTTTGGCCTTCAGCGTTAAGATGAGGACAAACTTCAGTGGTGACCGCCTGACCTCCCTCCTCCCCCGCGGGAGGAGGCTGTTTACCGCCACCTGGTGGTGCTGAGGAGGAGGAGGAGGAGGAGGAAGAGTCTTGAGAAGCGTCGGCGGCGCTGGCTGGGGCCGAGCGGGGGGGCTCCTCCTCAAGCAGACTGCAGCGACTAAAGCTCAGATCCGAAGGGTCCAAGGAGAGACTGTTTCTCCTCTTATGGGCTGCGTCCTGGACCACTGAGGACAGGGGAAGACAGGCGTGTTGCAGCACACGTCGATCACTCAGCAGGCGACACGATTACACACAAACCGCTTGTGGGGGGGGGGTTATGCCAGACTATGTCCCAGTTCAGAAATGCATGTATTTCAGGCAACAAGACGACTGAAATGTTAAACGTGGGACATTTCTCTATGACAGTCCTGTCATTTGCATTGTTGGACTCAACTTCCCCCCCAAGTCTAAGCCGACCTCCACCTTCAGAAAACATGCCAATCACTAAGCTCTGTGGTGAAATTGAATAAATGCAGGAACAAAGAATATGGCAATACAAAAAATACAATGCAATAAAGAGTCCTACTGTGTGTGTGTGTGCGTGTGTGTGTGTGTGTGTGCGCTCACCTGTCTCTATCTCCTTAATGAGGATCTTTCTCAGCACGTCATCATAGACATTATGAACCAGAATGAAACTGCTGTAGTCTGAGAAGATGTACTGCTCAAACTGCTGCAGCTCCTGGACAGAAAGCACACGCACCACTTGGTAGATGAGCGCAGTGTGTGCGGATCCTAATTCTGTGACGTGTACCAGCAGCTGTGTGCTCAACCTACACTCAGCCACTTGCCGTCCATCTTCCTGCTGAGAGCAGGCAGGGTGATCTCCAGGAGAGCGTCCTGGTAGAGCCTCCTCTGGACAACTCTGCTGTCATAGTCCAGCTGCTGCTCACACACACACACACACACACGTCAGGCTTTCCACTTGCTCAGTGCAGCAGGGATGGAACCTGCACCACGCTGGCTCCCTCGATTTTGGTCTTGATCAGTAGTGAACAAAGCAGTAAGCTTGAGAGGGTATCAAAGTGGAGTAGCATGCTAACGTAACGCTGGAGGGATCATTGGAGCACACTCCATACATTCGTATGTAGAAATACACACAAACCGCTGGCCTGTACACATTAATAGTATTTGGTTACGGGGTGACTTGGTGAGTAACATCATCCAAGGAGGAGTTGTGGCCCTGATTCATTTGGTTTTCTAACTCGCCATCTTTTTACCTTCAGGACTCGTTCTTTGGCTCTCTTGGTCTTGACCGGGATCTGGGACGGCTGCATTGTGGCCGATGACTGGAGGAAGAGCTCTAATGTGTACACAGCACTGTCCAGCAGCTGGGGACACAATGATGAGTGTCACGAATGTCCCACCACGCCAAACCCGGCCTCCGCCTCCGCCTCCGCCTCCGCCTCCTACCTTCTCCATCTCCAGGTGTGCAGATTGCACCAGTCTCTGGGTGCTGCTCAATCCAAACCGCTGCTTCAGGTCGACAAGCCGCTCCGTCAGGTTCTCCACCTGCTTGTGGCACGCGTCCAGGCTGATGGAGTGCAGAGGTGACAAGGCCTGCACAACGCGCACACAACCACAGCCGTGAGCCCCAGTTCAATGCGCACACACATGCAGCCACGGAGGCCCCCCACCCACCTTGTTTGTGTCCTCTGTCCCTCCATTTGTGTGCATGGAGTCCATCTGTGTTTGCAGTGCGTGCTGCATCCTCTGAATCCCTGCGCTTATGTTTTCTGTCAGCACTTCAAGGATGGAGGGCATGTAGGGTGCCACAGACTCACTGCACACCCGCTCTGCTTCTTCAAGTACACACACTGAAACACACACAGTCACTGTTTAACCTTTGACTCTTTACAGTCACCACACGGTTGTTAGGCGATAGCATCTATTGGTTAGGAAGCACTGCGTTCTCTAACTAAGGGGGTGAACTTTGCTACCTTTGACTTTTTCCTCCAGGAAGCAGTGAGAAGATGTTATCTGGTCCAGGTTGGATCTGATCAGTGCCTGATGGGCCGACGCTGTCTGACGACACTCCTCCCTCAGAGCCTCCAGGCTGGCAGTGAGCTGTTCAAGCACCAAAATGTAGGCGGCCTGCATCGTCTATGCATGTAAAAAATATATATGTAAATACAATAAAACACTAGTAAGTGAATTGTAAGTAAGCTTATAATCAGAACTATGTCTATGTTTACTTGCGTGCGGCTCCACATACAGGTAATAATAATAATAATAATACATTTAATTTGTAATGCACTTTATATTTAAGAAAATCCCAAAGTGCTACATGATAAAACTGTTTAGTGGTAACAATAAAAACACACAGAGAGTTTGATAATACTACTAATAATAGTAGTTTTATTGCTATTGATTTGAACCCGGGCTGTTTTTCGTCCTGCGTTCATGTGAAGGAGAAGGAAGCTGCACCGACGCTGGAAGCACTTGTGGATTGATGCGGAGGAGCGCAAAAAGACCCAGATACAGAATCATTTACTCAGGAGGAAGCAATGGGACCTCCGGCGCTCTGTGCACTAATCTTTAGACGTTTGTTTGACTCACTGCCAGCCACTGCTGTATCCTTTCGGTCCTCTTGCCCTTCAGTCGGGATTTAACCTGACTCTGTAACCATGACAACACTTCCTCCACCACCTGGAAGGCCAGTACCTACACACAAAAACACAATTTGATAAGAAAGGGTACGGACAACCGTGGACAAACAGCGAGCTGAAGTGTGTGTGTGAGTGTGTGCGTTTACTGACCTGCTCCTCGGTGCCCAGCAGCATCTCCCAGGATTGGTAGCATCCTTTGTCCTGGCCGTAGAGTCGGAGGGCTCTGACATATGCCTGGCTTTCGTAGGATGGATCACTCCAAGGGTCTGCAGGAAGGACGATGTCATAAGTGTATTGATATGTACTCATTGTTTCATTCCAACATTGTCCTGCTGCCCCAAATAATCCCTGTGGGAACAGATGTGGATTAATCCGCCAGTAAAAATAGTCCCTGACCAATCCGCTGTTTCCTTCTGTTTGACGAACTTCTGATAAAAACTACTGTGACCAGCTGTTTTAGGAAATTGCTGAAATATTATTGCATCAGGGTGTCCTTGTGGTCTACGGATGGAGGCCACAAGCGGTTGCAGCGGTATCTTCTTCCTCTTTTGTAGCTTTTTTATTCTCCAGCCTGCAGAGGAGAGCATCAGCAGCAGCGAGCTGTGGTCCGCTGCTGTTAGTAGCACACCATCCACTTCTCCTCCGAGCCCTTCAGTTGTCTTTGTGCTTCTTTGTCTGTGATTGTGTGGAAAGCAAAATCATTTTGTGGGACATCTACAAATATACTAGGTTGAGCCGTGGAAGATGAGAGGGAGCAGCCTTACTGGGTTATAAGATATACTCCTTTTTAAAAAGGGCGTGACGCTGCCGCCCGAATCCTGCATCCACCCGTTGGTGGAGTACGTAGACATGAATTAACCAGGCTCGGGGTTAAAAAGGAGCATGTATTTGGTCTGTATTGGGTCTAGTTCGCCTTGTGTGTCACCGTCAGCTTCTCACACCTCATTTCCTGTCATCACTATCATATAGCGTGCAGAGTAAATGTGATGAGAAGTAAATCAGCCTTCAGTCTTTATAGTTATAGTTAGATTGTGACTGGTCGTTTTTTTTTTTCTTCTTTGCAGTATTTCATCATTCCCCATAAGGCTGTTGGTCATTTGTTTTTCACCAAATCGATGGAGGGTATTTGAGGAACAGAAAGCTCCAACGATGCTGAGTGTACTTCCTTTGTCGTTAACACCATGAATCATCGAGCGCAGCTAAAGACATGAAATGATTGTTCGGCTGATGTCATTGACATGTGAAGTTCTCCATTCTTAACGTGTACGCCAAACAATATGAAGTAGGAAACTGCACTTTAATTGACTTTAAGCCAATTTCTAAATGTTCTTGCCTTTGTTCAAATGAAAATGTAACTCTACGTACAGTGTTAAATACACAGTACGTAGAGTTGAACCCAACACCAAGCAGTGTGACACTGGTGTACAGCTACATTTCAAACCTATCAAAGTTAAATCAACTCTACCAAGTGTCGCAAATGAACCTGATCAGTGTTAAATACACTGAATGTAGAGTTAAAAACCAGAGTCCTTGACACTGATAAGCTCTTTGTACAAATTACTCTGTAACAGTTGAATCAACTTTTCGCAGTGTGATTTCAACTCTGCACTTCAACACCGGAAAATTAACGCTGTGCACACATCCACACACACACACACACACACACACACACACACACACACACACACACACACACGCATGCATGCAGGCACACACACACGCACGCACAGACGCACGCACGCACACATCCAAAATGTGTTCAGAACTAAATCGGTTTCAAACCAGATTCGGGATGGTTTGCAGTGCGTCTGGACAAACAAATCTCATCTGGACACTTAAAATGTCTTGCTTTAAGATCTGATTTGTGAAACCAATTCGATTTGCCTGCAGCGTAACAAAGACGCTCTTCAGAGGAGGGACACGGCCCATGTGCCTTTGTTCTTCAGTGAAGAGGTTTTTTGTGGAAGTTCCCCACGTACTTTTAAATGAATTTGGTCACAACAGACAGGAAGGTCACCATTGGTTATAGGTATTCGGAATACTAGTCTTCTGTTTATCAAATCAAATAATTGTTGTTTTAAGAAAGTAATAAGTGAGTGCTTTGAGAAAAATAACTGTATTCTTTAAACCAACACGTTTTTGTATTTCTGCAAGCATCCTTAGTAACTAGTCATTGTTTCCTGTTACTACTAAGAATATCTTCCTGCTCTGTATCCTAGTCAACCACACAGGAAGTCCACACCATTAATATTTGTATCCGTCACCAGGGCAACCAACACCACACGAGTGACAAATTCAAAATAAGAACAGGCCTGAGCACCGGCTGCAGCAGGTTTAGAATCTAGTATCAGTTTGGGAAACAGACCAAAGTATCAGCACGGCAGCAAAGCCGTGAACCTGAAGGTGTTGTTTACGCTCTGTACTGACAAACAAAGTGACTATACAACACAGATCCTTCAGATTCTCCCCCAGTGTATCACACACACATTAGAGTAGAATGGGTAACCCGCTCGCATCAGTCCTCTGTATTAGGAAGGGTGAGCACTCGTTAAATGTATAATGTCTTTTCAAAATAAATTCCGACTTTGCATCCTAGGTTTAGACAACAAAAGCACTTATCTTTAGAAAAAGAAGGTGATCAACGTTAATGAGGAAGCAACGGTTCACTTCATAGTAACTAATAAACGAGTCAATCGACCAGCTGCTAATGTCAGTCATCTCGTCAGTGTGTTGTGACTCTTTGTAATTCTTATCGCTTTTACGTCTTGCTTTTATTTTGGCTCAACCTTCGTGGAACCATCCAGCAGCCCCCCCTCGGCCTGCTGTGGATGCTTTGCTGTGGGTCATTTGCTCTGAGCGTGTTTTAACTGGTTGCAACTCTTCCTTTAGAGCGGCAGAGATGCTTTGTTCTTAGTTTTTTTCAAGATGAGAGCAATTCCTCTTTTCCATCTGCATCTTACCTGATCTTACATTATGCTAAACGTTTGCAGCGATACACCCCCACAATGTTGCATTATGGCCATTATGATTATAATTGTGCTTACCAGCTTATCATTATGAAATACATTCCTTTTGTGGCCAAGGAAGAATATCTACGTGAGTGTGTGTCCGTGTTTTACCCAGGTTGCAGTGTCTAATGCAGGACTTGAGTGCAGACAGGAAGTTATCTCGTTCCTCTTCCTGTTGGAACAGGAAGCAGGTGTAGCCCATATAAGGCAGGTGCAGGTACACAGCAGGCACATTTGGAGACGATACCACCAAAGAAGAATCCTCCTTCACTCCTAGACACGCACAAAGACACACACACACACACACACACACACACACACACAACACTGTTACTGATACGTCCTTTTCTCTGCTACGAATGAGCAGCAACAACCGTTTGAACCAGATTAGTATCATCAGTCAACGGGTCGAGATGAGACAACAGACTGTTTAGGGAACAGTTCAGCTCTGGTCTGAAATCTGACATTTTTTGCGTAAAGCAAAGTATGTTTGGTTTCAGTGATTTTAGAAGGCCGTCCTTTTCTCTCCGCCTGTTGCACAACAGGAACGTTGGAAAGTGTGCTGGGCAAGCTAATGCTAATCTGCAGGTCTGGGGGCAAAGATCGTAGTTTTAATCTCTTTGGGTTTTACAGTTTTTTCCGATTGCTAAATGTCAGTGGGCACAACTGGAGTCACATGTGCAAAACTCTAACTACAGTCTGCACTACTAACAGTCACCTGAGCTTAACAGTTCACATCACCTGCAAAACTCACTCCAAGCAACACAACTCTTAACACGTGACTCAAAACAGGCTCAGTGCAGCCAACACTGTGCACGAGCCTCAGTTAGAGAACACACACAGTCCCTCAGAACACACTGAGAGTAAAAACACCAGCATCAAACACCAATACACAAAATACTGACTGTTCATCTTTACACTTTGAACCATTTCAGTGACTTCATACAAAGTAAGATTTTCTTCAAAGAAAAGAGTGACATTCTTTCACATGATTTATAATTTTTTTTAGAACATAACAATTCTTTAAGGTAAATGAAAATTAGCAGTTTGCTTCAATAGTCTGTAGTAATTTATGGAATTACAGTAATGAGGGAAAAAAAGGTAGAAACTAAAAGTACAGACTGTAATTGGAACAAATAACTGAGGGGCTGATCCTGCCTCTCTAGCATCAGGCCACAGGTTTTCATCACCATCACATCTAATGTTCTCTCTTGCCATGAACCTGGGGAAGAACCTTCTGGAAGCCTCATCCATCCCTGGCAGTCCTCTGGACTCGTGTCCTCACATCCGGCTTCCAAAAGAGACATTTGGTCATGTGGGTGGTGACCAAACACTTTCCACCTCCAGGCAGAGAAAAACTCCTCTATACTGTTTGTATGATGGAAAATTGGCATTACAGGTGCCACTGTGGATGTTTGCAGATTGGGTTCCACCCTCAACTCTCTCAATGAGAGACCGCGGGTCACCTCATGGTCTATAAGTGAAGCCCTTATTTCATCATTCTTCTTTGTCTCCCTCCACCAAGCCGTCTTCCTTGTTCCATTTCCAAAATAAGTCTTTCTGAGCTCTACCTATATATACGTGTATGTATGTTTGTACACATATGTATATATGTGTGTGTGCGTGTTCACTAACAAGTCTAAAACAAGACACCTGCTCAGCCTTTCAGCTGAAATTGCAATCAGCAGTGTTTGAAAGGCACGGTCCGTTTAGAATGTGTGGTTCACAGTTTTGACAGCCGTGTGTTGCATTGATCATCACAGTGTTGTGCAGGTTGTGGATAAGTCATGGGATAAGTGTGTAGAGTTTAATAATAATAATAACAGTTTTGCACATGTGACTCCAGTTGTGCCCACTGTCATTTAGCAATCGAAAAAAACTGTAATATGTGTCAACTGTTTCATATTTTGCCTTGATGAAAGTAAACGGAATCTTTTGATACAAAATGTATCATGGTTGATCAGAAATGTGACACATCTTTGAATGTAAACTATGAATGAAAGATCAATGCATTGTTGTGGACAAAATCCATTATTACAAAAAAATATTTGGCACGGAGTGTTTTGATATTTTCATACACCCTGCAGAGCACAAAGAAATGTTCAACTAGCGTTAATATGTTGTAAGAAGGCATGTTAATACCATTGAGTATTCCAGCACAGGTGTGCTCCAGGTGAGCCCTGGACTCCTGCTCCGTGGTGAACACTCTTCCACCTGCTGGCTGGAGGACCAACTTGGCAGCACATCCAACGGTGAAAGTCTGCTGGTGGAAACACGCTGTCAACAATGTCCAGCAGTAGAATCTTTAAAGTTTTTATGTGAAAAGTGTCACCTCCATGTTTTCATGAATCTCCACTCTGTAATCTCTCCTCAGGACGGTGTATCGCTCTCTGCATTTCTTTCCCTGCTCATCCCAGCAGGAGAACTTCACGCTCCCTTGGTACAGCACTTCCTCCAGGTCAGGTTGAGGCTACACACACACACACACACACACACACACACACACACACACACACACACACACACACACACACAGTGAGTCAAACAGTGCAGCTTGACTATTGTTGAGCAATTTCTGACGGACAGATTGACATGTGGCTCCTACCTTTTGTGTAAGCAATAAGCCCCTCCCTTCTTTCTTAGACTCCACCTCCTGGTGTAAGTGGCTGACGTAGGCTGCTGAATACTGCTGACGGTAAAACACGCTGAAGCTCTGAAACGAACTGTCGACAAGTCCTGGATGCACAAACAACACATTTCAATATATAGTACATATATGTTTATAATAGATAATGTAATAGATATGTTGAAAACAAACAAAGAATTAGAGTGAATATTCATCAGGTGGAAACGACCACGTCTCCAAATGAACTATGACTATTTATCCATGTAAGCTGGAGGAGCAAATAACCAACTGTTTGCAAACATTTTAGCCATAACCGCTGCATATGATGATAACAAGGCTTGATAGGTTACAGGACTAGATATGGAGTTTTGAAAACATTGCCACATAACTTTATCTTGCGACAACTTCCTCCCACACGGACGCGGTTTCTTGTGCAGCGTCTCCATTCAGCCCGCTGATGTGTCACGTTTACTGGAGCAAGTGTCATCAGAGCCTCTAGCAGATATCACCAAGGTATAAATCACCACTGGCAAAGCCTAAAGCCTAATGGGGGATCTACAGTGCATCCGCTCAGGTTGGGATGTTGCACAGGACAGAAGGTAATCTATTACCCATGAAGGCATGGCCTCTGCTGTGCAGGACAAAAACTGAAGACTTTTTATTTCAACGGCACCAAAGACAATCGGATATCCACTAATGTAATAAATAGTCAGTCAGACATTTTCAACCGCTTATCTGCAACAAATAGTGACGGACTTATTCTGGTTTATTGAAAAAAAAGGCCAACATCACACTTTTAAGTAGGAAGGACAGCAGGTGTGAAAAAGAGAGCAGTTACCTCTTACTCACTAACACACACACACACACACACACACACACACACACTCTCACACGCACGCACACACACACACACACAACAAAGAACAACTTCTCTCTAAATTGCATCACAAGTAATTTGAATGTGGATCAGTAATCAGTTGTTTATCATTTGTTTACAGTGTATGGCCACTATCACCGGTTGTTTGGGTTCGTCTGTAGCCTGATCTGACACACACACACACACACACACACACACACACACACACACACACACACACACACACACACACACACGCACAGATCAGACAAGCCATAATGATGTAATGGTTGTAAATGGCAGTAATTACATTGTGGGAGATAAGTGACAGGATGTGACTTTACTGATAGCATGTTAAGGAATGTGCACGTAGAAATGACTCAAGGAAAGTCGAAATCTCATCGCACAACATTTTTTAAATTCAAAGTCAGAGGTTAGTTTGAAGTCAAATTTTTTATTTTATTTTGAGTCTAAATTCCAGCTGTCCTGGTGGTTGATGTGAGCAGCATGTAACGTTCTTACTTCTTAGCCAACATCTAACAACAAGGGTCCGTCCTACAGAACAAAATGTTTAGAAAAGCGAAGGCATCGCTCCGTTTTACCTTTGATGCTGCTGGTTTTAGCCTCGTCCAACAAACCAGAAGAAGATGCTCCCATGATGTACGTGTCTCCCTTCCCTTGGTATCAAGAGCTTAGGTCAGCTATCCGAACGTGCTCACACGTTTACACAGGAAACCTGTCAGCTGAATGAGCTGCTCTAATGTGTCAAGAGGGTTTTGCTCCACTCATTTCCTCTGTGTGTGTGTGTGTGAGTCAGTGTGTGGTGAGCTGGGCGTTGCTGTTCTGGTATAATGCAAAATGTAGCAGCATCTTCGTTACCCACACCAGCCTCTTGCAGGGCCATCTGCTGGTTAGCACAAAAAGTCCTAACGGAGCCCCAGTGTTAGTCGAGCATTAGGAGGCGACAGCAGTTTGGGGCTCCCGAGCTGCAGAGTGAGCAACTCTCTAATCACGCTGTTAGTAATTCAACTTTCACGAAAAGCTTTTTATGCTGTTTTTACTTGTAAGACTTGCTCACCACTTCCTTTTTTGACACCGTGGCTTTTCTGCATCTATTGCCACTACAAGACTTGTTAGTCTGTAAAACCTGTAGATTTCTTTTGGAGAATCCCAGTCAAGAAAAAAAAAAAAAGACTTTCAGTGATGCCATTTGACCGCCATTTATTTCAGTTCTCGGCCCCGGCATGCTCCACGACGCTCACAAGCCCCTGCTGCGCCCCTCCCTCCTCCTCTCCCTCCCCTTCCTCCTCCTCCTCTCCCTCCCACCTCCCCTTCCTCCTCCTCCTCCTCCTCCTCCCCATTTCAGTCTGGTGAGGCGTATTGTAGTATATTATTAGCGTAATGCTGCTTATGCTTCAACTCTGTCAGAATCCAGTAGAAAAAAACATGTGTGTGTGTTGTCGGCTTTTTGGAGATTATGTAAGTCACTTTTGTTTTTATGCACAACATTGATTTATCTTATTTACATAATTTGCAGCATAATGCCAAGAAAAGACAAAAGCAGTGGAGGGACCTGGATACCTTTTAGGTAAAGAGGACAATTCAGGTGGGCGTCTCTATTTTATCTAGACTACGGAAATAAATATGATGCACAACGTATTGTGGCTACAACTATTTTCTGCTGAAAGGCAGCTTTTAAATTACCTACTTACTAACCTATTTATAGTAACAACACCCTCGAACTGTAACATTATGGTAGAGCCTCTCGCACCGAATTGCTTAAGTAATATGGCCTTGTTTTGTCTGTTTTTGCCTGTTATTAATTTATTTATTAAATTTGAGTTTGTTTGATTTGTTTGTTGACAAAAATAAATATGTAAGTTAAAAATATTCTATTGTGTTTTTTATTTAAGTATTATTTTTAATTTCATGAATCATTTTGTTGACCTTTTGTTTTAGTTTGAGCACCTGCCGCCCAAAATGTCTGTGCACATGCCTGCAACTGATACTACGACCAAAGTAGCTATTGCTAAGACTACCACTGTTACTACTTCTGTCACGGTGTGGTTCACTTCCTGTCTTATTTTGTAGTTTTCTGCCACTCGTGTCCCCGGGTAACTTCACTTCCTGCCTTGTCTCGTCATCCCCTGTGTTCGTCTAATAGTTTCCACCTGTGTCCAATCACCTGCACCTCCCTTGTGTATTTAAGCCATGTGTCTCTTGTGTCACTTGTCGCGTCATTGTCTTTCGTCTCACATGTTGCCTGCTGGTTTTCCTCCCGGTTCCTGTGTTTTTGACCCTTTTGACTATTAAAGTCTTTTGTTTCCCGCAAGTCTGCGTCTGAGTCCTGCCTTCCACCCCCAACCCTGACAACTTCTACCAATACCTCAGTTCTTTTAACTAATACAACAACCACTTCTTGTAACATAGTCGAAAAGGTTTGCATCAAATCGCGCTAAATGTAAAAATGATGCCACCGAGGGATGCAAAGGATTATGGGAAATCCAAGGATTTGTATTGTGTTTATGAATGTTTAGGGACAACATTAATTTAATTTACTTTAAAGTAATTCAAGGCGTGGCTAGCTTTAATATTTAGAATGTTTTTTGTGTCTTTGATTAAACTTGTAAACCATGTTTTCATTAATTTCGTGATAGGTTTTGTACATGTTTTATTATCTGTAACAATGTCGGCCATGGCTAACGTTAGCTAACGCTATCCCGGCCTCGTAGACAGCTTACATTACTGCTACTACCATTAAAAGTTCTACTAGTACCATCCTTACTGCTACTACCACCACTAGTTTTGTGCTTTAACTTTTGATGAGAAAATGTCTTCGCTTCCATCTTTTATTGTATTCAGCTCTTAACTTCTTTGGATGATGCAGTTCAGTTTTCTTCTCTACCAGTTATATTGATGTGATATTGTTTTATGTGCAGTGGTCATTTATAATTTCCCTCGTGAAATCTGGACAATCCTGCTTTTATGTAGAGCTTTACACTGACCCGAAGGTGTAGTACAGCCTCACTTTGTTAATTTGGTTGGATTTTAAAATAAAGTACTTATATTCAGTGTCTCTTATTCCAGTGCATTCTCGGTTTGTGCATAGAATACCACTGGGGACCACCGAGGTGTCTATAAAGGAACAATAATGTGCAGTGACAACAAGGAACTGGAGGACACCCAGTGGAACATGTAGTTATTTCTGTATTGAAAAAGTAAAAGGGATCACAGAGTTTACCAGCGAATGTCGTCTTTGTGGACCGGCCTCGATGAGCACCTTGGGTCTGGACCAAACTTGGCAAACAATCTAAGAGTTGTGTCCTTGGATGCGCTCGGCAGCAATTTTGACATATAAAAAATGTTCCTTCTTTTTGAAAATAAAGAAAAAAAGCATGGCTTCTAATTGTGGAGGAAGAAGACTTAATATTTTTTTTCAAATATTAGAAGAATCCTTTCTCCATGGATTTTAAATGGCTCAACACACCCTCTACTGTGAATTCGCTCTAAACCTGCAGGCCAATACTTACATTGAGTCAACCAGTCGGGACTTTTCCACGTCATGCATCTAAAAATAGAATTTGAACCCCCACCGAGCAACTCCTGCCTCTTACTTCCATGCACTCACAAGAAGGATGGACATATCAAGCAAAAGTACCATTTGGTAGTAAATGGGAATTCGATTCATTTTCAAATGTTGATTATCGTATAATGGTGATTTTAGCCATAGAAACTATCAATATATATTCCCAAGTCGTTAAGTCAGTAAACTTGAGTAAACAGATATGCAGTTAGACGTTGTAAAATGGAGTGTTTCTACTTATAAGAGCAAACGTTACAGTACTGAAGGAGAGTCAAACACAGAAATCCAGGCATCATTTGCACCGCAGCAGCTGACTGAACAAGTGTGTTAATGGAATATGTGGCCTGCAAGATTAGAAAGGAATCGGTCTAATGCAAGTCCCTTTACAGATACATCATATTTTTATTGTCATTGAGATAGTATTGAGAACATTGAGCATCCGTATATAAACACATTGCAAAACATCAACATTACGCTGCAGGGGATCAAGCGCTGACAATCAGCAACACTCAGAAGCCATTTCAATGCCCTTTATGTCATTTTTGGTAGCTGATCCAGCTTCAAAATCATGAGCTGATGTGAAATGTACAATATTGATCAGCTGTTGACATCATCCAACCATTTCAGCCGTGTGCGTCAATGTTTCTGTGACACACTTTGCAGACTTATTGGACTCACGCTTGATTTATGTTTCAGCGCCAGAGGTTCTGCCACAATCACAAGCTCGTATTCAAGTCATACATCCTACAAATGTCAAAAATCCTGCTATTCTCGCAGTCATCCTTCCATCCAGTAGTGTTAATTAATATACAAGGTCGCTCATGTGGACTCAGCCCGTCCTGATGAGTGTGACACACTGAGGACATTTGTTCATGCACAAAGCACAACACAGTTATGTGTGCAGCTGAAAACTAAGAATGTTGAATCATTTTTCCTGCTTGGAAAATTGAGTGTGAGCTAATCTTATGTTATCTTTATAGGATTAGTATTGGATTATTGAGCTTGGTTAATACCACAACACAACACACAAACAAGCTTTTGAAACGTTTGAAACGTTGCAGTTTTGATCTTTTTTTCACATTGTTTTTGCAAAGCAACTAAAAGGACACTGTCTACAAAGAGACACACAACTACAAAAACCTTATTTCAAGAGGGACAAAACACAACTAACAGACTGAACATGACTACAAGGACACTCACAGCAGCCACACAGCAAAAAAAAACTTAAAATTGATACAAAGACACACAAATTGTGCCCACAGAGAAACAAAACAGCTACAAAAAGACACACAATGAGCACAAAACGAGGCTCAACAATGTGTGTCTTGCTCCTCTGGACCCTTTTGGATGTCTGGACTGAGGGGGTACTGAGGGGGTACTGAGGGGGGCAACCCAGCAGCCTGTAATAATGCTGATTCCATCACCAGCACACACGTCCAGCTCATACGTGTAATTAAGAAATTGATCGCGCTCAATGGGAACTGCTAAAGCTGGAGTCTGTGCAGAGTTAGTAGCTGTCCGTGGTGCTGAAGAGCTGAGCCGAGAGGCGGGTTTGGACTTTGTTATGTCACCGAGAGACGGGGACTGGCAGTAGGGGGATGATGTCATAGTTTATAGACTGAGCCATAGAAGAAGCAGATGGAGGCTGACTTCCTCTTTCCACCGCTCGTGTCTCCGTCTCCCTCTCCCCCCTCAGCATCTGCCTCAGCATCAGGACTCATCGAGGACAAAGAGGGACAAGCCGCAGAAGCCGCATTTGTTCGGGCGGGCTGTCTGTCTGCAGGCGGAGGACACAAAGCGGAACGAGGCGGAATGTAAGCGAATCACAAACCAGAGACGTCCAATAAAGACGCAACATGGTCCGGAATATTGGAGCAGGCTCCGGGTCAGTCCTCTTTTTTGTCTCGATTGTGGATTATGAGCAGGCGGCAGCGTGAAGGAGCTGGTCCTGCCCAGAAAGGAGGAGGAGGCACACAGAAGGGTGTCGACGGAGAGGCAGAGGGGAGCCTGAGGGAGAAGAGGAGGGGAGGACCGCTGGAAAAAATAAGAGAGTAACATTACAAGCTTCCGATAATGGCGGCTAAGTCGGACGGGGTCCTGAAGATGAAGAAGAGCGACGTGGCCTTCACCCCGCTGCAGAACTCTGAGCACTCCGGCTCGGTGCAGGGGCTCCACCCGGGCACCCAGCCGGACTCTGCGGGCACCGGGGACGGGGACTTCGCCAACGGGGAGTCGCGGTGCTGCGGCGGCGGCGGCGGCGGCTCGAACTCGACGTGCCTCCGGCCGGGCAGGGAGCAGCAGAAGTACACGGTGTGGGACTGCCTGTGGGTCGTAGCCGCCGTGGCCGTGTATGTGGCCGACGTGGGCACCGACGTGTGGCTGTCGGCCGACTACTACCTCCGCCGCGACTACTGGTGGTTCGGCCTGACGCTGTTCTTCGTGGTGCTGGGCTCCTTCTCCGTCCAGCTCTTCAGCTTTAGATGGTTCGTCCACGACTTCGGCAGCGAGGACGGGGCCGAGTCCCCCGCCGACGGCGCCCACATGGACGGGAACAAACTGCTGAGCGGCTCGGCCTCGCACGGCGACGTAACCGCTCAACACCACCCGGCCACGCCGCAGAGACAGGCGTCGACCGCCAGCAGGAACACCACCACCAACAGCACCGCCAGCACGGCGGGGGGCGGCCGGCGGAGGAAGCGGTCGGCCTACTACTCCTTCTGCGTGTGGTTCGGCCAGTCCGTCATCCACATCCTCCAGATGGGGCAGATATGGAGGTAGGGTGGAGGCCTTGGGGCCAGCGTGATGTGTGTGATGTGTGTGTGTGTGTGTGTGTGTGCAGATTTGTTTTTTGATGTGTGTGGTTTAATGAATGAGCAGAGATGTTGTGACAGATCAGCAGCATGGTGGCCTCTAAATGAGCTGCCATCTTTGACACGCTCCCATCTGCAAGGCCAATCGTGGTACTATATGGAAGGCTGTCAGGTCCATAATAATTCACTGTATTCATCATCAGATCCGTATGGATCATTATCACAAAAGAATGAAACTTGCCATAGAAACACAGGGAGTTTGTTTGGTGTCAATGGTGTCAGTGGATGCTCCTCATGCTGTGGATACTTCTGTGTTTAAAATAATCCTCCAAAAATAAAGATATGAGATTGAATGACCTTTAACCCAAGATGAGCTATAGCCCACAATCATTCAATACATATCTGTATCCGTTATGCTGTGGTGCACGTGCGCCTAGAGTAATGGCTGAATATGTTCATTTGATGCCTTATAATCTTATCTATTATCTTTTGATGCTCCAATTTTCATATTGGAATTGTGGCAGCACATCCTGCCGATAGCCTTCTGTCTGATTATTTCACAACACGCCAAGATCAAAAGTCTCTACACGTCTAATTGTCCAGTTTCCACAGAGAGTGAAACACAGCAGAGATCTGCTGCTACTGTGCCGTCTAACAGCAGCACACGTGCTTTCCTGCTTAAATTCCTAACACTACCGAGCCCCTCCCGACCCCCCTGCCCTCCCTGCCCACACCATCCACACACCATCCACACACCATCCACACACCATCCACACATCATCCACACACCATCCACACACCATCCACACACCATCCACACACCATCCACACACCATCCACACACCGTCCACACACCATCCACACACCATCCGCACAGCGTCCACACACCGTCCACACACCATCCACACACCATCCACACACCATCCACACACCATCCACACACCATCCACACATCATCCACACACCATCCACAATTCGACCGGAGGGCCCTTGGTCATGGGCTGGCTGCAGCAAGTGTTTGACCTGTCCTGGACTACACGTACAGTCCACTGTAATACTGTACATAATACCATAAGAGTTCTCTTCCCTTTCTTTCTCCTGATTCCACCACTATTTGCTCTCCTTCTTTCTGCATACATCTAAACCTGATCTTGTGCATCAGTGGTAATGTGGGATGGAAACCTACAAACATGAGCATGCTAGTAAATTCAGTGTTTTTATAAAAACCTCAAACTTTCATTATTACATGAAGAGTAAGATGAGTAACAACTGCTTAATGGAGAAAAGTACTGAAGCAATAAGTCAATTAGTTGACGGAATATTATCAGCAATGTGTGAAAGCTAATCTTTTGTTACAGGTCGCCCCTCCCAGTTGTCTTTGTTGCTTTACTCAGTTTTCTGTTACTTTCTGAAACTGAAGGTTTTTTCAGTTTTAGACAAACTACAACATTTGTAGACGTTACCTTGGTTGGAGAAATTGGAGTATTGATTTATCAATATTTTCTGACAGCTTCAGAACAAAATATTTCTATAAAAAGGATCGATAGATTCCTCAATATTGCAAAGTGAATCACAATTTGACAAATATCTCTCTTTCTCAGTTACACTACCAGAGAAATCTGCTGTTTAAATGGTCTCCCATTATGATGTGATAGCGGGGCCCTATTTATTCTATTCAATTATAAGTTGATGTATTCTATTAATTCAATTCTGGAATTTGAATTCCCGTTTTAACTTTTTAGCAATTGTTTCTGCATTAAAATGTCTACACTTCAGAACAGTACATTGGGTGAATGGGTTATTAACTCTAAGCCCCCCCAAAACAGGTGAGAAAACTCCCACCGGCGGGAAGACAGCGCAAAGATGGCGTCCGTGCGATCCTCCTCTTTCATTAGATGTTGTGCAGCTAAATTCTATTTCATTCCACTGTTGTTTTTCACCAAGCTTTTACTCATACACACCAGTAGATTGTCCCCTGCATGCCGCAGGGGTGTTTTCACATTTCTTATCGGGCGACTAAACAGTTTAGTTTATTATTTATGTGAGATCGCAGTAAAAGAAATGTAATAAATACCTTGGGATTCACATTTCTAAATCAAGAACAACAAGAAAGTAAAGCATGGTGATATTTCGAGATCTGATTATTTATTTGCAATGTGTTCTTAAACAATAATGTCATCATCAGTGCATTATTAAAGAGAGGTGACTGCTATTTGCAGTTCTATTGAGGTTAAAATTCATCAAAGGGTATTTGAAAGCCTCACAATCCTTTTGCTATTTTGTTCAACAGAGGACGGAGTTTTATTAAAATACCTGATATTATTGAAAGTTAGTGTCTCTATTTCAAATGATTGAATTCAATTCAAATCATTGTAAATTGCAAATTACAAATCAGATGTAATCGCCATCCGGTGTAAAACACAGAAACCTGTGTGGAGGGAAAGCACAAACACTTCAGGAAAGAAGCAGAGTCGGTAATGTTGGTTTATGATGACAGTAATAGTAAAGTGATTCATATTTAAATAATAGTGATGGCAGCAGCAGGTGTCAGCAGGTCTAACGCAGGACGCAGGAACAGGGTCCAGACAGAACCATGAACCAACCTGCGATGCGAGAAAGCACAAAACCTCAGGGGGAAGAAGCTGAATTGGTGATGTGCATTAATGAGTTGTCCATTCTTCTAGAAGGAGAGAGAGGAGCTTGGTGTGTCTGCCCCATAGCAGCTTAACTAAGGGCTGGTCCGGTGCTGCTCGATACCAGGACGACTCCATCCAGAGAAACGCTCTCACACAGCTGACTTTGAAGGCTCTCTGGCTCGATCAAGATAACCTCTGTTGTCTTGAGTTTAACATCAGAAACTTGCTCTTCATCCAAATTTAGATGCTCCAGAGACATTCTTGAAGTCTAACAAGCTGGTCGTTCTCGTCTGAATTGATCAGGAATATACAACCGAGTATCGTCAGCATAACATAAATGATGTATTTGAAATAATGGACTATTGATCAGTCTCGCCAGCAGGCACCAATAACTACATTACAGTCAACATACGGAAGGACTCATCATACTTTTCATTAGCAGACGTTCAGCATTTTAATGAGCTATTAATGGACATTCAGATCCTTATTCTGGATCCATTCAGTCGGCCCCCAGTGGGTTCATTCTGTCGGCCATATGCTATTGGTTTCTATGATCACTAAGTAAATGCAGTCAAAATCATTATATAGTTTTTGATTGTTGTACAGTGAATATTATAAAATACATTGTAAACATACAAATATTCGTTGTGGCTGGAGACGCTCTCTAACATCTGCTTTTAGGCGTCTTGGTTGATGAACCCAATTAAAACAGTTCTTACTGATCTGTATCCTTTCATTGTAAACCATGTATTAGCAATGAAAGAAAAGCGCAGTGTAAATAGATATTATACATTTTACCGAGATCACAATGTGCAGATACAGTAGTTCCTTATTTCATAAAAAGCATGAATTCATGTGTTTGAGTCAAATTAATGGTAGCAATATGAAAATGTGGGACCTGTGGTAATAAAAGTGAGTCGAGTCAAGTGAAACTCAACCATGCAGGGGAGATGAGGCTTTAGAGACCAGCTGGGGGTCAGAGGGGAGCATTTAGCTGTTAAAGAGACTGACATTAATCCGAGGAGCTGGTGGAGACCAAACCAGAGTTAGGAAGTGAGTGAATATATCAATTACACAAACATCAACGCAAATAAATGATCATCTTGTTCCATCTCTGCTGAGTTATTTAAATTAAATGTATGGTCTGAAATATGCCAACGCTGTGTTTTCAGCACAATAAATGTAATACTGCAGCTTTAACAACTTTCTTGTTGGGTTGAGATTAGTTCAAAGTGCTGGGATGTCAGACTGTTAACACTCACGGCCCCAAGCTTTTGGCCTCTGCTACAAAAATGGCATACCTACAAAAAAAGTATAATTACTCCAGAAATACATTGTCTATCTGGAGAATGTTTTACTGTGGGGAGAAAGGTGAACCCTTGTGATTGTTCTGATCTGTAAAAATCAGTTCATATGTTAATAAATCAATATAACACAAAAAAGTGAAATCAAATCACTATCAGTCCTATAAAACATGAATAAACAGGCTGTGTAATCATGGAAGGTTTCACGTTGATAGAGTGAAGACAAACTACTCTAAGACAGGCTTTTGTGCAGGCCTCACGGCTGAGGAAAGAGTGAGATTTGGCTGAAGACCCCCAAAGATGAGGAAGGTTGCCACATTTGTCTCAGAGAAATGTTACGGATATCAGCGTATTCAGTCTCGTCTCTGATAGCGATCCGGTGTCTCCTTTTCTTTGTTAGCTCCTTGCTTCGCTGAGAAAAAATATATTTATATATAAGCACCGCCGTGTGCAAATTTTCTGGACTATTTTGCAACATATTTTCTAACTTGGAGTTGTGTTTGGAGTATTTTAAAACAGATTTTCAAGTTGATATTGTTGCCAAGACTCCAATGTTTCAAATAGTGTGAAGCATTCATACATTTGTTGTGACGAGTACACAATATACCTCTTGTAAGGGGTTCTGCCTCAGTTTGGGACCAAAATTGGTGATTTCAACACCACTTCAAGACCTAGACTGGTTTACATTTCCAACCAAACCCGGTGAGCTGTGGCTTTGTGGATAGCTACACGTCACAGTGCTCCATGACTTCTCCATCCAAATACACTGCAGGGAAAACACAAAAACACTGATGATGTAAACACAGAGTCCACCTCCTCTCGTCTCACCTGTCATGCTCTCTGTCCTGGGATTGGCCAATCAACTGCAGCTTCATCCAGGAGGATTATTTTCTCAATGCTTCAAAAGGGAAATTACATTTGCTTTTGACGTAAAATTTTTAAAAGATTATTTCACAGTGTTGTTATTTTTGCTCTATTCCATCATTTCTTGGCTTGCCAGGACAAACTCCTCAGTAAACAGTTATTCATCAAAGTCGTAATATAGAAGTTAAGGTGAATTCGGACAGGAAATAGAGCATTAATATAGCAGCAAACAACTATTTGCTAATATATAGTCAAGCACTGTGTGTGTAATCCCAAATCACTAGTCCTCTGTTGGCATACTAAGTATATAGTAGTGCATGTAGTAGCTCATGGCCGTCCCGCTCCCCCCCCACACACTTCCCCCCTCCGGTTCTCCCTCAGGAAGATATCTGCGTCAGCTCTGCTGCTGCCGTGCATTGCACTGTTAGCGCTGTTAGCTCCTAGCAGCTCAGATGTCCCAATGTGAAAAGTTGCATATAGAGGCAATCGATCTGCACTGAATTTTGAATCAATGATATATTGAGGAGATTAATTAAACTTGTGTTGCAAAAATGAAAACGAAAAGGCACAACAAAGTGTGTGGGGAGAGGAGGTGTGAGACGGACTGATGCTGCCCTGAGCTTCCTGCGAGGGGAACCACCGGCCCAGGTGTGGTCCAAGCCACGGGTCAGCAGGAAAGGAAGAGCAAGTCAAATGATTCCTTAATGCATTTGCTGCACTTTTTTTGAGAGTGGACAGCTGTCCAAACCTTTCAGCCACTGTGGTACCCCAAGCCATTTAAAAAAAAGACTTGTGTCTCAGTACGTCCCAATCGCTATGCTCAGTAGGGATTGGGACGTACTGGGACTGAACCTCAGTTTGGGACTTTGGGACTCGGACACAGAGAGGTCTTTTATGCGGGCACCAAGAGTTTTTGTGGATCGGTTGGTGACGAAGAGCTTCGAGACACTTTATAGATATCTGGCTGACGCCTGCCTCCTCAGTTTGTACAAGCAGGCCACCTCCACACTGAGTCCAAACAAGCCCAGGGGAGTCAGCGCTGGAGCACTGGTACCTCCAGCCGGTTCCCCGCTAAGTGCAGACAAATGGTCCAGGGCCACAAATATCCTATGACGAAGAGCAGCATTGCCATGGTAATGCTGCCTGTACTGAAGGCGGTGACGGTGGCCTTGGTCGAAGGCTGAATGAGCTTTTTCTTTTCTGGATGTGAGTGAAGCCATCAGAACACCTTCAGTTACAGTATAAAGTATAAACTATATATTGTTATTGTTGGGGGTGTAGTTGGTGGACCCAAATGCACACGCACAGCAGTTTGATTTGTAGCCAAATGATTTTATTTCCAATACAACCTGGGAAGTGAACAAAAAACAAACAAACAAGGCGAATAGTCAAAAGGGGAACAGAAAGTGCTCCCTCGGGCTCAACTGGAGTCGGGAGGCAAACTCCACCGACCATCACCACCATCAGATGTAAACGCCATCAGATAGAACCCCCATCAGATAGAACCACCATCAGATGTAACCGCCATCAGATAGAACCGCCATCAGATAGAACCACCATCAGATGTAACCCCCATCAGATAGAACCGCCATCAGATAGAACCCCCATCAGATGTAACCGCCATCAGATAGAACCGCCATCAGATCGAACCGCCATCAGATAGAACCGCCATCAGATAGCACCGCCATCAGATAGAACCGCCATCAGATAGAACCGCCATCAGATAGAACCGCCATCAGATGTAACCACCATCAGATGTAACCACCATCAGATAGAACCCCCATCAGATAGAACCGCCATCAGATAGAACCGCCATCAGATGTAACCGCCATCAGATAGAACCCCCATCAGATGTAATCACCATCAGATGTAACCACCATCCGATGTAACCACCATCAGATAGAACCACCATCAGATAGAACCACCATCAGATAGAACCACCATCAGATGTAACCACCATCAGATAGAACCCCCATCAGATAGAACCCCCCATCAGATAGAACCACCATAAGATAGAACCCCCATCAGATGTAACCACCATCAGATGTAATCACCATCAGATGGAACCGCCATCAGATGTAACCACCATCAGATGTAACCACCATCAGATAGAACCACCATCAGACGTAACCACCATCAGATAGAACCCCCATCAGATAGAACCACCATAAGATAGAACCACCATCAGATGTAACCCCCATCAGATGTAACCACCATCAGATAGAACCCCCATCAGATAGAACCCCCATCAGATGTAACATCAGATAGAACCACCATCAGATGTAACCGCCATCAGATAGAACCGCCATCAGATAGAACCGCCATCAGATAGAACCACCATCAGATAAAACCACCATCAGATAAAACCACCAGCAGATAGAACCACCACATCGCCCGTGAGGCGAGAAAGCCCAAGTACTCAATGGAAGAAACAAAGTTAGTGATGTGCATTAATGGTGACAGTAATAGTAATGACATTAATAATGGTTTCAGAAGCGGTAGTTGTCAGCAGGGCCATGCAGGAGGCAGGACCAGGCTCCTGATAGAACCACGATCATGGAAACCTGCGAGGAGGGAAAGCACAAAAACCCAGAGAAAGAAGCTGATGAGTGATCTGCATTAAGACGTGAATTATTGCAGAAATTACATATATAGATAGATACTAGATAGATAATTCCTCAACTCCTCATTCTAGCAGCCTCATAGCGGAATGTTTCCTTGAAAGATACTTTGGCCCCTTTGACATTTTAGAAAGAAAGTAAATTCAAGCGACGGTCCGTCTGCAAATCAGGAACAATGAATGAAGAAAGCTCCCTTACATGTCACTGAAATGATATGAGAAGAAAAATGAAGCAACAAAATATGAGATGGATGAAGCTGAAAATGATCATGGGTATTTTACACAAGGCACCTCAAGCGGATGATTGAGTTGCAATCCCATCCATTAAAGTGTCTATACTTCCAACGTGATAAATATTCCATCAATTACCTGCTTTAAAGACTTTTGGGGTTCAAATCTCCTCGAAGAGACGCTCTCCTCAGGTGAGGCAGGATCCGTCTGACCAGCAGGGACCAGCTGGTAGACTTGTTTGTGCAGGTCCTATGACAAGTCCATCAACTTGGACTACAGCCAACAACTCAATATAGTTTTATAAACGGATGGATTAAACGAGCAGTTTATTGATTGTTTGAATTATAATTGGGTCGTGAGGAGCTGCAGACAAACTTGAAGCTCCTGGCAAAGCACACCACGCTTCTCACCACTACTGCTGCTCTGTTTCTGCTTCACAATCAATTGTGCATATTTTCGCAGATTATTTCGACTGACATGCCTTAGCAACAAAATAAAAAAACAAATAAAATAATATCTGAACAATACATACAGATAGACAGAAACCCAATGAAATATGAGTTAATATTTAAGCTTATTTCATAACCCTGCTAATGGATAACCAACCCCAGTAACTAAATATCCCCTGCAACAGCTTCTTGCAGCACCTTTCTGTATTGTTTTGACAGGTTCTTTGCAGCACATTTGTTGTCAAAGTGGTCAAGAGGTTTTTTTAATTGGAGCTCTCAGGGCCAGCGGGCTTTATCCACATCACATCCTGGGAACACATCCAGTTCACTGAGTGTGTGTGTGTGTGTGTGTGTCACATAGCCGTGTGAGTAGAAGGCTGTTAAAGAGGCAGATCAATTTGACAAAGTGAGAGAATGCCTGATGATTGTTACTCTGGTATTTCTAAAAAGGAACTAGATTGATGTGCCTTTCTCCACCTGGTGCTCTGTTACTTGATGTCTAATATCTCTCCTCCTCCTCCTCCTCCTCCAGGTATTTCCACACCATCTACCTGGGCGTTCGAAGCCATCAGAGTGCTGAGACAGAGCGCTGGCGTTATTACTGGAGGATGGTCTATGAGTTTGCGGATGTGAGCATGCTGCATCTCTTGGCCACCTTTCTGGAGAGCGCGCCGCAGCTGGTGCTGCAGCTGTGCATCATTATACAGACACACAAGCTCCAGGCAGTGCAAGGTAACCCACTCACAGGAAAGCCTCCTCAAACCGACGTCCATCCAGGGGGGGGGCGATTGTCGGGATGATTCACTCCTAAAACACCTCACTGTGCTGGACAAAGGGCTACGGGGGGCTTGCACCCCGGCCTCGACACAAAGGGTCGGAGCTAGCTCCGTTTCAGAGCCTCCAGTCTGCAACGCGATGCTGAGGAGACGCAGTGAGCTGCGCTGTTCCTCTCTCGGTGTGCTGGGTTGGACTTCAGTCAGAGTCTTCCCCGCTCTCTTCTTCGTCCTAACGAGAAGTATGAAGCCACTAAACAGGCGAAAAGTACACAAGCGCACATTAGTTTGCACCAAGGCGTCAATACTATGTCGTGATTTAGAATATTCGTTTCACTTTCCAAAAGCAAAGAAGCTAGTAAGTCTAAAGAAATCATCACTAAATGTTGATAGACTTGCATACGTGTGCCATCTTCCCTTATTCCATCACTTCTATGTTGCACATGTTCTCAAATGCTTTCTACTTATAACAAACATGTACATGTATATAGAAACCTACTCAAAACTATGAGAGTGAATTATATTCACTGCCACTCAGAGGGACTGAAAAGGCCGGATGGGTGAAGATAATAATTTCCCTCCAGTTGAACAAAGCCAACATTTCACAAAACTAGGAAAAATAAAAAGCACTGTACACATAGTAGGTGAACATTGCGTCATCTACGCGCCGCACTGAGTGACTGCTTGAAAGGTCATCACGCATGAGCAAGGCAGCGAGCCCCTAACTGCTGAGCCCTCTCCATACAATGCTGCACGTGTTTCCTAATAACAACCAATTGAATTTCCCCTCAAGAGGTGATTACAGTGTTAACACCTCTTTTAAACTGATAACGATCCCTGTTGCCATTCACACACCTGCATGCACCTGCTTACGTTCTCACTTGTTTCACATTGATGCAAACCGTGTTTGATATTTATTTCACAAGGTAGTTTGTTTGTGTATTTCTTCTGGAAATTGGTTCCCAAAAAGATGTACATTCATTTTTTCTGAAAACTAAGGTAACGGTAAAGTCTTCTCAGGGTTAGGGTTAGAGATGTTGTCTGTACTCTGATGCCATGTGGCCGTGTTTGCGTTTCCGGGGTGTTCCCATCATGTGTTGTGTCTCTGTGCCTGAATGTTGCAGGAATGACCGCCGCGGCCTCCCTTGTCTCTCTGGCCTGGGCCCTGGCCTCCTACCAGAAGGCCTTGAGAGAGTCTCGTGATGACAAGAAGCCCATCAGCTACCTGGCTGTCGTCATCCAGTTCTGTTGGCACTTCTTCACTATCGCTGCGCGGGTCATCACCTTCGCCCTGTTTGCCTCTGTATTCCAACTCTACTTTGGCATCTTCATTGTCCTGCACTGGTGCATCATGACCTTCTGGATTGTGCACTGCGAGACAGACTTCTGCATCAGCAAGTGGGAGGAGATTGTGTTTGACATGGTGGTGGGCATAATCTACATCTTCACCTGGTTCAACGTCAAGGAGGGACGGACAAGGTGAGCCTCTCCACTCCGTTCAATGGGATGGAGACCTGAAGAAATACATCTGTTTTTTAATTTGTTCATTAAATTGGAGGTCACATTAGTCTGTAATAGTTTGTTTGGAGGATTAGTTGCATGAAGTTTGATCAGCTGCCAATTGTAGGGGTCTCAAAGCAAACAGATCTACGATGAGCTGGGAAGGAATTTTGCGATTGAAATGATTTACAGTCCACAAGTAACTTTTTTGAGGTGCACCTTTTGTATATTCAAATTATAATTTGTATTGCCCAAAATCACACATTTGCCTGATTGATCTGTACAAATGCAACATCCTCATTGGACATTGGTTCAGAAGATAAACAATTATTTGACAGAGAGTAAATCAATAAAAAATGTGGCTACCAGAGAATGAAAATCTCGCTTCAACATCATTCACCCATACCGCCAACCCTCTGGTTGGGGGACGACCGTGCTCCCCACTCACCCACAGGCGCCCCGAGAGGCTCTAACAGAACAATCTTGGCAAGTCAACCTCCGGCAATATACATTTGGAGAGCAGTTGGAGAGTTATCAGTACAGCCGTCCTCAAGCCCATTGTTAAAATAGAACATACAGATTTCCCACCGTGCTCTAAAAATTCATTGCAAATAGCTGCTTCTTGTTCGCTGCTTTTGGTTCTTCATTTCTTTTCCTCGTGTCTTTGTGCAGGTGCCGGCTCTTCATCTATTACCTGGTGATTCTGGTGGAGAACGCTGCTCTCAGTGCGTTGTGGTATCTCTACCGGTCGCCTCACACCACCGACGCCTTCGCAGTGCCAGCACTCTGCGTCATCTTCAGCAGTTTCCTCACCGGTGTGGTTTTCGTGCTCATGTACTATGCCTTTTTCCACCCCAACGGGCCGCGCTTTGGGCGCTCGCCGAGCGGCCAGGGTCTTGACCTCGACCCCTCTGCTCAGTTCTCCACACTACCATACGAAGGTACTACCAACTCACTACGTTCCAACCGAGGTGCCACAGCGACCCTGGAGCGGGACGGGGGAAAGTACTCTGAGCGGGACGGCTGTATGCCGGTTTTTCAGGTCCGATCCACAGTGCCATCCACGCCATCATCTCGTGCCCCACGCCTCGAAGAGACCGTCATCAAGATCGACCTTTGCAGGAACCGATACCCAGCTTGGGAGCGCCATGTCCTTGACCGCAGTATACGAAAGGCCATCCTGGCCGTAGACAGCTCGCTGACGCCTCCGCGGCTGCAGTACAAAGACGACGCTCTGGTGCAGGAGAGGCTGGAGTACGAGACCACATTATAGTTTCACCCTGCTACCCATAGAGGGGCCCGGCCATCGGAGGATTATCCTGCTATCACATAAACAGCAAAAAGGACTGGCAATAACAAACTAGCAATTCCACTTGTCATCCCTCATCATTCTTGTTCTGTTTTTATTCCCCGGTGTCTGTGCCCACCCAGGAGACTTCAACCACGTTGGTGGTGATTGGAGGATTTGGTGCAGTTGATGTCACCAGATGTGTTTGGGATCATTGCAGGATTGTTGCTGTTATCTTTACTTCCGCTCATCAGGGAAATCCAGTCTGGAATGAACTGAGTCCAAATGCTTTGACACTGCTCAGGCGGCACTGTTTGGTTATGGTTGGAAAAATAAGCATATGTCAGTTCAACGGATGCTCCACCTTAACCTAAATGACACATAAACTCCTCTAACGTGATGAAGGGAAAGGATCCCTCACCCAGCATCAGTGGCTCTTCAAACTGTCATGGCTGTCCTACTGTTCTGATGAGGTTCTGATGATGTGGTCCATGACCAGCCAAAACTGGGTGGGTGCTTCCATCACTATCCACATCGTCAATCTCAGTTTATTTTCTCTTAGTGCCAAAAAGGTTCTTTGGAGACTTCGACTTGATGCGGCGGTGGAACCCCCCACGCAGGGTTCAGACCCCATGATCAGCCCAACCACAGCCCGACTCGTCAGGTCAGATCAGGAGCACCTTTGGGCGTTGGGCGCAACAATTGGTTCTTTTATGTCATGTTGTTCGTCATGGTGGACAACTTGAAGATGTCACAACATCCCAAAAGAAGGACTAGCATGTGTCTGCATGATGTCAGTGATGTCAGTGCGAGAGCAAAAAGAGCCCTTTCGTGTTTAAACACAACGAAGTGATAAGAACGATGCTGCTGCTGCTGCCGTGGAATCCTGAAACGGAGGAATGGTGACAGTGTTTTCTTTCTCTTTTCCCAAACTTTAGACAGCCAGCACCACGCTGTTGTTTGTTTGCATTTGTCTACCTAGCAACTCCAAGAATTTTTGTGCATTATTGTTTTCGTTTGAACAGGTTGGCTAGGAAGTCCAAACAGTAGTTCTACTAGACTAGATGTTGCATTCTTCTTGGATAACTAGGTCTACAGAGGAAGAAGCTCAGACAGAAATAGAAATAGATGCAGATAGCGGTGTAAACTCGGCCATTGTGTTGCAGATAAAATCAGCCGGTGAAAGCTGGACAGACATAAACTCTTTCTCCAATAAGGAAACAAGTCAAACTCACACAATGCCAAGAAATAATCTTCCTGGCAGCTCAACTTTTACAGTCAAGCCTCATAAAGCTGGTTGTGCAGTGGTGCTGATCTCCGGTGGAGGAGAATGTGAGTGTGTGCGAGTGTGTGTGTGTATGTGTGCGGCAGCATGATGAGAAAAAGGAAATGACTCGAGGATGGAGAACAAAAAGGCAAAAACAGCCATCTCAGCCAAACCGAGCCAAGCACCAGGATGTACAGTACTCGTCTACAACATGCAGCATTTTATTACCTAGGAGATAGCTTAGAAGGTTCTGAAGTCATTGTGCGTGTGTTTTTTTGTGGTGTAAGTGTGTATGTGTCGGCATTAGACAACATCATCATCAACGTCAAGTCTGATGTTGTTGGATGAACACATGTGGGGAACATGTTCCTGTGTAACACCAAGCCATCAACACAAGTCAGCGCCGTGCTGCTGGTGTCCACGTCCTTTAATCGGAAAGGACAACATCTTCGGTTCAATGAAGTGGCACAAAAAAGCTTGACCACCGTTATACACTTTCAGCGAGGAAGTTTATCAACTCCAAAAAGATATCAATATGATATGACTGTCGTGGTATCATCATGTTTTTTGCCACTTCTCATCTGTGAGGAAACGATGCGGTAACCCTGCATCCTGAACCAGATGAACGATTACTAACAAGTCTCTAGTAAAGAAACCAGGGGGAAGGGCTTCATTTGGATACAATTATAGCACATATATGAACTGTAAGGAGGGAGGGGAGGAAGGGAGGTGGATTTGGTGGACTTAACCGTTACTCTGGCTCAGACTGAGATGTTGAGGTTCCATGAGAGCAGAACAGATCAGCCGCGTGGAACAGATGTCCTGCGTCAGGGAAGGACAGTACCAGATGATGATACATGACTAAAACCCTGAAGGTCCAGACAAGGTCACGTTATGGTGATAGCATTGGTGGAAACATCAGGGCTACGGGTTCGCTCTCGATCAACCATGATTTGCAAAACCTTCTACAAGTCTCACAACTTTGCCAAATTTGGGGTTAGATGACAAGTTCTAATGTCAACCGTTTGAGGGCAAACCCTTTGTTAGTCAAATACCTTCTTCTCTAAATGGCGTCCAAATATCAAGGGTGAGAAGGTTGCTTAAGTCATTTTCTGGTGACCATGACTATTCACGCCTGTGGTGGTGTTCACATGTTGTCCATAATGAGAGCACGTACCAGTGAAAATGGTTCCTTTTTAAAACTTGCTGTGCGTATGAAGACCAACCCTGGGACGTCCCAGTGATTCATAAAGACAACTAGACTGCAAACAATACACAGCTGCACCATTTACACACTCCCAACCCAAGCAGCGTCATTTCAAGGGATCGGGGGAAGAAGGTAGAAGAACAGTGGGTCTTTAGATTTAGAAGTGTCTGCACGAAACCTGGAAAAAGGTTTTCAGGTTGCAATCCTTTCTCTGGAGAAGGCAAGAGGAGAGAAAAGCACAACGCGAGTCAATGGGATGATCATGGAATGTTAAACATTCCTTTAAAATGCTTCTCTTAGTTTGTACGATAATAGTATTTGGTTAGTCGGGCAAAAGTGCGACAAATAATAACTTGTACTAACTTGAACTTTGACAGATTTACTGTATATGAACTGAGCGTACCCGTTGTTTTGAAGGTTTAGCTATTTACTTTATATCAAAGCCATTCATTTAAAAACCAAGCAAAATTTGAATTTATTTCCCCGCAATTGCAATTTGGTATTATAACCGGCAAAAGTGAATCAAGTGAACGGCATCCATAGAACTTAGTGTCAGTTATTGTTGTGAGGTAAAGCGGTGCAGAGGTTTTAAATCTATCTGTATTTGTTCATGTTGTGAAGAAATGAATAGAAATTGTAGGCAAATTACATTTATAAATCTATCAATGCACAGCCACACAGGCTGAAGTGAACTGAGGGCTTCAAAGAAAGCATGTTGGGTTCATGGCGGCTTCTCTTTTCAATTATCTTTGTTTTTTACTCTTACTTTACTTTGCACTTTGGGTTTGAGTCAAAGTCCACGCGGTTCGGGGAGAAGTCCACCGATTGATATGATATATAGATAAAGCCTTATTTGGTGCCGGGGAATCCTGTAGAATTGGATTATTGGCCTCATGTTGTGTGTTTGCTGGGGTCGTAGACGACATGATATAGAAAGAAGTCACTTCATCAGAAGCTTCAGGATACTTAGCATTACTAGGGATTCATGCCGTAACTCGATATCTCCAAGGTATCAACCCAGTGACAAGTAGTATCTAACCTCTCCAATCGGGCTATACCTGCTATTGGTTCTTTTTGTGCATGGATATAGACCTCTACATTTATTTGTATGGACTTGCTCACGATCAAACACCGCAAGCATTGTTGGATTTAATGTAACGCGGCGCGATGCTGTAGTAGCTTCAACTCTGAGGGCCTGAACCTCGAGCAGGGCCCTGGTGGGGGCCATTGGGACCACCGCTTCCATCCACAGAAAGGGTTTCCAATCCAGCACTCTATGGCAGAGGTCTCCAACAGGGGGTCAGCAACCCCCAGGGGGTCCGCGGAGGTAGCGAGCGGATAAATTGATGGAGGAGACGTTATCTTTCAGTCCCACAGCAGCTCTCTGCTGGACACCGGTTCCCTCACAGCTCCTTTCACGCTGATACGACATCACAGGCACCAGCCAATCAGATCCATTCATGCTCACGTCTAAAGAGCGCAGAGCTCAAACATAAAAGATGGCGGACCAAACTCGTAGAATAGGGGGTCCCTGCTCCATCTCGCCATCAGTTTGTGGGTCTGAAAAAACGTTGAAGACCCCTGTTCTATGGTATCGGCATCACTTTCAAGGCACAGGTTTTGTCTTAAACAACACCCAGTCCCAGGAATAATGTATCTGAATTAGTGCAGATAATGTGTTTTATTTAAATGTCTGATTGGAAAAAACACTGATTTCAGGATGACTTTTCCCCAGTAGAACTACGACAGCAGGAAAAGAATCTGAACTAATTCACCAGCAGACATGCTCACGGCTTTCTCTGCCAGCATTCGGGTTGTGAAAAACGTTCAAAGGTTGATGCAATAAATGTACAGTTTGTTCCTGAAACAATGGAATCACAGACTCAAGAGAGAGTGTGATTAAAAGTTAAGAAGGCCACTTCTTCTCTGTAGCCTACTCTGTGTAAATTCAGCCTTATTTGATTTGGGGATGGGGAAGTTTATCAGCAGCCTTTGTTTACTCATCACCATCTCATGAACTAACACATACTGATACAGTATACGTACCATGTGTACTGGTATCTACTCAACATAAAGCTACCTCAGTTTGTTTCATGGACCGAATACCCTCCACGTTTCATCAGCAAAACATGTCTGTAACGCAGGCAATATACGGCTCCCTGTTGTAAAAACAAGTCAATAAGACTGAAAATTAAAGTTCCCAAAATGGAACAAATCCTAGCGAGAGAAAATACTTCTGGGGATCCTTTTTCCAAGTCTATACTGATTTGTTTTACTTAAGAACTTAAGGGGAATTTTTTTTTTTGGCAGGTAAATGTTCAAAAGAGCATTCATGATGATTGGACAAATTATGTAAACTAAAGGAAAACCTTTTTTCACTGGTTCTTAAGTCACGCAGGCAGGAAAAGTATCAGATCAGAAAATGGATCGACTCACCAAAGATCAACACAAATATAATGCAGACAAGCCAATCGGGGATTGCAAAGAATTAGATTGAAAAAAGTACTCAATTTCCATCTAATTAAAGTAGTTTTCCGCGTTTATTTTTATTTAATATTGTTCAATCTGCCAATAGGAATTCTCTTTCTCTTTCTGGAATTTGATTGGATTTAAATCAAGAATACTGATTATGGCTCATTAAATCTCAGTTTGTCAGGAATCTGGCCATCAAATTAATATTCATATTAAAGCAAAGTACTGACATTTGTTTAATCTCACTGTTAAAACAACACAAAAGAGGCTGTGTCACATAAAGGGGGATCTGAGCCTTCTGATTGGTGGGTGTCCTGCTCCCCGGAGGACGTGACCCATCAACAGATGCCCCCCCTCACTGCTCATAACTCGTATAAGCTGCTTTCTATGTTTTGTTTGCCTTAACATGTTTCTACTTGTGTCTTTATTTGAAACTCATAACCCTGGTTTGAGTGAACTGAAAGCACAGCTGGGTTTAGTGGTGTCTGAGTGTGTATTTGTGTGTGTGTGTGTGGGGGGGGGCTCCGTGGGGCTGTTTTCTTTGTCAATCTCAGTTACTGTGCTTTTACTAGGCCCGAGCCACTGTCCAATAGGGAGGCAGCATAGACTCCAGTCCTCAAGCGTCTCAGAAGAAAAGCTTTGTGTCCCAACGCTCGGAAGACATTTGCCATTACGTTCCCTTTGTGCCGCGGATCCTGATGGAAAACGCTTCCATCTCTCGGCCTGTTTTAGCTGCACTGCTTCATCCTGAGCCGTTAAACACGAGAGTCGGTGAAAAGGTTATTCACTAATTTCTCCGTCCCAGCAGGGTGAGCGTGTACATTCTGAACATGAAACTAAAACCATCATCGCAGTGTGGGTTATGGTACATCTTTACAGCACAATCGCCGTACTACTCGTGTTCTAATGCTGGGCCAGAGGTATGTGTGGTATCATGACAGACAAGTAACACCTGGTAGTGGGCGGGGCTTAATGTAAAAAGCTACGGATTGGGTTAAAAGCAGGTCTGTTATGTTAGGAAAGCTACGTGAAGTGAAGGCCCTTTGTTTGACCCCCCGCCCCCTTTCTTTCTCTTCAAAGTCTTATACTGAGGCGGATGGGTTTACATTGGGTTAGTTTGCAGTTCTGTCCGAGTGTTGGTATTTGATGCCCTCAAGGTGAGAGCACGCAGGCAGGAAGGACGTGTCGCACCCCAAGCACAACACTCCCACGAGGGGCCACGTGTTATACAGAGCCAAATAGTTATAGTTTCCTAAAAACACTAAATCCTGTTAATCCTTTTTGTAACTTGTGTCTTTGTAAAAGGCCCAGGCTCCTTTGTCACTGGAGGAGGAGGACTCGCCTGAGGTCAAGTGGGAAGTGACCACGGCCGTCTGTGAGATGTGAACGGCGACCCGTTGTGGGTCATTCAGCTTTAGTAGAAGCACAGTAACCAGCAGCCGAAAACTGCTCGCGTTCCAGGCTCCCTGCTTTAATCGTTCTGTACAGATATCTGTTTAAGGAGTTGGCTGAACACGGATACCGCAGGTAGTGAACTGATCAACTTCAAAGCTTATCTGTAAATAAATGTATGCAGTGTACACGCTAAAAAAGAACATTCCTCTCTTTTTGAGTTGCGACTGTGAAGGGCGTCTCTGAGCTGTGACGCCACCATGATGCTGTAACTATGACAATATACTACAGAGAAAAAAATGATAAATGTGGTGTATGTGGTGTATTTAAAAAAGATACTAATGTTTAAGACTAAAAAATGGGTCCGTAAGTTGAATTGTGTGATGAAAGTCTGAAGTGCTAAACATTCTTTCAATGGGGAAAAAGTACATTTTATTGTAAAAATAAATCAATAGTGATAAACACGATCAAAATTGCATTTTTGTATATATGGGATTTTTGTAAATTTTTATTTGAATCTGATGCAACACAAACTACCAGAATTCATTTAATAAAGCACACTGTGGTCATTTTTCTGGCCTCAATCATTTTGTTGTTTATTCTGTGAGGTTGAAATGAGAAGATTCTGTGGAATTATTCATCTTTGTTCTTGTTTTTGAGGATTGAAATTGAAACCCACAGAGCAGCAAATGAAGGTCAGTCATATTTCTACCCAAACTGTGGAGATAACATTTTATTCAACAAAACCCCTCCAGATGTGAATCCCAGAGTTTGTGTACACAGGACAATCGTAAAGACGGGATATCTTTAAAAATGTTGGTATATCAAAGGAAATTAATCCTAAATACACATCCATATTATCATATCAACATGCATTTTGACGAGTTTGAGACAAATGTGCGTGTAGGAACACGTTCACAGCAGTGAGGGAATATATTGTACTGCACTTGTGTATTTTGCAGTAGGCCACTTACACTTTAATTGACACGTAACGAGAAACAACTATTCACACGAGTCACACGGACATGGTGAGGACATGCAAACTCCACCCAGCAGGGTCGTGCAGCCAATCACCCAATGTTATAGTTTAAACTACCCAGCAGCAGGTGGTTATTAGCTCCATCTTTATGCACCACTCATTTTAAACCAACAAGAGGCCATTGAAGTCTGTTCTTTTGAGGCGGGTCATTCCGCGTAGAGAGTACGAGTAACTATCTGCCAATGTAAATACTGTTGTACTTCTACTGGATGCAGGACTTCTGCTAACACTACAGTTTGCTACTTACGGTTACTAGAAGGAACTCTCATCCTCATAAATGTGGTGTGCTTGTCAGCACCAGGCAGTCCGCCCGCTTAGTGCTGGTTCCGCTGGGCCCCCCTTCCCTCCAGCAGGGCGGGAAGAGGTTTCTGCTTGGGCCTGCGTGATGTCATCAGAATCTGAGCCGCTGGCCTCGTGACGGCACTGTCAGATTAGCAACATAGAAACAAACAGTTTCTCTTTGATAGATTTGTACTCATGTAGATCAGAACGATTCATTACCAGTACCAGATTGGTAAAAGATCAGAGTACTAGTTCAGCCTCTGGTTAGTACAGGTGTGGTCTGAAGACTCCCCAGGACATGGAGACACTACGAACTGCCGGCAGTCCACCCAGATTGGCTTTGTTCAAAGGGACTTGTCTTCGTGTTCAACCCCTCCTAAGCACCACCATGTCCTAGAGAAATTATATATACGTACGCTGGTCCTTGACATGAAGCGCCTGGCATACTACTACTACTAGTACTACTACTACTACTACTACTAGTCCTCATTTAAGCCACCTGACCAGGAGCACAGGGGGAAGGAATTACATGAAACATCTTAATAAAATAAGTTTATTAACAGGTTGAAGAGTAATATTTAAAAGTGCAACATTTCTATATTGGCATCATATATCACAAGTTAGATCATGTCAATCAACACAAATAAGAGGCAACCAGTTCCCAGAAGGAGACTTCCATCAGAAGCCCACCTGGTCTCAGGCTTCTAGAAGATGACACCCAGAATCAGCTGGCAGACGCTTTGACAACCAGCTCATTGTGTTTACACACCATGCATGCACACAATAAAGGGATCAAGTCATTGGTTCTACAGAAATGAACAATATTACAGTGAGACAGTACTTGCTGGACGAGGGAACACAGATACAGAAAAGTTTTCCCCCCGTCACCATTCAGTGTTAATCTCTTTTGCGGATCATCATCTCTATTCTGAATGGTTTCAGTGTTCACAAACAGCTTCATGACTCAGAGCTTTAGAACAGCTCAGTGTGTTATTGTTATTATGGAAGGAACCCCACAGAGAAACGGACGTAATAATAAATCTACCGGAGGCCTCGAGGAAGGGGAGGCCAATCCGAAGGCTCCTTGACTCCCGTTTTGTGATCAATTAACTGACTGACTCTTTGTGTCTTCATGTTGGAAGTGAACTGGAGGTTAAAGAGACGGCACACATCACTTCACATTCTTCACATCGGTTAACGCTCATCTCTGAGCTGCTGGAGCGGCCTCACAGAAGATTTTAATATTTCAGTTATTATGTCGTTTCTCATTGTATTTTATTTTAATACATTTAAATCTTACATCTGAGCATTTTCAGTGACCTCTGACACTGATCAGGTACGGCACCAGAGGCCACTGCTATTTGTGTCGTGTACAACTGGTGATTCAAGTGTAAATGATGCACAGTGCATATGCATATACTGTCTTCACACGTCGAACATCACTTGAAGATGAAACAGAGAAAAGTAACAAGTCCTCAGTCACAGTAAACGCCATCAAATCACTCACGGTTTCAGAGATATGCCGACTCAATCTCTCATCCAAAACAATTATTACAATAAAGTGTTGCAGGAATGAGTCGGAAAACCCATAAAAGAGTCTGCATGTAAAAATATAGAAATACGGTCATAGTCAACACTCACCTCAGGATATTTTAATGCTTTTACTATGACAAAGTACCTAAACGTAAATATCCCTCTCTTGGTTGTTTTTATTTTGTGCAATAATTCAAAATCCAAGATATCAGAAAAAGAGTCCTGAGAGACCGGAGTCTGGAACCACATCAGGACCTCAGGGATCATTGACAATGGAATAAGAAATAATCTACTACAAGCTTTCTATATTTGTATGTTTGGTTCATTCCAGCCAAATTCTAAATAGCCAAAAATTAACAAATATTTATGCAACAGAAGAACAACATCTCAAACCCCTGAGATGCCAGTGAGAAGCATCAGAGTCTGAAATCATTTTCTATGTTCAAGACCAAGGATTGGTTGAAATAAATAATTATTCTACGTTACTTATTTATCATCATTTTTTGGGGGAATATTCGAGAGACTAAAGGTCATCACTCCCCCTGTTCTCATTTGAACTAACCGTTTTCACCTTGTCTTCTTTGTGCACTCTTAACACAAAGAACACATTTTGCGTGGAAGGAAAAAATGGAAGGTAAAAAGATTATCCTGGCGAAGCATTTTCTTTCCCTTGTCTTGAAGTCATAAATAAAGCGGATGGCATCCTTGGTCCTAAAAAGTAAAGACAATGAGAAAGTATCCTGAAACTGCATTCTCTGTAGTGACCACCAGGGGGCGACTCCTCTGGTCCCATAGAAGTCTATGAGAAAACGCTCTCTTCCTTAATACAGCATGATGTTATCTTATGAGTCAACCAGTCCAAGCAGGGGATGCGTCTACACAACCCTTTGTGTTTTCAGCTTATTGTTATAGTTTATTATAACATTTTGGGGGCCTGAATGTTGAATAACACATTGCCATTACCTGCATGCCTACAATAATGGTCAATACAATTAATACTGAGTAATGACAGTTTTTCTGGTGTATCTTTGGGTCTATATACCTGCATGCCATTATACTGCTGAGACCTTTGGTCACTATCTGGTTTCTACTTTAGCCTTTCGTAGTGGACCAGCCAGAACCACTGGCTGTGCTGTCTACTCGGCATGTGGAGCTCAGTTTTTTTGGGTTGGACCGGGGGGGCGGGGGGGGAGCAGGTACAGGTTTATCCTGCATGTTGATACGTTTCTTTCCTTCACTGAAACCACCACTGGTAGCGTGTAGAGGCCGTTTGGATCATTTAGCGCTATGCTAACATTGTAGCTGGTCCATCTAAACTCAAAATAATGTCTTCTAGTCACAAAGCATCAGCAAAATGACTGTTCACACACGTACATTTAAACACACGATACTTGATCCTTGTAATTGTCCATTTCTGATCCAACGTTAGTGACGAACAATCAAAGTTCCCTTTGCGCTTGGTGGGAGCACTCCGTGATACCGTCACCGACGTTGGCTCCAAGTCGAGTAAAGCTGAAGATGTGCAAACATGCGTCTGCACACGACGTCACACAACATGTATCAGCTGATTCAGATTAGGAACCTTTGCTGACATTAACAAACTGATATCACAGTTTTCAAATAAGAAACAGCCTGAATCACATTTATTTACAAAGATCTAAAACAACCAGAACCACAAGCAATCAGCTCACAGACCAGCCCTAAGGTCCATCTTCCTTCTGACCATACAGTGATTTTTATTGTGTGTTAAAACAATCTCTGAGGTGTAATAAATGTTGAGTCTTATTTAGTCATTTCAGGAAGTCTAGCTTCTAACCCGATTCATCCATCTAAAGTGACTTAATGAAAGAAACATATCAGAAGCTAAATGAATGTGTTGTGAGCACGCATGAAAGTTGTGCAAATGTTCCAACATGTTGGGCCATCAAACCTGTTCACACGGGCGCCGCCTGAGCCCCCGTGACGTGGCGCCCTGGTCACACACACCGGACAGAAGGTCTCTTCTCTGCACTGCTGACGTTAACGCTCTTTGTGTTTGCTGTGAAATCTCTCCAACAAGGCTCTCAGGATGTTCCCCGGGATCTGCTGGTGCTGGTCTATCAGAGACTGAACAGCCCGCTGCACCTGCACAGCAGGATTTAATAAAGAATGGAGTCACATTACTGAGGCTCCAGAATTAAAAAAAAAACACTTGGCTGTCATTGTACTGACCTTCACAAATCCAATAACAGTCAACTTCTAATTCTAACTGCTGGAAGGTGATAAGTGATCGGATTCACCCTCTACGTTGTGACCGAGTTTTTGATCTCTTTCGATGTTTAATGCTCACATGGTATGAGGGGAAGAGAAAAAGAAGGAATACTGACTTTCTCTGCAAGCTCTGCAGCGTTTATGTTGGAGTCGTATGGGATGGGGTCACCCAGGAAAGTCCGAAACTTCACCGGAAATCCACCATAAACAGGAGCAATGGGGAGGCGAAACCTCTCATACAACCATCGGAAAAATCCTGAGCGGGAGAGAGAGAGATAATGAGAGGAAGAGAGAGAGAGGTACGTGTGGACGGATAGTGGGTGCATAGATTGTCCCGTGTCTTCCTGCCTTAGTTCGTGGAGCTTGTGATCTTGTGATTGTTGCTTCTACACTTACTGAGTGTTCCCAGCGATCTGAAGCCTTCCCGCACATTCTGAGTAAACATTGGAATTACCGGCTGGAAGACAGTAAGAGAAAGATTAGAGACACTGCACACTTCTAACATGGAAGTCAAGATGCTGCCATTATAGAGGGAATTATGACCCTACCCTCGCATCGCTCCCTAAATGCTTCTTCTTAATAACGTCTTCTTTTAAATCGCTCCTCGAGCACGAACACATCGGATCAATGGGCATTAAACTGCATAAGAAGCCTATTTATGACTTTGGAAGCATGAACAGGGAAATTGTGCCACTGACATTCAAATAGAACAGACCGTTACATTAACTAATGTTTTTCTTTCTAAAAGGTTTGAAAATTGTATGAACTATTCAAAATCAGAATTGGTGTAAATATATCACATAATGTTTGGACATTTCATGCTGAAAATCTAGATGCTATACTTTTAAGACTTAAGATATATAAATGTAATGTTATTTAAAATGTAAGTTTCAGAGACAGCAGATTGCAGGAAGCTCAACGCACCACTTGGGAGTCGATGGCGACCTGGGCGAAGCCGGTGCGTTTGCCCCAGACGAGAGGGTAGGTCTCATCGCTGAACAGAGCCTCCCGCACTCCACCTGGAGAAATCCCCAACAGGTGGCCGCTCCTCAGAGCCCGCACACACTCCTCCTGAGGCCCGTGGATCACGCTGAACACCTCCAGCAGCAACTTGAAACCTGGAGGGACGGGGCGAGAAGAAAGTCATCCTCAAAGCCGCTTACCCTTTATACAGGGTCGTGGGAGGGGGGGGGGCAGTGCTAGGGTGATGGTGAAGCTAAAACTTGAGATTCATGGGGAAAACTACAAAAATCGAAGTATTTTCTCATAGACTTCCATCCAACCAGCGGAGTCCCCCCCTTAAGACATGAAGCATTGGCTTCACTCGCCAGAAGCAGAGGCTGCAGCCTGGTTTCTGTTTGTGTTTGAGGTCAGTTTGAATTATTTTCATTAAAACAACAAACTAACAGGTAAACCAAAACATCTGCACCGAACACGAGGAGATGAGCGGTACTGGTGGAGATCCGCATGCATTGATGAGGGAAGCAGCGCAGGTACCTGGGATCTTGAAGAGTAAGTGGTCAGCTACAGAGTGGCAGGGCCGTCCCTTCTGGATGATAACGTTGGCTAGAAAGTAATAGTAGTCGATGGGAATGGCTCCGTGATAGTAAACTATCAGTGCTGCTCCTTGGTCAGGGATCTTCTCCATGCCATGGATCTCGTAGCCTGGAACACAGAGTGCACGAGGCATATGTGTTATTCCAATAAAAACTGGTCATTTGAATAAATCCAAGCATGTCACTTATGGAATTATTCCATGGATGTATCCGTGTATCTGGTTTTTATGGCTTTTGTTTTGTTTTTCAACCTAGAGTTTCCGCCCCTGTGTCCTGCCTTCGGCCTCGCCCCTCCCCCAGTGGCTGCAGCTCATTTCGGAAATCACAGTGACTGGCACGAAGGCTTGAGAGTTCCCAGGCTCGTGCCTTTGTCTGTCCACAACGTAACATGTATTCATTTATTCTTGACTCTTTGCAAATAACATATATATATATATATATATATATATATATATATATATATATATATATATATGTTTTATATCACTACCCGTTTGGAGTCAAAAAGGAAATTCAAAATAACGGGAGGATAATTTCCTCAAAGAAAGAAACCACACATAAAGACACGTTCAAGAAACAAGATCAAATACACTGACAAACACAACATTGCATCCCTATTGCAAGGTGGCAGCTGAAGGAAATGCTTTGTGTAGGGAGAGAACCAGGACCCGACTGAGTGTCTCACCATGCCATATGGCTCCATGTCCATCCCACAGGGTAGCCAGGGTCTTCCTGGCTCCGTCCCACAGGTTGTTGCAGTAAGCTTCCCTCAGCTGATTCTTCCTCTGTTAGAAGAAAACATTGGAAAAGATATGGAGGCGAGGACGAGACACGGCAGGAAACATCTGGATGTGTTCAACCACATGGGCCCTGTTTCAGATGGCAGGTGGAGTGAACTCTGAGGAGACTGACCAAAAAGCCCCCGTGGGTGGAGCTCTAGTTCCACCATGGCAACAGGTACTAGGCTCCACTTTAATCCAGCGAGATATGAATGCATATAAGGTGTAAAAAGGCTCATTAATCTCTAAAGGAGACATTTGCTCAATTTAAGACTGATTCTTGTATTTAGTTGAAAAGGATTTGTGCAAACCCACAGCCTTTTCCCAATCGCTACGTGGTCTTCACTTATGAACTGAATCCATTTGGTTCTTGAGCTTTCTAAGCCCGGGACGCCATGAGGAGAACTTCCAGCTAGTTTATCCGAGGTTTGCAAGAACGGAAATGCTGTTAAAAACAGTTCACTACGCGTAAGCTATTTAAATAACTCCCTTTCAAACTACATTGTGCCATGACCCTGCTCACTTAGAAACATGACACAAAGTCTCCGACAGGATCTTGGACAGCTGACATCAACTGTGTGCACAGTCTCAGTGTTACGTGTTGATGTGAAAAACGACATGCAGCGGTGTTACTCGGAGCCGAGGGCGACTCGACTCCTGAACGCGTGACCACGTAAACGGGAACTAGTGAACGAGTGACGGGATGAAACGTCCCTGTAGGAGAGAGGAGACATCGAGAAACCCAACGGTTCACATAGTCAATCGCCGCGGTAACAGCTACTGCTTGAGGAACCCGTCTTTCTGGAGGTGAACAGGCAGAGCTTCCCTTGTCTCCGGCTTAATGGGATCCTTTTTACATTACATTACATTACATTACATGTCATTTAGCTGACGCTTTTATCCAAAGCGACGTACAGTAAGTGCATTCAACTATAGGGTACAAACTCAGGAGAACAAGAAACAAGAAAGTGCAATTTCCTCAAATAAGCCAATTTACAATTTGCTATAGATGAGTGACGTTACAAGTACAATTTAAGTGCTACAATTTGTTAGTCTTTAGTCGAGGTAGAGTCTGAGAGTCTTTTTCAATGGTTTGGTCCATAATGCTTCTTCCTCATGTTCACCTTTGTTTAAGCTTCATTTCAACTAATGGTACCAGTCATCAAGGGCAAATAACACATCTGGTCAGCCGTTTTAGTCCCTTCATATATGCCCTTCTCATCATTACATGTCAAATACATTTATTAAATATAAAACCAGACACAGGACTATAACTGATAATATTCAATTACAAAAGCGTATTTACAGATCTACATGTCCTTGTTGCCTCTTCTGGTCTGAACATTTGAACGATGACATGAACTGACTGCAGAGAGTGTTTGCACACCTTGTAGACATGAAGGAAGAGTATGGAGAGGTAAATCAGGATGACGATGACGAAGGGCAGGATGAAGACGACGGCCAGAGGGGTGAAGACCCACAGCAGGTACTCCAAAACACTCAGGTAGTCCTCCCATGCATGGAACACACACACCTGGGGGCCAAAAAAGACGGTTCAATCCTCCGGACCGACGCGCCTCAACAACAGGGACAATCATTACTGGTGATGCTTCACCGAGTGACGCTGGCCTCTACTGGTGCCTCGCGGCCCCCTCACAGATATTACAGGTAATATTTCAACGGTACACATTATTTTGGGGTTTACTAAGCGCTCTAGGAATAAAACAGACAAACATCTCCCACGCCGACGCCCCAGCATCTTAACAGCTGTTGTCACATCTGGAAAACAGGCGCATCTTTGGGATTTGGGGGGATTGATCTTTGTCTGCATTTTATCTAGGCGGGTTATGCCAAGGCTGTGTGAGTCTACACACAAAAAACCCCATATCTGCATACATCTACAACTTCAGTGAGCTGTAGTCACAACCCTGATAATACCAAACAAGTTATTAACAAGTTAATAAGGATAAGATTTCAGGGACCATGGAACCGTGTGGGTCAAACATTTCTTCCTCATAAAACAAAAGCTATGAAGAACAGTGAGAATATGATTTTTGATTTTGATTTGAAGCATTTTATTTCTTGAGCATGTAGACACCAAATAATAAAAAATTTAAATATCAACATAGACGTAGACCACAAAATGAGAAAATACACCTTTTGTTCAAGAAAAGGAGTAGGGGGAAGCAAAAGCGTATAGATACCCACCCCTTTCTTATCCATATTCTCAATTAGTATATATTACTTTGAAGATTAATATCATACATACATACACACACTCTCTCACACACACTCTCACCCACACACACCCACGCATACTCACACGCACAAATAAATACAATTTAAATTTCCTTCACTTAATATTTTCACAGATCTCATATTTGGCTAATGTGTATAATTTAAGATGTTTTTTGAACTGTGCAATATGTTTACAATCTTTGATCTTATCTGGTAAGTTGTTCCACAACTTCACCCCACAGACCGATATGCACCTGCTTTTGAGTGTAGAGTGCACCTTTGGTTGCCTCAGTTTCAGTCTCCCTCTTAAATTATAGTCTCCTAGTCTGTCGCTAAACCAACTTTGAATGTTTCCTGAGAGTAGGCTGTTTCTTGCTTTAAATACAATCTGTAACATTTTAAAATCTTTCAAGTCCATACATTTTAATATATTTAATTTCAGAAATAATGTGTTTGTGTGTTCATAGTACCCCACCTTATTAACTATCCGTATTGCTTTTTTTTGAATTGTGCATATTGCCTGTAGGGTGCTTTTGTAGGTATTACCCCACACTTCCACACAGTAACTCAAATAGGGGGCAAACAGTGTACAGTACAGTGTATGCAGTGATTGTATATTCAATATATATCTGACTCTGACTAGTATCCCTACACATCGTGCCAATTTTGATTGTACACGAGTGACCTGTGGCCTCCAGCTGAGCTTGTGGTCTATCATTACACCTAGAAAGGAGTATTCAAACACCCTTTCGATTTTGATATTATCGATCATTAGTTCAATGTGTGTGTTTGCTTGTGTGTTACTTTTACCAAAGACCATAAATTTGGTTTTCTTTACATTAAGTGATAATCTATTTATATCAAACCACAATTTCAGCTTGGTTAACTCAGTCGAGACCGCCTTCAACAACTGTTCGAGGTTCCCTCCTTCACAGAATACATTTGTGTCATCTGCAAAAATAACATTTTTCAGGATCCTGGAAGCATTACTTATGTCATTTATATAAATAATAAATAGTTTTGGACCCAGTATTGATCCTTGCGGCACACCACAGGTAATATTTCTTAAGGTGGACTTCTTATCCCCTATCTGTACAAACTGTTTTCTTTGTCCTATGTAACTTTGTACCCAATTTAGTCCAACCCCTCTGATCCCATAGCTTTCCAGTTTGTGTAGCAGTGTATCATGGTTTATTGTGTCAAATGCCTTCTTCAGATCTATGAAGACCCCTATTGCCATCTTTTTGTTATCTATTGTGCTTGTCAGTTCTTCTACTAAGTCCATGAGTGCCAATGATGTTGATCGGTTTGGCCTAAAACCATATTGACTATCTATGAGTAATCCATGTTTATCTATGAAACTGTCCATCCTTGTAGCAAATATTTTTTCCAAAATTTTGGAAAATTGGGAAAGCAGGGAGACTGGTCTGTAGTTATTGTAAAGGTTTTTTTCACCTTCTTTAAAAATCGGAATTACCTTAGCAGTTTTCATTTGGGTTGGAAAGAAGCCCGTTTGAAGTTAAACATTGCAGATATGTGCTAGGGGATCTGCTATATTAATAATGACTTCTTTTACTATTGTCATATCAATACCATTCCAGTCTCTTGATGGTTTTTTTTTGAAGTTATTAACTATGGCAATAATTTCATTTTTATCGGTGTCTTTCAGAAAGATAGTATCTGGGTTCCTCTTGCCCAAATAATGTGCTACGCATCCCCCTTGAGGAAGGTTTATCTGCTCTTCTAGTTTAGGGCCCATATTTACAAAGAATTTATTGAAGCCTTCTACCATCTCCTTTTTGTCATTAATAATCTTATCATTATCTAGAATTTCTTCTGGCAATCCAGAGCTGGTCGATTGATTTCTTATAATTGAATTTAAGAATTTAATGTGAATAGACTCTCATTTACTCACGCCATGTTTCAAGTTGGATGTGTTTCTTTTCTGTTCTTGTTGTGTTTGGTACTGCTCTTTGTTTGTGTTTTCTTCCAACAGTGTAAGTCAGCAGTTTCATTTCTAACTGAACTGAAAGCCATCCAGAGAAGCTGGAGGTGAGTAGGTGGGCTTACAAGTCCAGAAAGCCAGCTCACCTCCTGGGCTCTGCCGGACTTCCTTTGAGCAAGAGATCGAATCCCAAACAGCTTGGATTGCAGATGATTTTGCGGCCCTGTCACTCTGACAGCTGTGTGTGCGTGCGCGTGTGTGTGTGTGTGTCTCCATACCAGGAAGGAGAACGTGTCCTCCGCTCCCAGCAGACAGGACTGGTTCCCACTGTCCGACATCGTGGTGGGCGGTCAGCCGGCCTGCATGGGGAGCATCTACACGCGGGGACCTGGAGGAGAGGAACACACCGAGAGCTCGCTCACACGCTCCGTACAGACGAGGCTGTGTTGCTGGAATTCAGATACATCGGAGGCCTTTGGGTTGCTTGTTCTTGAACAACGTACTTTTAGTCACAATAATCATTTGTAAAAGAGAAAAGTAAAGTGTCTGTTTGCGTGGCACGGTAGTCCCGAATCACGACAGCGAGCCCTATTTGTGGCACCGCGTCGAGTGACAGTTGTGTTGCATATGACGTCACCGATGCTTTCTTTGTGTAACGTTACCCTGTGAGCGGCGTACAGGTGCTGTTGTCAAGTCGTCAGCTAACCGGCGTCCCGGTAAGTCGAACAGGAAACCAGTGAGGGAACCAGTCAGGAAACCAGTGAGCGAACCAGTGAGGAAACCCTGGGAGGCTACAGCGCGCCTTCAGTGTTTACGTCAGCGAACCGAATTGGACACAGAAGGACGACAGGAGACTTTAGCGTTAGCTTAGATAGCTGCTGGACGCGACCATTACCAAGCAAACCGCTGTTTATTTAAGGTTAGCCAAACTAACATAACATACATTATAACTATTATATTATATATTTGTTAGATAGCAAAGTTGCTGTCTTTAGTTGCGGAACCCTTTAGCTGTGACACCACAGGGTGTTGTGTCCCGGGTAAACAGCAAACCGACAGATGAGTTCCACTCAGCAGCCACAATGATGTAGCTTCCGGTTTGACATATGGACTTCAAGATAAAGGCACAGAAATACAAAGAAATCCTGTTAATAATGTCATATGTTTTATCTTGAAGATAAATAATAATCAATAATAAGATTGCGGGTTCAATACGTATTTAATAAGTCAAAAATATTTTCAAATATAATGTTATTTTCTAACACACGACATAAACGCGTTGTATCTTTACATGAGACAGTATATATATATATATATATATATATATATATAAATATGTCTACTACATTAATTATGGTATGTTAAAAATATTTACTCGAAGTTTGATACGCTGCACTGCAACTCAGTAAGACTGATCATCGTGATTTCAATTGAATCCAATTACATTTTGTAGGATTTTGTCAAAGGAGACTATCTAAACCAAGTTTTTATTGCTTCTAAATATTTTATTTTCATTTGTCTAATAACAAAACCTCTTTAACGCCTGTATACTGCGCTACCACACTTTTATTCTGAAAAGACGTGCTCGGAAGTATCCTTGGTGTTGCTTCCTGAACGTGTGCTGTGGACATGAAGCTGGCCACGCTGGTCCTGACTCAGAGGTGAACCGTGGACGTGTGTCGTCATGATGCTGGAGAGGAGCAGGGTCACGGTGGTGGCGGACATATTCTTTAGCAGGAGACTGGAGGAGGAGGAGGAAGAGGAGGGAATCCACTGTCGCTGCTCCAGAGCCTTCGTGCAGTGAGTCTCTCACATGGGATTGTGTCCTTCCGCAGGAGTGACGCCGAGTGCGAAAAGTGGTCGGTGGCAGGTTCCTTTGCCTTAACGGCAGGTTGCGGGGGTCGGTGGTAGTTTGCAGGGGTCGGTGGTTGGTTGCGGGGGTCGGTTGCGGTGGTCCGCATTTCGAAATGAAATGTGCCTCTATTTAATGTGTTACGGTAAAATGGCGTACAGCAAAGTGTCATATCCCAATCTTTGAACTGTCTTTAAACCAGATCCAAAAATGATAACACTCTGCTTTATCTTGATCTTATTTCATGTTGACCTCATATGTGCTCACGTACATTTCCATGAAATATTACTGTATAGGTTTTGAGAAAAGTAAAGATGAAATCAATAATAATGACATGATATTTGTCTTTTTTCAATCTTTGAACTGTCTTTAAACCAGATCCAAAATTTGTAAGTCTGCTTTCACTTGATCCTAGTTCATGTTGACATTGATATGTGTTATAGTCAATATTTTTCTTTATGTTGTACAGTAAAAATGTAATCCCTGATCTATAAAACATTTATTAAGGTTTAATCATACATTCATTATTGAGATTTGGCTATTTAGATATTCTAACTCAATCGGTAGTTTACAATATGGTATAGACATTCATGGTCACACATACTGTGAAGGTATTTATTATGAACAGTATGGACTAAGGGTTAAAAGCTTATATTGTAATTTCACATACGCATAAACAGAAGGCCCACATGGAGGATGACACGGCGAAGGTACTCATGATCTTCAATTTCAATTAATTTGAAAGAAAATGTATTTAGCCCTGGTGGCACGATGGTGTGGTTGCCCTGCGATTGGCTGGTGACCCGTCCAGGGTGAACCCCGTCTATCAAAGTTGGCTGGGACAGACTCCAGCCCCCCTGCGCAGGATAAGCCGTTTGACGATGGATGTTTAACCCTGATGTCAATTTGACCCCATTCAATGTTTAATGTCTCTAAATAGATCATTAACGTCACATTTTACTGTAAAGGCTGGCGCATGCTTCTGCGTCTTTACGCCGTCGTGTCGACCCCCCCGTGCATCGCCACTGCTGCTTTTCATCTTGGACACATTTGTCCCGTATTTTCTTCCACATCTTTGTGCACCTCTCGACCGGCAAACCGACGTTTGCGGTGATCTCCCTCCGTGAATCAGAGGCCATCCTCAACATGAACTACGATCAAGTGAAAGCAGAGTGTTACTAATGTTGGATCTGGTTTAAAGACAGTTCAAAGATTGGGATCTGACACCTTAAATAGAGGCACATTTCATTTTGAAATGCGGTCCACATGACCGTGGTCGGTGGTAGTTTGCGGGGGTCGGAGGTCGGTGGTAGTTTGCGGGGGTCGGATCCTTTGTCAGAACGGCATAAGCCGATCTCAGTTGGGTATTTAGTGACATGCAAATACTATGTGACGTTAAATGAGTATCTTTGTGACCGTGGGTTTGCTGTACATGTTTTTTTTCTAACTTTATTGACAATCTAGCAGATCACAGTGACCTGCAAGTAGCGCAGCGTCTTAAATAAAGTGATGTACGTCTTAATGCGCGGCCTCAGTAATGAACACAAAGGGATTCTGTATTTATTGAGTCCGAAACGGGTCATTTGACCAATGTTTTGATAACCGACCGACCCCCCGCAAACTACCACCGACCACCGCAACCTGCCGTTAAGGCAAAGGAACCTTCCACCGACCACTTTTCGCACTCGGCCTTACTGTCCCGCAGTCTTTGACATGAGTGTGTGTGATGAGTGTGTGTGTGTGATGCCCCACCCTCTGCGTTCTTTGCTGCAGGGATCGCGAGCTCTATCGCTCTGATAACCGATTGCTCTCCTTCGATCCAGCAGACACTAAAGTCCGAGGTATGCTAAACAATGTCACGTGTAACATTCAGAAAAGATGGAGGTATGAGTCCATTTGAGCCCCATTTCCCCTCCACTTCCAGAAGCTGATGATGATGATGATGAAGAGGAGGAGGAGGTAGTAGTAGACGAAGAGCAGGAGGAGGTGTTGGATGAAGAGGCCCAGCTGATGGCCAGCATGGGTCTGCCTGTGGCCTTTGTGTGCTCCTCTGACAAGAGGAGAGGGGTAAGTGGTCCCTTCTGTGTCCTCTGCTGTCTCAGTCCCCTCCTGAGAGGCAGAACCAAGCGTAAAGGAGGAGCACTTCCTGCCGCTGAGGCGCTGTGTTTGCTCATGTGACAGGGGAGGAGGTCGAGCAGGAAGGCTGCATCATGCCGGGCAGAGTCCGCTGAAGAGGAGGAAGACGATCCACAGGTTGACCCCAAAGGTAAGACCGTTAACTTCTCGCCATCAAAGACGTGGAGTAGATCCACAGAGGGCGATTCCTTCAAACGGGGAATGAACCGTGAAGCAAGCAGCTCGACCGGGCTCCTCACAAGTACGCAGTGGGCGAAATGCTTAGCATACATGTGTGTACGTCACTCTTTGAGACGCAAAAAAAGAAATTCAGCATTTTCACGTGTCACGTGGTTTCTAGGCAACAGGAGGCTCACTTCTGTCATTATTTATTCTTCAAGGTGGGTTGGAACTTCTTCAGTGACGATATTTTTGATTGTTTTTTTTAACCGCCTCCCAAAAAAAAAGATAAATGAAGTGAAATATTGTTCCCTTCACGCAGTGCGTTTTGTGCTTCTGGGTTATTGCTGTCAGATTCATTTAAAGGTCCCATATTGTAGTAAGTGAGATGTCCATCTCTTTCATTGTCATAAAACACGTCTAGGTGCTTCATGAATACTGTGAAGTATGAAAAAGCTGAATCCACAGAGAAAGTCACTCCGCCTCCGTGAGGTTGTGACTTCACAACTATACAGTCGGACCGTGTAGGGAAACACTGTGTTCAGGTTGTTGATATGTACATATTATTACCATGTGTTCAGTGTGCGCCCTTTGGTTTTTCCACCTAGTTGATGTGAGGGAGGTGTGTGATCCACCAGAAGAAGGTGCAGGAGGGGCCCAAGCTGCTTGCTGGGAGACCTACTGGGGTAACAAGGACATGAGACCCTCATGGGTCTACATTCAATGTACAGATATGTTTCACACATTGTGTATATATACATATGATACAGATTTATTCTTCTTCTTCTATTTCTCTGTGCAGCTCAGCAGGGAGAAGCTCTGCTGTGGAGCAGCTGGCTGGAGAAACATCCAGAGACCGATCCAGGAGCACTGGCTGCAGAGTGGGACAAACACGCCGCTGAGACCTACTACTCTTACTGGGAGCAGTACTCCTACTGGTCGGCACTGGGCTGGACCACTGACCAGTCTGTCTGTAGAGGGAACCCTGAGGGAGAAGCAGCAGCAGTGAGTGATAAAGACACAAGCTCCGATACCCAAAGGTATGGACGGACTGTGGCTGAGAGCCGGCAGACAAATAAAGGAGAAGCCGAGGCTCTTGGCGCCGACGAGGATTTGAACCATCTGCTTGGACTGAAGTGCACCTTGGAAGCAGGCGGGAGATCTGTGGGTGACTCACACACGCTCTGTGACTCCGATCCTCCTTCTGACGGGGGCAACGATCGCAAGAGAGCTGCAGCCTCCTCCCAGCAGAGCCCGGCCCAACGCACAGGTAAACGATCTGTGAGCCCTTTGCAACCATTGAAACCCCAAATGGCATCTGAAACTCTTCATGCACTGGGAAACGGTCGTGCTGTGTTTATTGACTCCACCAGACGTCAAATGATGTCCTGGCATGTCTATTGGTTGACCTGGGTTGACAGTCAATGAATCAAATGATCCATCAAACGTTGCAGGACTTTATTAAGCCCATCCAATCATTTCCTTCGGCGTGGATTTATGGATTCCTAGTTCTGCTAGCTGTTGGCTCTGCTAGCTGTTGTCTAGCTGTTGGCTCTGCTAGCTGTTGTCTGTGCTAGCTGTTGTCTCTGCTAGCTGTTGGCTCTGCTAGCTGTTGGCTCTGCTAGCTGTTGTCTCTGCAAGCTGTTGTCTCTGCTAGCTGTTGTCTCTGCTAGCTGTTGTCTCTGCTAGCTGTTGGCTCTGCTAGCTGTTGGCTCTGCTAGCTGTTGTCTGTGCTAGCTGTTGGCTCTGCTAGCTGTTGGCTCTGCTAGCTGTTGTCTAGCTGTTGGCTCTGCTAGCTGTTGGCTCTGCAAGCTGTTGGCTCTGCTAGATGTTGTCTGTGCTAGCTGTTGGCTCTGCTAGCTGTTGGCTCTGCTAGCGCTATTAGCTGTATTAGTTGTAGTGAGGTGTCTGAATATCTCGCTATGTTTGGACTCAGATTCCCAGCAGGCCGCTGGCCGCCCTCACCGAGGGAACGGCTCACAGGATAAGACGCCGGGTAGAGAAACGGATGAGGACGAGGACAAACCCCCTGCAGGGGGACACGTCAAAGTCAAACGCAGGCAAGTCTGTGTTTATGTCCAGTGGATCTTTTGATTTTCCTTTTTTTTTTAAAGGAACAGGTTTTTTTTTTATACCCTTGTTGCTTTGTGTGTGTTTGGGGCCTGTTTCAGTGTTGTCAAATCAACTTATTTTGAATATTCCAAATTCATAAAAAATGGGTTAAAAAAAACAACCTATTTCTGCTACACATAATCAGGTAAATGGCAATAAGCCGTAAAATCCCACAAACAGCCTGTCCCTTTTGGGATTTCTCACCTTAAAGGTGGGGACAATCACGGCTCTGCAGGGACAGCAAATGTGGAACAGAAATAAACTCTTTCTAGTAGATTTCCATGAGATCGTTGATGAAGCAAATAAGCATCAATGAGAAAATGTTACATGCTACGAGATCCTGCTAAAATGATGTAGATTTGAAAAGTCTGTTTCATCAGCAGTGTGTGTTTACAGTCATGAGCTGGACGTGGAGGAGACTCCACATCTGAGCCCCGAGGAAGCTTGGAGCAAACTGGGACTCAAACACAACCCGGAGCCGCTGTAAGTCCAACTGTTTTTCTTCTGGTGGTTCTGGTGAGAAACTGTCTGCTGCAGGGCGTCCGAGGCAACAGATGGTGCAATTAAAACCAACTCAATATTTAATCTATAACGAAACCTAAAACAAAACCCAGTGCACTCAGACACAGATCCAATTTAATAGAGCATCAATGGGCGTCGTCCAGCTCAGCTGCCCGACACAATCCCAAAGACCAAAAATCATTTTGGTGTATTTGCCCTGAATCCCATCGTACTTTCTGCACTATTGCGCAACATGTGTAATGTCTGAAAAGAGAAGCAGTTTAAAGCTATTTGAATGCTTTTACAATTCTGTTTGTTCACGCAAAAAAAGCACAGACTAGAGAGACTTCCACATCAAAGGTCAGCGTAGTCTCCTCCTCCTCCTCCTCTTCCTCCTTCTCCTCACAAATTAATGACCTTTTTTGGGGCTTTGTCATTTTCAAAACCGGAGAGATTTAATATTTCAGGGGTCTCTCATTTCTGTGTCAAATAGCTCTAATAACTATAACTTTAACACCATTTGCCTCCAGTACTCGTGCTTGTCCCTGCCTGCAGCTTTAGTTGTCTCCAAAGGGAGGAAGGAGTGAAGGTCCAATCTGCAACCTCCCCATAGATGCCACTGATCTCTACACACACTCGTTTTTAGTCTCATGTTTCATGCTAACCGGTATCCCGGACGTCTGTGTGTGTGTGTGTGACGTGATGTGTACACATGTTGGATGCAGTGGGTGTCTTTGTGGTTAAGCTTGTGTTTCTGTTCATGTCTCAGGTTCCACAGTGTGTTGAGCTTCAGAGGCAATGTTGCCGATCAGAAGCAGCGCTGGGCTAAAAGAGCCGTCCACAGCGTTCCCAAACACACCAGGTTCTCTGAGAGCAGCAGCGCCCTCTGCAAGGTACCGTCTGTAGGACCGGGCTCCGCTCTGTCTATGACATTTGGTGTACATAGAGATTTACAAATGACTCCCTTGGAGATTTTTTTTTTATTTTGCTTTCATAGCATTAAACGCCACTCAAAGCAGTCTTCTGTACTGTTGTGATGAAATGTTTACATTTTGACTGTGGTCTGTCCGAGGTGAAGCAAAAACAGGAACTTGTTGTCTAATCATCAGTTGTTGTCTGAACTTAAGACCGGAGGACATGGATAAGCCAATATTGACACAAAACCCCGACACTGAAGCCTTTCCATAAAGCGCGGGTTGATCTTCTCCTCTTTCCTCTTCGTAAAGAAGAACTGTGTAGTTCTATTGCGGCATACTATATATACGCTAATGGCGCTGTTGTTGATGACGGCTGGGCCTTCATGTGGTGTTGTCTCATACCATCAGGAAAGGAAAGCAGCGGAATGTTTCTTTATTTGTTGGTTTGAATCATATATTTGTCTCACAGGTCAAAAACTTCCTTAAACAGAACCAGGGAGAGACACAGATTAGTGAGCAGGGAGGAGAGAGCACGCAGCAATCGGAGGACATCACGAGTGAGGAAGAGCAGAGGAGGAAGACGAGAAGTGAAGAGGAAGGAGGGGAAGAGCCTGTGGAAAGAGACACTTCTGGTAGGCCGTCAAGTAAGGAAGCAAGAAGGACCCTCCCCTCGGCAACTGTGGACAGTGAGAAAGCGGAAGACGAGGAGGACGAGGAGGAGCAGCCCGGGAGACCGTTACCGTGTCTACTCATGCCGGACTTTCTCATGTGTGACGCACGTGAAGGCAGCAGTGGTAAGCGTGACATCTGCCACGTGGCTCTGATTGGTCTCCTAAGAAACAAAGACAACCCTGGTGAGGATCGGGCCAGTCTTTTAATGTGTGTGTGTGTGTGTGTGTGTGTGTGTGTGTGTGTGTGTGTGTGTGTGTGTGTGTGTGTGTGTGTGTGTGTGTGCGCGCAGACTTGGGTGATAAAAATATAAAGAAACCAAAGAAAAAGAAGGGCAAGCGAGGGAGGAGGCAGCCGGTCCCGGCCGAGATGGCAGCAGAACCCGAGCTGGCTAAATACTGGGCCCAGCGCTACAGACTCTTCTCCCGCTACGATGAAGGGATTCGACTGGACCGAGGTCGGTCCGTCACTCTAGTGGTCCGCCTGTGGGAGGGAGTGACCTGCGGTGACCCGTCTCCCCTGGTTACTGACGTACAGCCTCTTTGTGTCTTCAGAGGGCTGGTTCTCTGTGACGCCGGAGAGGATCGCCGAGCACATCGCCCTGCGGGTGGAGCACAGCTTCCCCGACTGCCAGCTGGTAATAGACGCCTTCTGCGGCGTGGGAGGAAACGCCATCCAGTTCGCCCTCGCTGGAAAGCGAGGTGAGGCCAGTGTGTGCCTGCGTTCACTTCTTTCAGGGCGTGTGATCGCCGGGGACATCGTTCTCAGTAGCTGTGGTTGACTGACACATAGACAATATTATTATAGTACCATCTCATCGTCTGCTGGGCTACCTACTCTGCTCTTGTGATGGCTTCTACAATCTGAGTTAACTCTAATTCTATAATGGCTTTATCAAGTAATCTAGTAAAAATAGATCCTTCAGATATTGTGACTAAGCTACATGGGCTCTGTTTTGAACACATTCACTGGGACCAACCTGTTTTATAGTATTAGTATTGCTGAGGTTGGGCCACCTGTTGTGCTGAAGAACATAGTTGGTTCATTTAAGATTCATGACCAAATTACTAAATGCACACATACACGGTTGACCTGCCATCTCCCTTGAAGACCTCCTTTTCCTCCAAAGAACACACAAAATGTCTCTTTGCGGAAACACAAACATTTTAAATGAAGATTTAGTAAGAAACAAAAAAATGCAATCACTCAGTTGTATGAGCATATCAGAAGTTGTCTTTCATCTGCAATCTGGTGGTATTTAACATTGTAATGAGTAATAATAAATCCTCAAAATGCATGTGTAAAAAAAATGAAACCGGTCCTGCTAGGAAATGGAGAAGTGCCCAGAATCAGACTTCCTTGATAAACTCGTTAAGATTGATTATTCAATACTCTGATCGCCGATTATTTTCATTCTACCTCGTGATCAGTCTTCCACACCTGTTCTTGCTTTATCATTTTCTATCCCCTTGTTCCGTTGGTAGAAGATTACAAATATTCATCTCGGAAACATGCTGTGATTTTCCATCCAGGGATCTCTAATGGAAGATTGGCAATGGTACAATCATTATAAGATGGCGAGGTAGAACACGGTGTGCTCACTGTCCCTTTCTACTGCAGTCCTGGCCGTTGATATCGACCCGGTGCGGTTGGACTTGGCTCGGCACAACGCAACGGTTTACAACGTGGCCGACCGGATCGACTTCCTGCAAGGGGACTTCCTTCAACTGGCTCCCCGTCTCCATGGCGATGTGGTCTTCCTGTCACCACCATGGGGAGGGCCGGACTACCTGACCGCTAAGGTGTTTGACATCAAGACCATGATGCAGCCTGATGGATATCCTTTGATTTAGACACTAGTTAGACTACGATGCAGCCTGATGGATTTCCTTTGATTTAGACACTAGTTAGACCACGATGCAGCCTGATGGATTTCCTTTGATTTAGATCCTAGTTAGACCACGATGCAGCCTGATGAGTTTCCTTTGATTTAGACACTAGTTAGACGCAGCCTGATGGATTTCCTTTGATTTAGACACTAGTTAGACCATGACGCAGCCTGATTGATATCCTTTGATGTAGACACTAGTTAGACCATGATGCAGCCTGATGGATTTCCTTTGATTTAGATACTAGTTAGACCATGATGCAGCCTGATTGATATCCTTTGATGTAGACACTAGTTAGACCACGATGCAGCCTGATGGATTTCCTTTGATTTAGATACTAGTTAGACCACGATGCAGCCTGATGGATTTCCTTTGATTTAGATACTAGTTAGACCACGATGCAGCCTGATGGATTTCCTTTGATGTAGACACTAGTTAGACCACGATGCAGCCTGATGGATTTCCTTTGATTTAGACACTAGTTAGACCATGATGCAGCCGGATGGATTTCCTTTGATTTAGACACTAGTTAGACCACGATGCAGCCTGATGGATTTGCAGCTACAATTTGAGATTCAATTAAAAAGCAAATGTTATGTTTACATGCAATAATGTTTTCCCCCTTAACGGTAGACACATTTGAGATATTCCGCCTGGCCAAACTGATTTCAGACAACATAGTGTACTTTCTGCCTCGCAATGCCGACATGGATCAGGTCTGTATGTTCAGTACTCATTCACAGGATGGCCGTTTTGGTTTTGCATACCAACACTGACTTAATCATCTCTGTGGTCGAGACCCTGGGAGGAGATTTGGAGAGAGTGTTTGTTAATTGGCTGCTTCTTATTGGTCAGAGCTAGAACACCTCCTTCAGATTAGGACACCCAGGTGTCCCTCAAACGTCTGCTCCTGCTCCACCACAAGCAGCCGTTTGCCAAGCCTTGTGGTGTTCTTTCTCTTTTGCAAATTTTACAGTTGAACAGTTTCAGATTAATATTTTGATGTATTTATTCTATCTAAATAATATTTTTGGGAAATTATGAAAATAACATTGGAATACATTGTATGGTTGAATAGCACACTGGATCATTCAGGTGTAGGCCTCATGTGGATGATGCATCCTCTCCACGTCCGTCTGTCCACAGATCGCCTCTCTGGCTGGTCCAGGAGGGAAGGTGGAGGTGGAGCAGAACATCCTCAACAACAAGCTGAAGACTGTGACCGCTTACTTTGGCAGCTTGATAAGCCCGTAACGCACGGACCAATCAGATCTGATGATCAAGTTATACTAGGACCAACCTGCCTGTTTGAGGTGAAGGAATACGATGTGTCACCAAGTATTACCTTAAGTTCTGTTTCAGTCTAGATGACATCACAACTTTCAAATGTCTGTTTAACGTGTCCTTCCACGTTAGCAGGCCTGCACCAGCAAGAGATTTTTTTACATAAGTGTTTTAAATGGCAAGCTTTTAGCCAGGCTGCAAACCTAGATAATATTGCATTATATTTTCTGTTTCTTGTTGTATAAAGCCAGTAATTGGTTTGTCCCCTCTGGGCCACATTGAAAACCTCCATATATTCACAAAAGAAACAATTAATTCACAAAATAAACCATTCTTATTAACATTAGTTATGCCATTTTGCCGTTACATTACCTCATAAATGCTCCACACTGGCCCTACTAAGTGTCACTTCAAAAATCCTTTTAAAAATCACAATTTTAAGACCTGTTTTTTTATTGTGCATTACAGCTAATAAATATTTTTTCACAATGTTGTTTCTTGTCATCTTCATTTTGATATGAAAACGTGTCACTGCAGCGTTTGAGTTAGCTTAAACGTAAGAGCAGAAACATTTAGAATTTTTGTTTAAGTAACTTTGGTTTTGAATATATATATATATATATATCGCTAAGAATAATCATTTTCTTTTAAAGACATATTCTCATCCTCATTGTTTTGGGCCAGATTCTTATCAGTGTGATATATGAACTGTGCCAACATACATCTGTCAGATAATACCTTCAGTAGAAGTCACTTTTTACAGGTGTTTCTGGTGATGACAACTTTGTTTTAATATGCCTCTAGTTTAATAACATACACGTCATTTGACATTGATATTTCTTTTTCTCTAATAGTGCACATGTGTAGAAGCCATAATTCAAACTTCATTAGCAGCTGGGGGAGTTTTCTGTGTGCGACTTATATTCCTTTTTAGTTGTTTATTTTGTATGACTTTTTCTGTACTAATTCCTCCCAAATTTCAGCCTTTTGCAGAAAATGTCTAGTATCTAATATCTGATATCTATACGAGTTCACCCATCTGTCCACATGCACGCTGAGTGATTTCGCTTCTAGTGCAGTCTCTACACTACATTTGGAATAAAAGATCTTGAATATATTCATTTCATATAACGCTGTGTATGTTGTCATAACCTGAGAATAGAACAGGAGAACCAGGTTGGTTTATGTTGTTCAGATGTATTTGCACTGTAAATTCTACATTTTAACGAGTAATTAAACAGAACATAAAACTATTCAAGGCCTTCCCCTGTATGTTTGGACTGTCACCCTGTGCATGCTGGGAACTTTCTCATATTTAAAAGTTTTTATGTAATATTTAAACTGGTTTACAGGTTGTGTTGCTTGTTGTATCCACAACTGATTGAGCGTATTTCTACATTAGTTCGAGGCCAGTGAGGAGAAACAAATCCAGCTCATGTAGTTTTCTTCGTCTTCTCTTGATGGTTTTCCCTCCTGTTCATAGGTGAAGAACAGGTGAGAAACAACTTGCTGGGTGAAATGTTGTGTTCCTTCCTGCGACTGGTTGTGTTACCTGTTTGGGCCACAAGAGGCTGTCGTGCACCACAACGTGTTTAAAACATCTTCTCTATTGATAGAATATTATGTATTATGTGTATTTTATGTCAAAGAAGACCCACCCCGAAAGGAACATAATACTTTTCGTCCCATTTACAAAACATCCCGCCGACCCAATGTCCGAAAAAATGAATGAAAATTTGATGGGTATTTTCTGTTTCTGTCAAAAACACGGAAAAAAACATTCCCAAGCCGCCCTCCTCCCTCCTATGAGTGATCTAAGTTCAGTACCTGTCTGTGATCCCTCCTCCACCGGTCTGTCTTCCGGCTTGTCTCACCTTCACACTGAGTTATCCACATGCAGAGCACACGGACCAAAACAACAAAAAACACACGTGCTTCCGTAGTTACCATGGTGACGTGACTGGTTGGAGGGGTGGGCGACGGGACGGAGGAAGAAAGGATGTACAAGACGGCTCTATTTTTGCAGCGCACTTTATAAATAAAGTTATTACCGGGTGACAGAGGTACACGATCAGCTGCTCAGGGCTGTCAATCATTAACTCCAGATATGATTACTCTCCTGGGGATCAACAAGACACAAAGGTATGTGTGTGTGTGTGTGTGTGTGTGTGTGTGTGTGTGTGTGTGTGTGTGCGTGCGCGTGCGTGCGTGCGTGCGTGTGTGTGTGTGTGTGTGTGTGTAATCAAGTTTAGCTCGCAGCAAATGCATATTCAATATGGTTCAATAATAAGTAAATGAATACAACAGCAGGGAAACACAAGGCCATTTGTTGATTTGGTCTCAATCTCTGCTAATTAACTAGAGGACAACATCTCGGTATCCTGTCATCTTGTTGCTGATGTTTATATTATATATATATATATATATATATATATATATATATATATATATATATATGCATTATATTATATAAACAATATATATATATATACATATATATATATATTGTTTATATAATATAATGCATATATATAAACATAAATAAAATATAATCAAAACAAAAAAGAATCCAACAAGAAACCAACCACAATGAATCAACATCAGGGATCAGGAAACATTTATTGCCATAATATGTCAGACATACAAGGAATTTGACTTGGCGGTTGGTGCGTGACAGCAGACAGTACGACAATGGACGGCAAGACAACAGTGCACAAGGAATAAAATAAAAATAATGCTATGGGTTAGTTTAAAAATAAAGGAATAAAAGTTAAAGTTAAAAATGAATATAAATATAAAAATAAAAAATAAAGTGCACCAGCGAACAGAAAGTGACAAGTTTAACATTAATAAACTATTGGCTTATGGCAATAACAACAACAATACATATCCATAGCTGTACTACTCAAAATCAACTATTCTTTACTTTCTGTATCCAGTCAAACTTTTGATAACCAATCCCTTTCCTCCATAAAAATAAAGAATTAATCATGTTTACTACTAATTAGGGAATCAGACCTGTATTGTTTCTTTATAAAATGAGATGTTGCACGTAAATGAGATACACATTTAGTTTGTGGATTAAACTTTTGGACCCATGTAATAAATATCAATATGTGTACAGATATAAAGCGTAGTGCTCCAGGGCGAGGTGGGACTCTTGATGTGTCCCGGGTCCGACCAGGCGTGTGTCCCCTGCAGAGAAGTGATGACCTGGCAAATAGAGGGCGTGCGCATCGGGAGATGGTCGAGGGTGAACGCTGTCTCTCGTTTACATGCAGCATGAAACTTGGCGTTTGTCACACTTAAATACTGAAGCTCCCAAAGTGTAGAACATGGTCTCAGCCCCCCCGGCCCCCCTACAGATTCATCTGTGTTACTGTTCTACTAATTAGACAAGCTCACTAGTTTTGTTTAATATACAATTGTTGAAATGAAAGGCTTAAGTTGTGCTACATGGCAGTCTGGTGAGGTATATTGTGGAATATTATTGGTGTAATGCTGCACCAAGGAGGGTGCTTCTGTAAAGCCCCTTTAATTTTTTGATTATTTAACATATTATTTGTTTATACAATATGGCCTTGTTTTGTCTATTTTGCCTGATATTCATTTATTTATTAATTTGATCATGTGAGTTGGTATGTTAACAAAAATAAATATATGCACAAAAAATGTTCAACTCTGTTTTTATTTAATTATTTATGCATTATTATTATTTTCATTTTCAAAATCATTTTGTCGAGGGGTGCCCTTTTGTTTTGGTTGAAGCACCTCCCCCCAAAAATGTCTGTGCACGACGGCACGTGCCCCAGCGCCACCATATATTCTGTGGGGGGGTTCTTCTCCTCAAAAACCTTCGTTAATGTGCGTAGGTCTCCAGCCAGTTCAGCAGCTGACAGCCATCACAACTATTTGGGTGGTAGCGAAGCCTGGCCAACTTTCACACCTCGGTTTCTTCCACAGTTACTTTTTTAGTTGGGGCTTCTCGAATGAAATATGACTCCCCAAGCTGAGGGGGGGGGGGGGGGCAGATTGACTTAAGCAACAGGGGAAGCCCCTCTCGTTGTCGAACTACACTGGACGAGACTGCGATCACAAAGATGACCTATTTGGTACATGTTACCGGCGGGACCAGAACGTGATGCAAGTTATAAAGTTGCTCGTCGAGGGAGGCTTGAAACTGGAAAGCAAAGGACGGAGGACAAAGAAGACACCAACACAGCATGGCAAATCTAAACCCGCTTTTTTAATTGATCTCCATAGAAATAACTGCCCAAAAACAAACACATGTTGTCATGTAACATCACTGATAACAATATGCATCACCAGTAACAGCCGAGGATGTTCATTGCATTCAGCAACCAAGGCAAATATTCAAAATACAGTCAAGAACAGTTTTTTAGAAAAAAAGGCTTTTGAAATGCCCCAAAACCAAAACACATTATACAGCGATGTAGAAATTCTATACAGAGATGAACATAAAAGGTTAATATTTTTATTTCAGCCCGGAGGAGGTTCACGGCTCAGATAGAAGGTGGAGCTTATCCCTACACATACGGGAATTAAAGGTTACTCCGATTTGTCACAGGCAAGCTGAGGGGAACATCCAGACAAACTGCTCTCCTCAAATGAGTGATCAAATTATACTTTACAGCACAAAAACATTCCAGATTCATCCAAGATTCTCCCACCATCACTTCCCTGTTCTCCTCAATAAAAATAATTTCATCATACCAGTGCTGTGGCAATCGTCTCTTTCCATGGTTCTATAACAGCAGCCTCCTATGTCGTGTGTTTGCCCTCCTTGAATCTGAACATACTCCAATGAAAGCAATCAAAGGTTCATAGCCAAATCACCTTCGCCTTATTTGGTGAGCTACGTGTGTTTGCGCCCACAACGGGTCTCCTTCAGAGATTAGCAGATGATCATCCCCGGCGATGAAAGCCCAAGCAGGAGCGGGCTGAATATAGCACTGCATTAAAAAAGTGGTCTGTTTGATGTGCGCATGCTGCTACAGTGACAAGATGAAACACTGGCTGGTCATGAGAAGGCCTTAACACCGCATATCATTGGTTGTTTGTAGTGGCAACCATGAGTTTAGCATGAGGTTAAACACCATGCTGGATGTTTCCTACTTTTAAATGCCTTTGCTGGAAGGTGTGTCTAATGCAGTTCTTAGATCAGACTTTCCTGGTTGTTCTCAGTCAAGTACAGCAGCAGAGACCCAGTGGTCAGACTTCTATGCCGTGAATTGTGAGGGGATTGCCGGGGAATAATATGCATGCCTTCACATATATAAGTACACCTACTGTACATAGTTATGAATATAAAATATATATATAACATTTTATTCTTCCTTTAGGGCTTTACTACCACTGCTACCTGCAGCCACAGCTCCGGAAAAAAGAGGTGAGCTCTGCACCCGGCCATGCAGAGCTCCAGCTCGACCCACCGCCCGGGCGCCAACGGCAAGACCCCGGTGCTCCAGACCATGGCCATAATGCCAGTGGAAGGAAAGGGAGGCTAGAGGCCAGAAACCAGGGCAGACTAGAGCAGATCCTACTACAGTGAAATGAGACGCTTTCTAAATGGAATCTGGTGCTCTGAAACATTACCTGTTTTATTCACAGGGACCGCCCAAAAGTTTCTCGTAGTACCTTTAACTATGTAGCAAATAGACTTATTAAACCCAAACTACAATCTTTCAAAAGATAACAAAGTAGTTCTTGTTGCTCGAACCGGACCAAGTATTTCCCAGTGGACGCATGCAAACCTGATCATAGAGGGAAGCGAGCCACAGCATTTTACACGTTTGGAGATAGAAGTTGTTGGACTTTCCTAACACTGCACTGTTGGCTTCAATACTTAACTCATTTCACCTACTATAGCACAATATCTGCAAGCAACCCCATCTTCTTAGTCACTCTTCTAATAGCCCAGCATCATTCTTAAGGGCCTCACAGTGAGTCAGGGACTACAGTAGGACAACACCATTGTTCTCCATTGCAATCTGCAACATATCTCAAATAAATGTACCTTCCATGCGATGTAACCCTCTTCAACAACACAAAACAATTTCTTCTTCCATGATAAATTTCATTAGATTCTCAGAAAGTCATTTAATAATATTGATGCTCCTTCACACTTCATGGCTTTCACGGTCACCTTCCAGTGAAATAGTGTAGTAAGTCACAGTTTTTGTGAAAATCACATGATATTTAATACCTAATTTAAAAATGGGTCCAGCCTGCCGAAGAAAGATTTTACGGCCTGTTTTAACTTGGACACACACCGGTTTAAATATTCAAAAAATGTTCCATATTACTAATATCACCATATTACAAATCCACAAATTCCGGAATGACTGCCAGAGAAACATTATGCTATTATGATACCAATGGGGTCGTCGTGGCGTAGGGGGTAGAGCGGGTGCGCTGGGATGCGCAAGGTTGGAGGTTGGAGTCCCGGGTGCCCCATGTCTCAAGTCGTAGTGTTCCTGAGCAAGACACCTAACCCCTAATTGCTCCCTGGGCCAAATGTAAAAGCCATGGGTTTAAAGTGTGACGTAAGTCGCTTTGGATAAAAGCGTCAGCTAAATGACCGGTAATGTAATGCACAGAAGCACTAGTTAGCATCTGTATGAGACACAGCAGGCTTTCTGTTGACAGATCTTTGTCATTCTCCAGATAAACACTCCCAAAAGAAACCGTGTCAATCCTAATCTTGTTTTGTCAGTTTTATCTACTCACTTAGCAAATGTTCCATCAGCCATAACCTTTTCTTAACCCATACCTACTTTTGTTGGCAATCCTAACCACTCTGTTTTGTTTCAGAGACTGTAAGCGTGTGATAATTATTAAGTTATTACTATGAAATGCATTTTGGGACTGAGTTTGCAAACCAGTTTCAAACACCAACTTTAGCTTCTGCCATCCACTGAACACTTTTTTTAAACTAAACAATTCAAAATAAATATCCATGTTGAAATATCCAAATAATTTCTTCCACGATCTTTCAAAATATCTGTATAGTAAGCCATGCATCACATCGTGAGAAAATAAGTTACATTAAATTGACCAATAAGGGTGGAAACAGATTTAAGACAATGTTTTTTTTTTCTCCCAACGTAAACTTAATCAAGATTTAAAATATTCTAGCTAAACCTTTCATCCGAATACTGCGATATTTGATCAAGGAATCATGCTCTCTGTAGTTGCTGCAAACATAAAAATGAATCTTGCTGCTTCTATGTATCATAAACATAAAATGTCTAAGTGAAAAACTTTTAGTATACCATGGCAACAAAAATCAATCAGAAGAACTGTTCATCATATTTTAGGTCATATAACATTTACATCTTTTTATCCAGGGCAAACGGTCAATGCACTATTCCAGCAGACTACTGCCTTGTATTCCGGTTGGGATTTTAAAATGCTGACCATAAGACAATATTAAAGTTGCACTGTTACTTTAAAATAATGCAAGTGATCAACATCATCCAACCCATGCATGCAGATGTGAGCAATAAACCACTTAATTAATCACGGTAAACAATCTACAGGGTATAAAGGTAATAACCAGTAAATCAATTGCAATCCGCAACACCAGAAATAAATTTAGTTAAAGGTAAACCGAATGTACACTGTATGTATTAAAACCCATCTCATCACGGTCACGTCAGTAATCACTCAATTATGTCCTGAAAAGTACCCTGTAAAGAATTACAACATTACAAAACCATAACATTAAGCATATCAACCGTGAACATTTTGGCATACAGATAGATAACAGTGCCTCAAGAAACTAAACACAGGCGATTAATCAATACAAATCAATAATATTCATCTTAATAAGCAAACAAATTGCATTGGTTAATGCTGATTAATATGTTGTTGTGAAAAAAAGCACTAAAGTGATAATATATATTCAGCTTTGTGTTTCGTGATAATTACGCTGTAATACGCAAGCAATTTAAGTATTCCAAGGACTGACTGTGACTTTAACAACTTTATTACCTTCCATTCAATGAGAAAGTGTATATAAATTTATATATATGTATATTCATACATGTATAAATGATTGAATGGTCTGTGATACTAAAATCACAAACGTTTATCACTGCATGATAACAACTGTGTGACAAAGGCACCAACATACATCATCTGTTCAAACTGTGAAGACAAAAATCCTAAGAGAAATCTTTATTATCAACTCAGCATCAATAAATACTATTTACCTGAAACGTAGAGCCATTTACTGCTAGTTTAGCATTAATAACAATACAAAAATATAATTACTAAAATGGTACTTCAAAACAAACAAACAGCTTTGCCTTTCCCAGAATAGTCGAAAAGTCCAAAAAACTTAAAACAGCCTAAAGTGAATCAATACAGCAATAGTTACAGGTTGCATTTTCCAATATGTAATCAAATATGGATTGGAAGAAGAAAAAGCATCAGCGAGCAGTATGTTCTTATGTTGATCCAGGGTGTTTGTGTCTACTGCTACACTGTACCAACACCAGGTGAAGTGTCCCTGTCGCTGAACGGTGTAGGACACATGCAGCAATACACTTTAAGTCACTGTCTTTGAGTATTATTTCACGAGGTACATTCTTTACTGTATATATCCTGTCATCAGGATAGAAAAGTATAGTGTAGTATGTACATGACTTCAAATGAGCCACACAACCTCCCCCAGTTACACAAAGGTAAATTATTAACTATAATATTTCATTACAACTATATCTTCAAAATGTAAATAAATTTGACCAGATTGTATCGCTAGCTAGCTGTGCTTATGTTGTTAGCAAACTAGCATTAATGTGCTGCTGAAATGATTACGTTGGGCTTTTTGCATTCTATTCCTCTGTTGTTGTGCTTTCGTTGGCATAGCCAGCTAGCATTTGCAGACTTGTAAGGTTAAGTTTACTTAACCAACCAAGCTAACTGTATGTTGAAATATCAAGTTTGTATTGTTGATTAAATATATTAAATAACACTTTATTTGCTGGTAAGTAAGTGCAATCATTTTTTCCACCATAGCTCTTAGTTCCCAAAGTGCCCAGGCCTGGAGCTCTGAAACTGTTGGATATTGAGAACAAATATCCTTGTGATTAAAATTCACACCATGTTTTGGCTTGAAGACGGCCTGTTTAAGCCCTGTTCTAAAATGTACCGTACAGCTGCCCACACCCACAGCATAACGACTTGTGCTTTGCTCACAAGCAACTACAGACCATGACGGTCTCAGACTTCTCATCCCTCTCTCTTCATATAACAAACGAACCAGAGTTAACTCTGTAATTTACTTATACCTGCATTATCCAGACCTTCTACTTCCAAAGCTAACTACACATTTGTTTATTCGACCAGAGATAATCATACTGGTGAATCAGGACATTAGATACTGCAAGCTATTTGTCTAAGCTACTGCTAGCTACCCACAGGTTACTGCTAGCTACCCACAGGTTACTGCTAGCTACTCACAAGTTACTGCTAGCTACCCACAAGTTACTGCTAGCTACCCACAGGTTACTGCTAGCTACCCACAGGTTGCGCACGCGCCAGCGGAACGACCTGCATCTGTCAACAGGGAGTTTATAAGTTTATAAGTGGCAGTAACTTTATGATAGCTGAATCGTGGAATATATTGCTCAAATATCAAACGGTTTGAAGGTATTTTTTATGGTTCTAATAATGTGTATTCTTAAACGATTAATTGATAAACTACTAAATTCTGAAAATAATCAGCTAACATTACGGTTTCCAGACCCGGACACTTTTTAGCTAACTATCCGGTAAAACTATTCATGAAAATTATTGTGTAATGTTTTCAGGTAATTTAACGGTGTTAAAGTAGTACCTTTCGAGCCAAATACAGTTTTAATTATGAAAGTTACAATTCTCTTAACCAGAGTTGGTAAAAGGATGCCAACGCCGGTGAATTAGCCGTCCACTGGTACAGCCACGACCCGGCCAGACGTCCACCGTCATTGTAAACATTTGTTTTTCGCAAAGATTAAATATTGGTTAAATGGTCGCCAAAATCACCATCAACGCTGTAAACATATCCGGGAACCCAACTCTGGCCTTAACAATAAGATATCCCGCTTCAACGCCTCCAAATAGCGCAATAAAGGCCCTTTCATCATTGCCCCAGCGTTGCCCGGACGTCGCCCGAGTCTCACTACTTTCTCTCATCAAATTAACATTCCTGTAGTAGTTCGACATGTGAATCGTTTTATATATTCATGAGTTTTGACACGTAGATTCGTTGACATGGATGATTTAACATTACTAAACTCTTTTAAAGCAATCGATGAAAAAAAATACCGCAAACGGCGTCATAGTAATATTAGCTTTCCCTGGCCTGGTTTAGAAACCGTTACGTTAGCTTAGCTGGAAATGTAACAAGTTGAGCTTCTAGACATGTTCAAATAGGTCAAACGAGTGTATCTAAATGTATTAAACTGGGCTTCGTTTAGGTAAATACTGTTATATACAGATATCATACAGTTGTACCTCGCATAGCGTTTTTTTATTATGGGGGGTAGTTTTTCCTGTGTCGATGTGAAAGTTTTAAGACGAAGGATGTCGCATATGAACAGACTGTAAAGCCCTCTGAGGATAATTTGTAATTTGTTTAGTTTTTTGTTTGTTAGGCTATATAAAATACAATGAATTGAATTGAATCAATACTCCATACGGCATTGTTAAACGGTAATGAGGACTTTGGTAAACACGACTTTGGAAAAAAAAAAAACATAGATTCATAGTTCAGCACAAACTCTAAGTGAAAGCCATGTCAATTAAAAGACTTTCGGTCACTAGACTACGAGCTTTTACAAATATCATGAACAAATGAACACTTCTGATGTCTACCGTGCACCTGATGTAGCATAAAACACTGAAGGCCCTCAGACCCACAGAAACAGATAAAAACAGATACGAACGGATCGATAGACAGACTGATAGAAATAGAGCCACTCTCCCAGGACGTGGCAGAGAATCAGCCAAGCGCCTCACATTCCTGCTTGGGCCCTTCTCACCCACCGCCACGTCACTCCGTGAAATTGTAAGGCAGCTGTTGGCTTCCATCAGCTCAAAGTGCATCTTTGAACATATCCAGTACACCGCCCACCCACACACACACACACACACAGAAGCAGACATGTGTGTCAGTTATGCACAAGCATATGCACAAGCTTGGTTTCCATCCAAATAGTTTTGTGTGGATTTTTATGCAAGAGAGTTCACTATTAATAGATTCAACAAAAGGTCATCTTCCATTCCGAAACCATCTTCATGATCACTTGAAGCAAACGTTAATTAATCAAAACGTTATGCAGCAGATGGCAGCAGAAAGGAGTCGATTGACTAAATAACACAAGCCCCTTTTCAAGTGTCGTACGGTTCAAGATGGGATCACTTATTACTCGCAGCCTGCCAATGTGTGGTAAATATTGTCCATTCAAAGGGGATGCATCTGACTGGTAGCTCATGGCATGTGACCAACAAAGGCAGTGATTACTTTTCAACACGGTGAAGGCTCCTCTGCTGGATCATTTAGCAAACAAATTATCTTCGACTCAGCTGGACAACACACAAACTTTTTATTGCAGCATTTCAAAACTTTCCGAACAGTTGTATGAAAACGGAGCTACAGACGGACAAGCCCAGGCAGCGGAGGTGCCAGGCCTCACACTCGGTCACTCCACTCTCCAGGCCTCCTGTTGCTTCTAAGCCTGGTCGAGCATCCGCAGTTGGGACTCCAGGGGAGGGGGCCCTTTCCACACTGCTTATTTCAGCTTTCACTGCACTCTTAAGTGGAGTCACAAATCATCACGAGTCCAATCAAGTTGGACTCGGGCGTCTTTCAGTCCATCCAGAGGGAGAGGGGGGGAGAGGGAGCTGGAGGGGTTTCATCTTTCTCTCTCTCTGCTTTTTCCTCTCTCAGTCCTCCTTGTTCCCCCCCTCCCCTCTTCTCTACCTTCACTCTGCTATTTTCAGTCCTTCATTTTGCCCGTGTCCGCCATTCTGAAGGGGGCCATTTTCTTAAAAGGCCCCTTTGGCTGATGGAGAGTTAGTGACTTGGGCGACTAGTTTGGATGAGTCCACTGTGGAGGATAGATGTTGGAGGACAAATTACAGTTATGTACACAGAACAATAATAATTTATATTAAAACCCCTGCATTAGAATATAGATAGTCTCCATCTAACCAGGCAAGTCACTTATGACAAATTCTTATCTGCAACGGTAGCCTGGCAGAAGGCAAACGTGTTGAGGGAAAGCAGGACGTTTTTTATTCTTTGGCTGGTAAAATGCATCAGTTAGCCTTTATCCTAAAAGCCTTTTCTGTTATGAAATTAGAAGTCAAATACTACTTAACAATATGAAGTAATGTAAGCTAAGCAGTTATGTCCTTACTTCTAACACTCCAACTAGCTTAGAGTTAGTGAGCAGTCAAACAATGTTGAAATAATAATACAATTTTAATGGTAATTTAAAGCTACAAGTCAATACAGTTCATTCAGATGTGAGGTGAGGGCAAACACCCACACAATATTACATATACCCAGCTACGGATTCTGATCCTCTTTTGATCCTATTGGCCTCTTAGGTGGTTTAATTTCTGATGTGTCTCTTTAGTGGTGCTCAACGCAGCCTTTGATGCTCACCATAGATTCTGAACACATACTGTCCCTGGAGGCGTCTGTCCATTCCTAAAAAGCAAAACCTGGAAAAGGTTTCTACGTTTCCCTTCTTGGAGAAAGCTGTGAAATAACTCGTCTGACTCACGTAACTCTCCAACTAGTCTTTAGTGCTGTCTCTCCTATGTCTCTGATCTCTCCAAAGTCTCCATGCTTATCAAGATACACATATTTGATTGGCTGAATAGCATCACATGATTTTTATTGCATGTTGGTAAAGGCTGGAAAAGCTGCACTGGTTAAACAAACCCTGCAAAGTCCAAATGTTATGATTTCCATTTATCTATTGGTGTTTCCCCTACCAATACATCAGGGGGCGCCTGGAAGCTTTTAGAAAGAAAAAAGATTCCTTTTTTTTTCGCACACAGCACTTCCTGCTATACACAGACATCTGCGCACACTTAAAGCGACGAGAGTGTCCACATGAAACAACTACCCCACCAGTGATTATATACATACACTCACCTAAAGGATTATTAGGAACACCATACCAATACTGTGTTTGACCCCCTTTCGCCTTCAGAACTGCCTTAATTCTACGTGGCATTGATTCAACAAGGTGCTGAAAGCATTCTTTAGAAATGTTGGCCCATATTGATAGGATAGCATCTTGCAGTTGATGGAGATTTGTGGGATGCACATCCAGGGCACGAAGCCCCCGTTCCACCACATCCCAAAGACGCTCTATTGGGTTGAGATCTGGTGACTCATTGTCATGTTCAAGAAACCAATTTGAAATGATTTGAGCTTTGTGACATGGTGCATCATCCTGCTGGAAGGAGCCATCAGAGGATGGGTACATGGAGGCCATAAAGGGGTGGACATGGTCAGAAACAATGCTCAGGTAGGCCGTGGCATTTAAACGATGTCCAATTGGCACTAAGGGGCCTAAAGTGTGTCAAGAAAACATCCCCCACACCGGTACACCACCAGCAGCCTGCACAGTGGTAACAAGGCATGATGGATCCATGTTCTCATTCTGTTTACGCCAACGGCAAAAATGTTCCAGTCTTCAACTGTCAAATTTTGGTGAGCTCTTGCAAATTGTAGCCTCTTTTTCCTATTTGCAGTGGAGATGAGTGGTACCCGGTGGGGGCTTCTGCTGTTGTACCCCATCCGCCTCAAGGTTGTGCGTGTTGTGGCTTCACAAATGCTTTGCTACATACCTCGGTTGTAGCGAGTGGTTATTTCACTCAAAGTTGCTCTTCTATCAGCTTGAATCAGTCGGCCCATTCTCCTCTGACCTCTAACATCAACAAGGCATTTTCGGCCACAGGGCTGCCGCATACTGGATGTTTTTCCCTTTTCACACCATCCTTTCTAAACGCTAGAAATGGTTGTGCGTGAAAATCCCAGTAACTGGGCAGATTGTGAAATACTCAGACCGGCCCGTCTGGCACCAACAACCATGCCACGCTCAAAATTGCTTAAATCACCTTTGTTTCCCATTCTGACAGTCAGTTTGAAGTTCAGGAGATTGTCTTGACCAGGACCACACCTCTAAATGCATTGAAGCAACTGCCATGTGATTGGTGGATTAGATAATTGCATTAATGAGAAATTGAACAGGTGTTCCTAAAAATCCTTTAGATGATTGTATATATGTGTGTGTGTACACACTGCTCAGAAAATGAAAGGAACACTTTGAAGAAACATCAGATCTCAATGTGAAGAAAATTATGTTGGATATCTGTGCTGATATGGACAGTTTAATGTCTTAGGAACAAAAGGATACCACATTTCTGTGATGGAAATGAATGTTTCAGCCTACTGAGGGCGCAATTTTTTTTAACAGTTACTGCCGCCTACTCTTGCCACATGAAGGCCGGCCATTGTCGTGCATCACGAGGAACCCAGGACCTACAGCACCAGCGTAGGGTCTGACCATCCCGATACCTAATGGCAGACCGACCACCAATCGAGCTGCACGGTGCTGGCAGTGAGCCCACACTACAGGACGCCCCGAGGCCACCCTCATGAAGTCTGTTTCTAATAGACATTCACACCAGTGGCCTGGTGGATGTCATTCTGTAGACTCGGGCAGTGCTCAACGTATTCCTCCTTGCACGAAGCAGCAGATATTGGTCCTGTTGGTGGGTTGAGGACCTTCTACGGTCCTGTCCAGCTCTCCTAGGCCCTTTCTCTAAATGCGTTCTTGTGTGGACTTTGTTCTCGTGGACTCGTGAAACGTCATCAGTCGCAGCCTGAGTACTGTTCCAATTCTAGAGTCCGCATCTGACCAATAAGGGTCATAATACCCGGATGTGACTCGCCCCGCCCATTTTACCGGGCATGTATCTGAGAAGGCTAACAACCCCCTGTGTTACGGACCTGACCAGATTATTTTCAGAGAAGTGCAACTGAATTCATGCCATAACCTGATAATAGATCGTTCCTCTCATTTTTTGAGCAGTGTATGTATATATATATATATATATATATATAACGTTTGAAATATTTTGGAAGACTAGAAAAGAGCTATAGAACTCTGTTTACCAGTTACCATTTAACTACAAAAACAAGATAGTTTCATGTGGTTCTTATCAAACGGATGTATTGATGTAAATTCTTACCTGAGTTCAGATTTGGTCAGGTGAGGAAATGGACAAAAATGATTGCTAGACCTACGTTTAACAGCATCACTAGGGCCACCAAGATCGAGTTCGGGCCCTGTGAAAGCACAAGAAAGCAGTTACAACAATTCAAATGTCAGTATATTTTAAAATGATAAAGTAATGTGTGAGTGACCCAGTTTTGGAACATCTCACTTAATGTTAACTTAATCTGTCATTCTTTGATTAGGAGGTTAGTTTAAAAATCCTGAAAGGATACACAAGCAACATTACATCATGTTGAAATTATTTCAATGCTAAAAAGTTGGCTACCTTTGTTTCTAAAGTGTCTTTCTAAATCTATAAGCAAAAACAAAACTTTTATAAAAAATCAGGATGACTTTCATTTCAGTATTGTTTTGTAATGTTTTTTATGTTGCTACTCTGGTTTCTCTTTCTTGGAGGGTATTGCATGCCTGTTTTGCGATGGGAATATTAAATATGCATTAAAGCTTAACACAATATATCATCAAATTAATTATATTTGCAAAATGTCCAAATGGCCCATGCCTTGAGAGAACTGCCAAAGTTTGTGTTTTTAATCCATATACAGGTACTCATGCAGTAGTAGGTGTCCGGTGACTTGATCTAACTCACCGACTCCTCCTCCACTATTTCATCAGCTGTTTCCATACTAGCTTTCTTGGTATCTGAGAGGCTCTTGGGTTTGCTTGATTCCTGTCTTTTTGGCTTGGGAGGCTCTGGTGCTTTGGTGGCCTCTTTTAGTGGGACTGGGGAAGGGCAGGGGGGCGGCAGGGATTTTGCTGCGGGTGCCCAAATCTGTTTGGCAGGTGGCGGCAAACGCGCCAGGCTTGATGGGTGAAGCTCATCCTCCACACCAATCGGATCCTCAGGTGGCGGAATCTTGACATCTGCTTTGACATAATAACCGTGGTACTGGGAGTGAATCTGTCCATTGCTGGGGTAACTGCTGATTGTCGCAGGCACGGCTGGTTTGACCGGAGGCGGAGCCTCCTGTAGCCTCACTTCCTGTCTGAGAGAAAGTTTGGATGCTGCTTTTGTTATACCTGCCGAGTTAAAAGAAGGAGAAGAGAAGATAAATACATGTGTACAGACTGTAAAGCCCTCTGAAGCTAATTTGTAATTTGCGATATTGGGCTATACAAAATAAAATGAATTGAATTCAATGACCAAAGGACACACAACTATTTTATTTTGTGTATTTGAAATACACGGCATAATGATATTTCACTACAATATCAAACTCAGCTGGTTGGTTAGTTAGGCATTGATATTTGTGCTTGCCAAGAAAAGCAGTGTGATTCATAATGAAGTCCCACCAAACGCCTGCACACAAGGTACTGATTATATAATCCTCTGTGCGGAGATCGACAGATAATGATGGCACTATTCTACACTTTTATGGGCTACCCAAGATGCCTGCTTCCTCAGTCAGTTTCTCTACGTTTGCTGATAGAATTACTGCTGCTGCTCACCATGGTTCATTGCAGCTCTGGACTATTATTACTATTAAAATTAACTAAATCATTGGTGCCGCTATGTGTCGTAACATGACAGAAAAATGGACTGTGTAACCCCTAAGTTAATTACTAATGAAAGACATGGTGGTAAAATCTAACACAAACAAAGTGGTTTACCTGCTGTCAAAGACTCAGCTGCTGGGGCTTTGTTCTCTTTCCCAGCAGGCTTTGCTGGTGCGACGACGGCTTCAGTTTTTCTGCTATTTTTAACAACAGTGGGTGAAGCAGTGGGGCTGGGAGATGGAGATTGGTTGGGTGTTGTGCCTTTCCGGTAGAAATGAGGGCTCCCTGTTGGAGATTTCTCTTTTTTCTCCTCCACAGTAACCTCCTTCACCTCCAATGGCTCATTATACTTCTGCCGTATGTAATCAGGGCCTGTAAAAAGTGAAGAATGTTATATTTCACAAAGATCAGCTGGGCCTGAAGTTCTGATCATCTGAACGCTTATATTTCTTCACCTGCTGGACTGGCGTTAAAAAAAAGACAATAATTTACAATAGAATATAAAACAATAAAAAATAAAATAAAAATAAAGCGCAAAGACCAACAATACTATACACAAGAGCATTGAAAATGTCCAAAGTGTTTAAATAGAGTCGGTCAGTGGGGGCTCGACGGGAGGAAACGGTTTGTGTTGGGTGAGGTCTTGGTCCTGATGGACATCAGCCTCCTGCCAGATGAAAGGGACACAAACTGTTTTTTTCCGGGGTCAGAGGGATCGGCTACAATCTTTCTCCCTCGCTTCAGGGTCCTTGAAGCCCTGGAGGGACGGCAGATTGCAGCCAATCACCCTGCACCCACCCGGATGACACGTCCTTGGCTGTGGCTGCAGCGTACAAGGGCTGTCACGATAACACATTTTTGTTGTGCGATTATTGCACCAAAATGTTCAGACCATTTTATGCCACTGATTTCATAATGACAATATAATAGCATAAGAATGCAAGTATGCTCAAATAACATACGTACAATACAATATTTAGAAATTTGAATCGGAATGTGAGAAAATATATCCTAAATAAATAAATACATAATGAATACACCTTTGTTAACAAAAAAGGGACACAGAGCGGGGCGAAGTAATGCAGTAGGGTTCAAGATAATGTGCTCCCTGCGTGGCGAGGTGCGCTATTGGGCTGCTGGTCGGTCCTGCTACTCATCGGCCGGTCCGGGGACCTCGTCCTGCACATGGCCCTCGTGGCCGAAGAGACGGCCGCGCAGTCCGGAGGAACCGACAGTAGTTCAGGTTATAAGACTGGTTGGATGGTTGTGTCTTAAGTGAGATTTATTAGTTGTGTTGCCTCTTTTCAAAGTGGACGTACCGGCTCCTTCACCTTATTGGCTCTCCTCGCTCCTTCGGTTTAAAGCCAAAATGTTCGCACACAGGAGCTGAAGATTGCAGCTTAGAAACCAAGTCCATCTGGACTTGTTAATCCTAACTCGCTGTAGATGTTACAAAAAAACCCACACTTCATAACACTGTGTTCACGCCTTCTCTTCACGATGCCTGCTCTGTGTGTGTGTGTGTGTGTGTCTATGCACGCCGCCTGAGCCCCGCCTGTGCTTTTGACAAAGGAAGCAGACAAGAGAACAGAGGCAGCGTAATCTACTAAAATGTTGGTGACATTCTTTTAAATATAGAAATAAATATATATTTTATTGCAGCACCAAAAATGATTGCGCTCATTTGCATATAAATGATTGCGCTCATTTCCATGTACCGTGCTGTTCACGTTGAATAGGGGACTCTTTCCTCTAGTTTCAAAGAACAAACAGCTCCCAACACAGAACACTTTACATGTCTGGATTTAGTTTAGTCTATGAGTATTTAGTATGAGCGAGTGTCACGTCCAAGAGAAAAAAACGTGTCTTTGAAATCAGCATTAAACTGGGGGACCGCCTGACTTACAGAATGAAAGTCAGCCGTGTAAGCTTTAAAAAATAAGTTCATAGGACAGTTTCTTTATCGGCCAAGTCGCTTCCCCACTATGCTGATGCTCCAGTACCTGGCTGGTGGAAGCCCGGGGCGAGTTCTCTGGCCACAGCTCTGGCGATATCAGAGTCCTGACTGGCTGACTGGGCCGCCTGGTCTGCAGCATCTGCTTTGGCCCGGGCATGGGACGTCCTGCAAAAAGACACAAACACAATACGTAGACCAAGTGGCTTTAGCAGAATACTCACAGCGTAGTCGTGCCCGTTTTGCCATGCTACATGCGACACAAATATACACACATTTGGCTTCTTTAAGCCAAGTTAACTGGGTTCGCACTGCCACGGTCCTCCAACATCTAACACACAGACATCTAACCCCAAGCTGGTTGAGGTACAGAGGGAATAGTAGATGGTTCATATCAACCCTGGCTAAGAAGTTATTCCAGCTTAAACAAAGGGCTGCAAATACTGGTTATTTTTTATCATTATGAACACGGATGCTTCCAAGTACTTCTATAAAGACCAAAAAAACATAATGTTATTTATAATGTTAATTAATTTAAGCAATAGTGCCTAATTGGGACAACTGTATATATATAGTGTGTGTAATTGTATTATTCTTTATTATTTTCAACTGCCGGTTGTTCGTTTGGCTTCTAACTGTATTTGTGTTTATTTTTTCTCTTTGACTGGCTGTCAGTAGCCCCGCCCCTCACCTCCACCGACAGGTCACCAACTGGTGAGGAGCAGGAGGATAGGAGTGCATGCGATGTACTGTGTAAAGCACTAGACGTAAGTGGAATGATCGAATAACGACTAAAATGAAACGACCGTTTACACACATCTGACATCTTTTCTCAATGTGGTCCAGAAATATACAATGTAAAAATAAATAAACCCACATTAGAATTACCGCCTCCAGCTTGTGTGCCTCTGCCAACCAGTCAAGTTACATAATACATCCAACGCCGTGCAAAATATCATCACCATCATTTATCCCTTAAGATATTTACGAAAAATGATCACAATAATTTATAAATCTCAATTCTCGAGTTACTGCCAAAAACAATTTCACCTCAATCATTCGTGGCTCTTTGGGTCCATCAAAGAACGCAAGTAGGACGACTTGTCATAAATAAGTAATTGCTGCAAATGAAAGGCTGAGCAATAAAACAAACCTTAAAACTATATGTTAAAGGTGTGTGGGATACAGCACATGATGTTTCTTCAAAAAGGGTGTAGCTATCTATTGTACACTCCCAAGTTTTCATTTTCTCTCAACCAGACGTTGACGCGGACGTGAAAAACTAAAACGGAGCCTTGAGAAGCTGAATTCATTTTAGTGGACTTTTTTTGAGGGTAGGTAAATACACTATTTTATTCAATGTGCACGTTCAATGAAAGAATAAAGTTCTACTCCCAAATGGATTAAGTCAAAAGCGTCATTTTAAAAATTTGCATTTGCAAATTTTCATTATGTTTGCATGCATGTTGTTTTGTCATATATGACAAGTTAATAAAGTTCAATATTCCCTTTAATTCACGTTATTTCCCTTGGAAAGTTTCCTACTTATAATACACTGGCGCACAAAAACATTGTGAATCAGGTCAGCAGTCTCAAATTCACCTTTCAGTCAAACAATAATTTGATGACAGGCCAATCTTGAACTTGTCTGTTATGTGGTCAAAGAGTGTTTGTACCCAGCCAGTAACTTAGCAAAGGGTTACGCTGGCTAAATCAATTCTAATGGCCTGGTCATGTTACATCCATGTTAGCCTCTTGCTATCAGAACCCAGCGGCTAACACAGCACGACAGCTCCTGGTGGCGCGATGGTGAACGTCCCTAAACCCGTCTGCAGTGAAGTGAAGCTTTAAACGAGAGGATCTGAATCCAGGAGCTGCTTCTGCTTTGACTCAAAGCCCTCTGTTATTGGTCAAGGTGCTGTTTCTACGTTGAGCCAAGACGGAAAACCCACCAGAGAAGCTCCACTCCAAAGGTCAGCCATGTCATCACCAGAGTTCTTCCACACTGATCATGGAATACCAGATGCAGCACGCTAGGGTGACCCAGTGTGTGCAAGGGGGGTGGGGGGAGCTGTCAGCTGTTGATAAGAGTCGCACTCCTTGGCCTTATTTAGACAAACACTACTTCTGACGCACACATACACACACACACATACAGAATGACAATCTGGGCAAGAATGTGCCTACTTGCTTCTTTCTCTTTCCCTCCAGCCCACACACCTACTCTCTTGACCTCGCTCTCACGGCTCCTGCTGGCTCTGTCTTTCCATTTAATTCAACTTGCATAGAGAAAGAAGAGTTTGGTGCTACGGGGCAGAATATAACTGATATTAACTGGTCTTTATCAATTACAGTACAGTAATCAAAAGTTTGGACACACTTTCTCAGTGAACTGAATGAGAAAGTCCTTTTGAGTGCGACTGTATGTCCGGCGTATAAATGTTTCCTTACCACACTGCATCTATAGAGCCTTTGTGTGGCTGATTACTTAACACTGTGTTGTCACTGTTGCTCTTTTCCAGGGTCACGGGGGGCTGTAATCAATCCCAGCTAACATCAGCTGAGAGACGGGGTTGTCAGTCAATCACCGGGCTGACAGACACAAATAACCATTCACACTCACATCCACGGGCAATTTAGAGTCACCAATCAAGCAGAGTAGGTCTTTGGATTGTGGGAGGAAGCCGGAGAAGCCATGCAGATACGGGGAGAACCTTCATTCTAAGGGATAAATGATACAACAGGATGAGATGACGAAAAAGCCCACGGCAAGCTCAGAGAGGAACGTGCACGGACCCGTACACGGTGTGCATGGGTGCACATGTTGAACAGATTTCAACCCATTAATGAGAGAAAATATTGTCTGTGCTGACAAGTTATTATCTCGGCATTGCACAGACCAATTATAAGATCACTTCCAGTCTTCACAATCAGCGAAGGGATTTCTGGGTAGTTTTCGACTTATTGACGCTAGTATCACATATTTGGAAGTATAACCAGTTTAGTTAGTCGGCTTTTACACTACAAACTAATCACACCAGAGTCCCCTGGGAAACCCACTTTTGGGCTGTCTCGGTCTGGTTGTTTGGTTTGAGCCAGGGTCTAATTGAAAAACAGACTAAGCGATCAAAAGGACCAACATACTAGTTTGTTTTTACCAAACAGCTGAGGAGTGAGAGCACACTAATACTGATCAGTGGCACAGAACTACACAGGTCTTCATCTTGTCTCATATTCTCCGCTTAAAACAGTCAAACCGACAAATGTCCGAGTGGAGAGGGTGAATCCTGCTTTTTCCCATCGCTCTCTAATAGTTGACGGCTGACAGCAAATAGTCCAACGGGGCAGGAAACATTAGCAGTGACGAGATCCGACAGGTAGAGAAAACCTTTTATGATACACAGGCAGAGCAGGAATCCTTCTAATCTGACTATTGGGAGTTAGGGTTGGCGGTTCCAGTATATTTCTGTAACGTGTACTGGGCAAGAAACTAAATCCAAATGTAGATGCCTAAGCGTCAAGTGTTCGGAACGTTTGGGAAAGTGATTTGAGTCAAAAGTCCATGTAACTGTGTTAACTGTGAGCGTTCTACACAACCCCATTATTTCCTATTTCAAATAAGTCTGGACATTACAACATCTTAAGTCCAAGATGTCCCTCAGTGCTGCAGTCAGCTCTCCACGGCTGACCCTATCAAACATGAGGGGCCCAGAGACGCCCTTTCCGGCGCACTTTACCTGGAGATGGCGATCTCTACTTTGGTTCTGGCAATGGCTGCTGCTCTCACCGCTCCCTCGATGGCTCGGTCCACCTTCTGTTTGGTTTTGGTGTTCCTCAGCGGAATCAGCTGCTTCTTGATGCCCCGGGACAGAGCATTGTTCTTGTACTTCCCTTCTTCCTTGGTACCATCGGGGAAGATGGTGCAGCCATAGCCCTGCCGCTTATTGTTCAGCCACTCGCCTTCGTACTTCATGCCGTTGGAGCGTTCGGAGACGCCGAAGCCGCTGCGCTTGTCGTTCTTCCACTCGCCCATGTAGGACTCGGTGGTGGTGGCGTCCACGTTGTCCTCCAGTGGCAGGTAGTCATCGCCGGGGTCACCGTCTCCAAAGCTGATGGTGGAGTTGGCGTCGCTTGAACTGATGCGGCTCATGTTGGTGTCGCTGTGAGCTGAGCTGCGCTTGCTGGAGATGGATGAGCGCGAGTCGGACTTGCGCAGTCGCTGGAGGCTCCCGAAGAGGGACCCCCGTCGGAAAAGACCTTTCTTCTTCTCGGAACCGTCCCCGTCTGAGTGGAAGTTGAGTACAAAGCCACCACGCGTACCAGCAGGGCTATCGGACAGGCTGTCACGCAGCACCGTACCGTTACTCTGCTCACTGCGGAGGGAAGACAGCGAGGTGCGTAGAGGTGAACGGATGACTGAGGCCATACCGTATGGGACACTTTGACGCACACCGTAGCCATGACGCATTCCCCCGGTCCACTGACCTTGGTACGTACCTACAGCAAGAACAGGGGGAGAGAGACCACAGACAGTGAGAGAACTATACATTACATTACAGGTCATTTAGCAGACGCTTTTATCCAAAGCGACTTACATCACACTTTAAACCCATGGCTTTTTCACATTTTTGCCTGGGGAGCAATTAGGGGTTAGGTATCTTGCTCAGGGACACTTCCATCTTCCACTTCCATTTGCTCCTCAACATTGCTTGAGGCTGCTTTCCAGTCCGCCATGTTGGAAAGGTCATAAACCGCTTACAAACAAATATAATGTGGATCAAGAAAATTGGGTTTTAATGACACTTGGTTTGTTACTAAAAAATTAGACATGTTTTTATTTTATTTTGCATAGCCCTAAGTTGCAAATGAACAATTTGCCTCCAAGGGCTTTACAGTGTGTACAAACCCTAAACCGTCACACTGTCACTGGAAAAACTTCTCAACACATACAGAATATAAAGATTACTTGAATATAAGTGACATATTAATGTCATTGGAAATTAATGAAAAAATTATTAACTAACCATGATTATATAACTGGAATACTAATGACATTACTAGAGCTGCAACAATTAGTCACTCAACAAAAAAAAAATCAGCTTTAATTATTTAATTTAAAAAAACAATACTTCTTGAACTATAAAATGCTGTTTATTTAAAAACGTATATGTCGTAATATTACCATTTTATTATATCTTATATAATTATAGAGGACCAGACAAAGAGAGAAATACATCTGAACGCGGCAGGAGAGCCAATACTATTATAAAAGCATTATTTTTATTGTTGATTATGCAAGCCAACTGAAATTTGATTTAATCTCTCATCAATATTTCATCAGCCCAGTCTCCTTTCTGCTTGCTCCTTATTGGCTCTACAAAGGTTATGGCCTTGTTGGTGGAAGCAGCAGCTGGATGTTGATCCTTTCATCAATGGGATATCCATGCCAGTGAGGCTGCATTAACAAATCACTGCATGTAGCTCCATTACACTACCTGTACACTGTCATTAAAAGGGTCATAGGAAATGAAAATTTACCGCATTAGTGCTGGGTAAAGATTCAAATACTTAATCCTGATTAATTGCATTATAATGCACAGAATTCAATAATGAATTCAAAAATAGTATTTAGATAGCACTTAGATTTGTGCAAACAATTGATACAAATAAGGTGCTTTTTAACAGCACTATTCCCTTTGCACAGTAGCAGTGATTGCTTGCCAGAAATTGAAATGCGCAGTATGAAAATATAGGAGTCTGTTCATTGTTCAAAGGCTCTGGTTAAGCTGTCCACACGTCCAGTGAAATAACCTATTCTCCAATCGGCTCGGGTACACTGTTCATTCCCTTCAAGGGATGGGAAGAGGTTCCAAATGTGTAAAAAGATGAGTATGGATAAGGTCTGAAAATAGTCGTTCTGCTATCATTGAGACCAAGGTTTACAACTGGGGGGGGGGGGGTAGTCGGCCAAAGCCCACGGATTCAGCCGACCGGGGGGATAGTAGTCTCTCTGCTGCGGCGAGCTCACAAAAAAAAAAAAAAACTTAATTGCACCCCCCTGTTATAACGGTAGGGGAAACACTGGAGAGCATGAATATATGGTCAAAATATCTACAGCATGATGTCTATTGAGTAAATAATGGTTGATAAAGAGTCACCATAGAGCAGAGTATGATTCAGGGATGGTATACTGCAAGGGCTATACTACCTGCTCAGGTACACCATTACATTACAGGTCATTTAGCTGACGCTTTTATCCAAAGCGACTTACATTGCATTTTTAACCCATGGCTTTTTACACTTTTGCCCGGGGAGCAATTAGGGGTTAGGGGTCTTGCTCAGGGACACTTCGACATGGGACATGGAGCAGCCGGGGCTCGAACCACCAACCTTGCTCAGGTACACCTTACAGAACATGCTCAGGTACACCTTACACTACCTGCTTAACGGCATACAGTGACAGTGACAAACTAGCTGTTTGCAGTGTATAATTTAGCGATTAAAAAGAGGCAGAATTTTTTCTAAAACAGTTCATTAGAGCATTGATTTGGCAAAAGAATGTGAGATGGTCACATTTTTCACCACGGTGAACACATTTTTAAAAGACTGAATATTTTGTATTATATTTTAACAAAAAGATATTGGAAATGATTAAATCTAGCTTTTTTCTGTGAATGTAGGATTTAGGATTGAAGCTCTGTACTATTCGGTACGGCCTCAGGAGATGTATATCAATTAGTGACCATGTGTTCATTTGTGTTCTTACTTAAAACAACAGTAAAGAGTTTAGTAACATCATAATTTTGTCTTGTAAAAGGAGAAACGGTTACCATCTAAATGTTATTTACATTCCAAATTTCTTTGGAGATTGCATGGAAACAAGATGACTGACTAACAGGAGAACACACCAGGAGCATAACAACATGTGTTTGACAGTGCTCCAGTCTGAAGTTTGGACTCTTTCTGATTCTAAAAGCACCCCCAGTAAGCATCATTAGGTGATAAAACAGTAATGAAAGCTTAGACTGTGGTTCTCATGGCTTCAGCTGGAGAACGAGCTATTTTAAAAGATGGAAGTAACTTGAGACACTGGGAAGTTTGTTGGCGGCCCAAACATAAGTCCAAGCAGCTATCTTGCTATGTTGAATAAGCTTCCTCCACAGTTGTCAGTATTCTAGAAGCTTCTCTCAAACCAGAACTAAAGAATGAATCCGTGTGTCAGCGTCTGCTAGCAGGTCTCAGTTGATATGGAGGTCTTGATTCAATAAAACACAATTTGGATTGGGACCTCAATAAAACATTGTCCTATGAATTCAGTAAGCAAGTTACACAGAGTGAGTGATCACTTGGGGCTAGGGGTTGACCTCAGAGTTGACTTTTGACCCCTGGGGTCAGGAACTTCCAATCCAGCCATTATCGGAGGTCAGAACATCAAAGTCGAGTATAGTGTTAAACCCAATGTAATGTAATGTCGATACCTAAATGCTACGTGGTCCTCATGTCTTACAGTAATATACAGATGCAGGTTACTTCATTACTGCAATCTGTACTACATGTGGCTCTGCATTCGAGGGCAGTACAATTCATAAGGTACAATATCAATGGTATACATGAAAAAATACATACTCTTTATCAGTGATATTGTCACTAAAATGAAAAGTTGAAGGTAGTTTTGCAAATTATAACAAATATTCTACCAACAGTGTCCTAAGATTACAGCATTAAATTAGAATACTCCACAGAATCGTAGGAAACATTTTGATATATATTATGATATATCGTATTAATTTACGACGGCTGTTTCTGCAAACTCAACATTTAACAGAGTAAAAAAAAGGAACAGTATTTCTGTTGAGTCAGTGCAGCCAAGCTATTAAACCAAAGTAATTAATTATCCCATATTAGTCATGTGAGGTATTTTACTCAAAGTAATTAGGCTTAGTACTCCTCTTCTTTATGTTTTTTTAAATCACCTTGTTTCCTGAAGGGAGCATGACCACTACCAGAGGTGAAAGTGAAGTTATTTTGGAAGTAAAACTTAAAAAACCCTAAATGTATTTACTTTCAATGCAATACATATTGAAAATCAACTTCATACACATTCAAATGTGAATGCATAATCGCAGCTTAACAGCTAATTTACACTATCACTGCTTTTATTTAATGAGCAGTCTGATGGGCGTTTCCCCAAAGCTTTTGCGAAGAACAATTTGACAATGTAAAGTGGAATGATTTCTACCACATTAAGGTGCAGCGAAGAGCTAAAGATAGAGGGAGTAGAAGAGAGAGGGGCCCCTGGTCTGGTAAGCAGAAATTGACTCACATAACCAGTAGTGGGTAAAAGTAGCTCTAGACCCTTTCCTGCTATACGTGAATGTGATACAGCACAGGGTTGCACTCAGGAAAAAGGGTTGAAGATTTTGTTATAAAACACAGAGTGAGCACTTCACTTCCATAAAGTTTGGGAATTCATAATGGTGTGTCCACACCAAACACAATAACATACAAAGTAAATGAAAGACACCAATACAACTCATTTGACATTGCCATAAAACTAAGTCATGTATCATCTATCCTATCATTATTGAGATTATCCCGTTGTCTGGAACGTTCTGATGTGTATCAGAAATCAAATCAAAATGTGCTGTTGCCATGTAGCTGCACTCAGAGCACTGTGTTAGCACTTGACGAAACAAAAACTTGATGGTTATTGCATTGTCTGTGGCTAAATACCATTTGATTTCACCACGGAAAGGATTATTTTAACATAGTAGACATGCAGTTGTTTGTCAGCAAATGTTAGCTAACATGATGTTTTCCTAACCCGGGCAGGGAAAGTTAGCATTGCCCTAACTTGGGCATAAGCAATTTTGGCGCGGTTTCCGTTTTTTTCGTCGATTGCCTTGAACACGTTAGTAATGTTAATTAATACACATTAAAGAATCTACGCGTCAAATCTTATGATATATATATTATATATATATATATAAACATTTGTCTTGTCCCATGTCTAACTACAGCAGAAATGTTACTTTGATGAGAGAAATAGGTAAGGACACTCGGGCGAAGGTCAGGCAATGCTGGGGTGATGGGTTATTGCGCTATTTGTTTTATTGTGAAAGGGCAGAATTGGGTTCCCGGATAAATTGACAGCATTGATGGTAATTTTGGCAACCCTTTAACTTAAACTTGACAATGACAATGGACGTCTGCCCAGGGTAGGGGAATACCAGCGCACGGCTAATTCACCGGCGTTAGCGTCCTTTTACAGACTCTGGTTAAGACAATTTTAACTTTCATAATTAAAACGGTATTTAGCTCGAAAGGTTCCTTACCTGTAAATCACCTGAATACATCACACAATCATTTTTATCAATAGTTTTACTAGATTGTGAGCTAAAAACTGCCGGGTGAGGACACCGGTGCGTTAGGCGATTGTAGTTACTATTTGTATTTATGCGTTTATGATGTAACCACATTTCACTTTAACACAAATTGCATACTGTTAAAATACTTAAGCATTTACAGAAATATAGTTAGTCTCAAACTGACAATCAGACAGACGGTTTAGTATGGTGCACGTGTAACAGGCTAACTGATCATAATCATGACTAAGTGGTCAGGAAACAGTTTTCTTTTCTTTCTGTTGGTAGGGCATCCCACCATATTACAGCTAATAGTTATTGCTCTGTTTATTGGTGGCAGACTAAAGTGACAAGGAGCCAGATCCTTACAAAAGTCATAACCATGACTAAACAACCATCTAATTAGTGGCAAAGACAAAACAGAAGAAAACAAAAAAGTTGTGAAACAATGTACGACTAGAATATGCTTAGCGCTTCCCCTAACATTATATCAGGGGGGCGCCCTCCCTCCTGAAATGACCTCACCTCCTAAAAAAGTGGGATAATCGGCCGTTTGCCCGACTACCCCCATGAAGTTGTATGGTAGAAGGTACACAAAGAGAGGAACCCATAAACAAGGCCCCAAACCCTGAGTGCCACCCAATGTGACAGCCCCCTCGCTCTGGTTAATGAAACCAAGTTAAGAATTTCTTTCTTCATAAATGGTTGAATTTCATACTAATCCCCACCCTTTCTGGGATAAACTTATGGTTGATTCCACCCCCTCAATTTGCAAAACAAATCTGCCCCTTAGAGGTAACAGACAAAATATAGAATATATTCAACAGCTTATGAATAAAACGGAATAATAGTATCACTGCAAATTCACAAGTAATCCAATGTTGCACCTGTGTATGTTTGCGTCTGTGTATGTGTGCACGTATGTGTGTGTGTACACGGGTTAGTTAATGAGGACTTCAAGGTAGATGTGTAGCAGTGGCGGCTGGCTAATAGAGGGCAATGGGGTGTCGCCACCCTTCTTGAGCCCACCTTCCAAAAAAAGCAAAGATTAATTAAATGATAAAAAGTAAATATTTGTGTTTTTGAAATATGGAATGCACCCTAAAATATTTGTAAAATATGATACATCTGTAATATTTGTAAAAAATGTTATCTGGGCAAAATATATTGTTTTCTCGCACGTCCCGTCTTCACGCGTGGGTGCAACCTCAAGATTGCCCACAGAAGGCGGGTTTAAAAAGTCTAGCCAATTGCTGACTAAATTAAAAAATGTAGCCAATCAGCGACCTCAGCCTGTGGAAACATCGTTTTTGCCCCAAGCTTGTGCGAATCAACAGGCGGATGACATTCTGGAAGAAGTATATATATATATATATATTACTCTTGACAAAAGAGCGTCAAATTGTTACTTACGGCTTTTTCATGGAATACATACATTAAATCTGTAATTGCAAAGTAGTAGTAGTTTTTGATACATTTGATTGTTTTGCATTTAATCAACCTGGGATGTTTAAATTGATGCTATTGCCCTACATAGAACATTTTCCACGTGCCGCCACTGACTGTATACTCAATGTGTACTCAATGTTTTCATACAGTGTTTGTAAAAATAGATGAAATAGGATCCAACGTTGAAGAACTCGCATCTACGTCCCTCTCACCTCCATCCCCGTACGTCTCGACGCCGTATCCGTCCTGCAGTCCGTTACTCCAGGTCCCCTCGTACCTGGCCGGTGTGTTCAGGCTCTGCCGGACTCCGTACCGGCCCTTGAACCCGTGGGTCCACTCTCCCCGGTATATCCACCTTCCCTTGGTTTCCACGCCCAGTCCGTGGCGCTTCCCTTGCGCCCAGTAGCCCTGGTAAATGTTCCCGCTGGGCCAGGTGTAGACCCCGACCACCTCGAAACCGTTGGACCAGGAGCCCGAGTACTCGCCCTGGCCCTTGGGTCCGGTGCACACCCCCTGGCCGTGGGCTTTGCCTTCCTCCCAGCCTCCGCAGTAGGTGCCACCATCATCAAAGTCAAACCGACCGCCCGTCATTCAGGAAGGTAAAAAGTGCCGCTGCGCGGCTTGCGTGAGCGTGCGGGCGTTTCTCGGGTGCGCGGTTGTGACGACGGGGAGGTCCCGGTGAGAAGAGGAGCTCCGGCGGAGGTGGACGGGGAGCGATGGCGGCTCGGTGCATCAGCGGCGCGGTGACGGTGACTGGGAGCGGGACGTGGGAGGGTGAGAGGCGGCCGCCACGGCTGCCGGAGTCGTTCCGTTGCTGAGAGCTGGACGACTCTACCGCCCCGACGCGAAGGCTGCTAGATTGCACGAGACGGAACAAGAAGAGCTTCCTGCTGAGGTTTTCACAATAAAAGCTGGGCATTCAACCGCTGTTTGCGAGGGTCGCGTTGATCAGATCTGACAGCAGGCCGCTATTTAACCACAGGAAATATTTGGGGATTCATTTTTCGATTCGAGCATGTCACCACTATAGGGGCATTAGGATACTAACACATAACTTCTGGGAGTAGGTAGGCCTAGACTCAAAGTGACTTTGTTTGATGAACCAGCCTTGTTTCTCCCTCATCTCTATCCATTTTTATTCTTTTCAATCTCAATCTCTTTTTCAAGACGGAAATGGGGTTATTTCTGCCTACAAGCAATCGTGTGCGGTATGCATAAAATGTACTGTGGCTTACCCTGTTCAAAGATGTCAACATGGCTAGTTTCTAAATTTAGAAACGACACCAGCTGTTCTCACTAATGCCCAAAATACACATGTAATAGGCACCACAGAATTAAGGTGGAAATAAAGACCGTATTCACAAATGTTACAGTTAACTACAGTTCAACTGTGTATTTGTTCAAATTGTATTACTTGCAAAAGCCATGGTGACATTACTTGATCAAAAAGGCCTTTTATTTTGAAAGCAAAAACAGCGCTCAGCGCGCGCTTTTCTCACTAACTATGACGAGCTTCACGTGAGTCCTTAGGCATGACACACAATCACAGGAGAGGGAGATCAACAGTTGAAAGTCTAAGATGTGTTTCACCAATTATTATACAGCAACATACACATATCAGGGAGTTTATTGCTTGGATACACATGTATATGATATTTATACAACAGTATAAATATCATATATATATATATCATATATAAGTGTTATTCTACCGGGACAATTATATACACATATAAAACCAATGTAGTGCTTTCAAATGTTATCACAGTTAACCTACTGTTATTATAAGTTGTAATTTCATATGCAATTCAAATATTGTAAATTACATCTATCACTCTTCATTCCATCCCGATAGAGGCATCCTCCTCTGTTACTCCCTTTACGGTTTCTTACTTCTTTCTCCCTGTTAAAGTAGTTTTCCCTTGCTGTGAGGGTTTATTGACAGGGTTGTGTTTGTTGCACAGCCTGAAAGATACATAATCATGACTTTTAAACTCAAACCTGCAATAGAATGAAGTCAGCAACAGCAACGGGAGCTCTGGATACTGGGACTACTCAAAGAAGTCCTATCGATGCATTGTCAAACACTGCCATCTTCTGGAAAACGTCCTTTTCACAGATCAGATTTCCGAAATGTTTAGCAGTGACGTAGCAGTTACATTTCAATAAGCATGTTTGTTGTTTGTATTTTAACATGTCATTTACTTGTCAACGCACGTTGGTTTGGTTTTCCCAAACTTAGTACCTTTATTCAATCTTTTTTTTGACCTGACCAAACAGTCTCAGTCTTGAAAGACTTCCTGCAGACTACATACAGAACATTTGTGGGACTAGATGCAATACTTTTATGCTTCACAGTTTAAATGATCTTTTGTCTCCCCCACAGTTCGTGTGAGAGTCTGTTTGACACTATCTTTACAAGAAACACAACACCACAGGGAACATCATTTGTTTCCCATTTTTATTCTCACTTTTTTCTGCTGACTATAGACAGAAACAGGTTTCTCGTCAGCTACAAAAGTGCTCCGTTGACTGCCATACTTGGTCACTAACCCAAGGGAATGATTGAATCTTTTGTCTGCTGGTGAAATCTAAACAGGATCAATAGGAGGATCAAGACGGCGGGCTCATTAATAGGCCCATAACCCAGACTTGCATTCCGTAAAGTAGTAAAGTGAACCAGGGCCAAGTTAAAAACCATAGTTTAATTTGAAGGCCATCTACAACTGTGTTTCTGATGGACTCAGAAGATCATTCAGTTAGCGGATGAGGAGGACATTGAGGGTGTTCTATTGAACCACTCAGAAGGTCCTTTGGTCCAGCAGCAGTCTGCTTTTTTAATGAACTCCTTTCAAAATGTTTTTGGGATTTAAAGTTAAAGTAAAAGTTTCCTGTAGATTAAGGTGCGGGAGACTTGACAGAAACATGGCGCAGTGGAGCAATCACCCGGACGGACAGTGAGGAGGTAGCGTCTTTACTGGATGTCTCGCCACGCCTCCACTTGTCACAGACTGTTTTTTATTGTATTGCTGAATTGATGATCATCAGGTTGTTGTGGGATAAACCCGGGAACGTTTGGACTGGTGGTATTGGGAATTTGGGGGTTACGGTACTGTTGCGCTGGCCTATGACAGGTGCCTCCGGGGTATTTGATCTCAGCTCAACGTATGCTTGTCTGACTGATTTTCAACAATGTGGGGCATCGCTAACTAACTGTGTGGTCTCTTCCATGTCTGCTTTAATCTGTTGTGTTGCTGTGTTGAATGGAGATCAGATAGGTGGATTTCACCGCCCACACGACAGCAAGGCATTCCTTCTCCAAGGCCGAATGCCTCAAGCACAGTGGAGCTAATCATTGCTAATGCTAATCATTAATCATGGACAGACCCCCTGTCTCGATACACACTGGCAAGTAAACATGTGGCACTAGATGGCAGCAACAAGCCATTTGGATTTAAACAAGAAAAGTAGGGATGATATGGAGGAGTCACTTGGAGGGAAATTAATGTTGGAGGTCTAGAAATTGGCTTGAAAGAATTGAAAGTGGACACATTCAATATGGGTTTTCATTGACTTGGTACTATAACACACCCCATAATTTATTGATTAATTCAAATGTTCCTCAAACTACATTTTAAACTAATGTTCTGGTAACGAAAATGATAAAATGCATTGTTTGTCTTTTTATTTGTATAATGGCAGATGCTTTCTCTGACACATGAATACAGGCAGCAAGGAAAACGCTGTTGTGTAAACAAACGCAGGAGCATCATTTGGTCAGGGTTAGCGCAAAGCACTTGACATTGAATTCTGACAAGAAAACCACCTTGAAACTGAATATTGTAATTGAAGCTATTGATGACTAATTGTTTTTTAACTGTAGATCCCAACAATAACAATAAAGAAGATGGCGTGTTTGTAGATCGCATCAGCTAGTGACCACAATCAAGTAGAGGTTCCAAGGGAAATTAGGACCAATGAGGTAATATAATATTCCCTCAACAGTCATGCACACATTGCTAGACACATGAAAGCCGTTTTCTCGCCTGAAATGAACAGTAGTTAACAGAACTAATGACGCCAGAAAATCTCAACAGTGCGACATTGTCCTCGGCCTCCAGCTGTTGTGGCCATGGCTTGAAAAAACCAAAAGAGGTAACTTAGAGGTAATTGTCATGAGCTGATGTACACTCTAAAAGGTTTCACCACAAACACATTTGCTGGGAAACACAAATAAGAAACGGTGGAGATCTGTCGTCTGTCCATCCACAGTGGCAGTCTGAGAGAGATGGGTAACAATGTTTAACACTAGAAAGAGACTAGACTGAAATATATCAACGATTTGTTACATTCTGTGCTATTCATAAACTACATCAATACAGGAACTTTCCAACTCACAACATCATTTGTGTGTTTGTTTATACCAACCATCCATCCATCTTCAAAGCGGGAGGGGCTGGATCAATTGCAAGAGACAGGGTACACCCTGGATTGGTCACCAGTCAATCACCGGGCTGACAGAGACAAACAACCATTAACACTCACACACACATACACATACACACACCGACCTACAGGCATTTTAGAGTCACAAATGAACCCAACCCCACAGCATGTATTTGGACGGTGGGAGGATTACCCAGAGAGACACGGGGAGAACATGCACAGAAAGGCTGCTGGGTGGGATTTAACTCAGAACCTTCTGGCTGTGAGGCGACAGTGCAAACCACCACACCTCCGTGCCGCCTGTTTGCTGATATGTTACGTATAAAAGATGCATTTTAACGTCACGTTCTGGGTCTCTAGAGGTTGACAAATGTAAAAACACCAACAAATTCAAGGATTAAATGAGACTGCACTAGAGCTTGTTTGTTAATCTAGTTATCCTTCATCGCCTCTGAACACCGTAGATAACTTTCTTGCTCCTAGCCGACAAACTATAACACCGAATATTACGCCTGAAAGATGAATGTGCAGCAGAGCGTGGCTACTTAAAATTGAACTGTCCAAAAAGCGATGGCCAACATCGCTTTCCCTCCCTGTGTGGTATAAAATGATCTTCAATTGCCTTGAAGCGAGAAGAAAGGACCATCACCCCGACTGTTCTATTTACAGCTGCGTTTACGTTCCTGGATTAAGATCCAGGGGATGAGGGGAATAACCACATAAATAAACCACGCTACCAGCACACGCAGCTCCAGCAGAGAAGATTACCACATCTCATGCAGCAGTTCCAGGGTTCAGGCAGTCTAGATTAAAGTTCAACAGGGGTGTTTGAACCATAGAAATAGATAGAAGAGAAAACCGAAGAAAGGGAAATTCCCATTTCTATCGAGGTAACTTGATGGTCAGAGTGAGAGAAACTCTGCCACTGTGACCGTTGCAGCGGGCTAACCTACTGAGATACGGCTTTTACAGAAACTACTGAATTGAGCGGTTTAGTGGATTTTTACAAAGAGGATTTATACAATATTTATTTATACAAAGCCTTTTCCACACACTTACCACCCTAGGTACAGTAAAAAAAAGCACATTGCTATTGAAGGGATGCCGCGTAACTAACGGACAATGCATTCAAATCATCATGTAATTAACTCAATGACAAGTGCAAACGCACAAAAAACACATTTATTTCCAACAAAGCATGACAAAACAATCAAACAAAAAACAACACACACAAGAGCACGGGCCATTCTAATATTATTTATGTATTATGCACCAACCATGTCAAATTTTATGTCTAACATTATAATGAATAAATGTTCTTGATTCACATCAGAGGGAACGATATCAACTACACTCACCGGCCACTATTACGTATGTGTGTTCAATTGCTTGTTAACAC